CGGTGTCGTCGTCGGCACCATCCGAAGACACATTTGGTTTCCGGACAATAACTTTAGTTGAAGTGAATGGATCTTTATGAAATCTTACCAGACGGTTCAATACACACGAAAGGAAGGTTGGGATTGATTTTGGGGGTTATGGTAAATGCACAATAAGATTCAGCATATCATAGAGCCGCAATAATTCAGTTTTTAATGGTGTTATACGTACTGCTCTCCAAATTTGCACATTCCAATAAAGATCTAGACCGATTGTTATCTGCTATTTCAAATTCCAAGATGGAGGAAGACACCCCAGCCACCTTAATCGTAGGTGAAGTATATTTGGTCTATCAAATCATTGTAAGTTATACATTTCTGTCTGATAGGGTCATTTTTCCTTGACCTTTTTTATGCCCCCTCTGTAGCAGAGGGGGCATTAAGTTTTACCCTTGTCCGTCCGTACGTACGTCCCAAAGTTGGTTTCCATTCTTTAACTTTAGTTTGCCTCAACCAAATTTTATGAAACTTATACACAATGCTTATTACCACAAAACACAGATCAAGTTTGAATTTTGGTGGTGTCACTTTTACCGTTCTAGAGTTATGCCCCTTTACAAATGGAAAAATTGCTAATTTTTCGTCTCCGTTCTCTAACTTCAGTTTGCCTCAACCAAATGTTATGAAACTTATACACAATGCTAATTACCGCAAAACACAGATCAAGTTTGAATTTTGGTGGTGTCACTTTTACCGTTCTAGAGTTATGCTCCTTTACAAATGGCAAAATTGCTAACTTTTCGTCTCCGTTCTCTAACTTTAGTTTGCCTCAGTCAAATGTTATGAAACTTAAACACAATGCTTATTACCACAAAACACAGATAAGTTTGAATCTTAGTAGCATCAGTTTTACAGTTCTAGAGTTATGCCCCATGACAAATGGAAAAATTGCTGAATTTTTCGTTTCTGTTCTCTAACTTAAGTTTGCCCCTACTAAATGTTATGAAACTTATAAACAATGCTTATTACCACAAAACTCAGATCAAGTACACATTTGGGTAGCATCACTTTTACAGTTATTGAGTTATGTCCATTTATAATGTTATATGCAAGCATGGGGGCATCATCTGTGTCCCATGGACACATTTCCCATTTATTTTTCTTAAATTTTTGAAATTTCAAATTTTTTGAAAAGCTTCAAGAAGAAATCTTCAATTGCACAGTATTGTGCAACAGCACAGTATTGCGCAACAGCACAGTATTGCACAATAGACCAGTATTGCGCAATAGTGAAAATCTTCAAATGCACAGTATTGCGCAATAGCACAGTATTGCGCAATAGCACAGTATTGTGCAATATCAAATCTTCAATAGCACAGAATTGCGCATTAGCAAGAAATCTTCAATTGCACAGTATTGTGCAATAGCACAGTATTGGGCAATAGCACAGTATTGCGCAATAGCACAGTATTGCACAATAGCATAGTATTGCGCTGTGATATTGCACAATAGCAAGAAATCTTCAATTGCACAATATTGCCCAATAGCACAGTATTGCACAACAGCACAGTATTGCGCAATGGCAAGAAATCTTCAATTGAAAATAAATACAAATTTTTTAACCAATTTCAATGGGATTAATTTAAAGTCTTTAATTTTTGGGGGTTCTAACCTTGTATTACTATTTTGGATATTTTTTGAGGTCTACATTGAGGTCAAAAGGGTCCAAAATTAAAATTTGTTTGATTTCATCAAAAACTGAATTATTGCGGCTGTATGATATGCTGAATCTTATTGTGCATATAGATTTTTATACGACAGCAAAAAATATTTACGGTCGTATATTGGTATCACGGCATCAGCGTCGTCCGAAGACATTTGGTTTCCGGACAATAACTTTAGTTTAAGTGTATGGATCGCTATGAAATTTAACCAAGAGGTTCAATACCACAAAATTTAAAGGAAGGTTGGGATTGTTTTTGGGGGTGATGGTCCCAACCGTTTAGGAATTAGGGGCCAAAACAAGCATTTGTCTAGTTTCAGGACAATAACTTGTGTATAAGTATTTTGATTGCTTTGAAATTGTACCACAAGGTTCAATACCACAAATAGAAGGTTGGGATTCATTTTGGGGGTAATTGCCCAAATCGTTCAGGAATTAGGGGCCAAAAAGAGTCTAAAACAAGCATTTTTCTAGTTTTCAGACAATAACTTGTTTAAGTGTATGGATGTCTCTTAATTTGTACCACATTTTACAAAAAGAAAATTTCTTCAAAATTATTTTTTTTGGAAGGGGGTTTGGGGGGGAGGGGCAATTTTTCCTCAAAAGAAAATTGAAAATTCTCTTCAAATGTTATTTTTTTGGAGGGGGTCAAAAAAATAATTTTGGGGGGTAAAAAGAAAATTTTTTTTGGGGGGTGGGCAATTTTATTTCCTCAAGATTTAAGAAATTGTCAATTTTCCAAAGAAAAAAATTGGGGGTCACAATTTATTTTGCTAATTCTTTGTATATAGTCTGAAAACAGATTTACTAAGTATTGCACAACAGCAAGAAATCTTCAATTGAATATAGATTCAAATCATACATTTGGATTCCGGACAATAACTTTAGTTTAAGTGTACGGATCTCTATGAAATTAAACAAAAGGTTCAATACCACAATGAGAAGGTTGGGATTCATTTTGGGGGTAATTGGCCAAACCGTTCAAGAATTAGGCGCCAAAAAGGGTCTTAAACAAGCATTTTTATACGACCGCAAAAAATTTTGCGGTTGTCTATTGGTATCACATTGTCGTTGTCGTCGTCCGAAGACATTTGGTTTCCGGACAATAACTTTAGTAAATGTAAATAGAAATCTATGAAATTTAAACACAAGGTTTATAACCACAAAAGGAAGGTTGGGATTGATTTTGGGGGTTATAGTCCTAACAATTTAAGAATAAGGGGCCAAAAAGGGGCCCAAATAAGCATTTTTTTCTAGTTTCCAGACAATAACTTGTGGAACGGTGTATGGATCTCTCTGAAATTATACCACAAGTTTCCATACCACAAAGGGATAGTTAGGATTTGCTTTGGGGGGTTATGGCTCATACCGTTTAGGAATTGGGGGCAAATAGGGGGAAAAACAAGGGTTTCTTAGTTAATGGACAATTTAAAAGCAGTGTATTTACCTCCCTTACACTTCTTTTAAATTATGTATAAAGAAATGTTGTATTGTCTTGAGGTGATTAGCTGTCAATTTATTTTTAGAAGTTACTATTAAAGGAATATTAATTTTAGCCATGATTATGCATGTCATTTTCTATTTTAAGACTTTTATGATGTATTTAAATTGGTAATTATGGTTGCAAACTCCATTGGAAATTTGAATTGAGATTATGACCATATCTTGAGGGAAATTTTTTTTTTTGTTGGAAAAATGGGGTAGGGGGGGGGGGGGGGTAAAAAAGAAATTGACGGGAGGCAATATTTTCTGATTTAAGATTTCAGAAATTAAAAAGAAAATTCTCTTCAAATATTATTTTTTTTGGAGGGGGGGAGGGTCAATTTTTTTCCCCCTCAAGATTTAAGAAATTGTCAATTTTCCAAAGAAAAAAATTTGGGGTCACAATTTATTTTGCTAATTCTTTGTATATAGTCTGAAAACAGATTTACTAAGTATTGCGCAACAGCACAGTGTATTGCACACAGTGTATTGCACAACAGCAAGAAATCTTAAATTGAATATAAATTCAAATCATACAACCAATGTCAAGTTCTTTGACACATTTATTCTGTTTCAGAAACCTATAATGTGTGAAATATTTAATTACAATCCAAATTCATACCTGTATCAAGCTTGAATATTGTGTCCATTTTTGCCCCAACTGTTCAGGATTGGACCTCTGCTGTCGTATCCAGCTGCGCTCGGCGAAACAGTTTATTTATTTTGGGCCCTGTTTTCAAATTAGTCCATATTAAGGTTTGAAGGGTCCAAAATTAAATTAGTTTGATTTCAACTAAAATTAAGTTTTGTGTTTTTTTATATGCTGAATCTAACCATGTTGTTAGATTTTGGATATCAGCCCATTCTAGGTAAATTAAATGTCCCATTTCAAATTTTTAAGATCTTTGATCACATTTATTTTGTGTCAGAAACCTATATTATGTCAAAATTTGATCACAATCCAAAATCAGACAGTATCAAGCTTGAATATTGTGTCCAAACTTGCCCCAACTGTTCAGGGTTCGACCTCTGCGGTCGTATCAGGCTGCGCTCAGCAAAGCATTTTATTTCATACATGTAGTAAAAAGTTTTACTCAAAGAGTTGTTGATATATTACTGGTATTCAGTTAAAATCAATTATGCAAGTGTGAAAATTCAGAGAGTGCACCCTTATTTCATTCTTTTTATCAATCATCCTGATGCAAAACAGGTCATTGATACATTGTATATTTGAATACAAAGTTATGTACAAACTTGTGCAAATTGTTCTTATTAACCTTTGAAATTCTCATGTATGTATAAGTGTGTAACATGTGTCAAGATCAAAAGTTATATACGTTTGTTAAGTTGTTATCATTGTTATGTCTAGCATGTTACCCTTACCTGTCATTCTAGTCTTGACCTTAAATTAATATCTTCTGAAGCTAAGAAAAGTACTTAAGGTCATTTTCTGAATTAAACTTAATAATATTTTATGTTTTAAATTTATTACTTGCTTCATTCTTTCTTTTAGTTTAAGAAATGGGAGGTTAGTTCAGTACTCATAAACTTAATCCCTTGAAATAAGATTATTTAGTTATTTAATTTTTAATTCAACATGTTTATAAACCTGTCTAAATCTAGAAATCTCTTTCAGTGATTGCGTCCGTCAAAATAACTTTTCTTTGGTTCATGTTTTGAAGAAACTTATACCTAAAGGAATCTTGAAACTTTAAGTTTTCTGTTTATTGCCTGTATTGGTAGCCAAAGATACACATTTAGAATTGTGTTGATATAGTTCTGGTGTATCTTTTGAATATATTATTTTAATCTACAGAGACCACCACAAGTATACAACCAGTATCCACCATCTCCAATGAACGTGATGAATGGTCGTAAATCTCCATTATCTGGTATTTCTATATCAACACCTCCAACTATGATCCCTCAGAGGATGACAGAAGGACATTATTCACCGATAACAGACATGATGGGGATGACACCCCCTGGACGGGGTGCGATGATCCATCCTAGAATGATGGAGGGACGTAACTCGCCCCTAGCCGATGTGATGGGTATTACTCCACCTCGTCAGAACAACATGTCACCTGTGATGATGGGAAATAGCCGACAGTCTCCACTAGGTTTTTATCATTGCACTAGCATCTTGGTTATAATTGGGTTTAATTTGATACTGTGGGATAATTTATTTCTTTGGATACATTTTTCCATGAAATTTTTAGAATATATGAAAGCATATGTGTAGAAAAATACCTGTCATTTTAAGAAATAATAACATAAAAAATGTATTCCTAGAGAATTATTACTTCCAAATGATGCATGCATATTAAGATATATATATAAATATCCCATATATACTCACCCACTACATGTACATGTATATTCAGTTTTATAAGGAGCCTGATAATTCAAATATTATTCATATCACTATTTTGTCAAATTTTCCTTTGATCTTTCTGTATGATGATTTTACATCTAGCGCTATTCAAGTGATAAGTGTTTTTCTCAGTCAAGTCGTGACAGAATGACGTAATAAACCTACGTCATAGAAAATGCAAATAAACAGATAATCAATGGTCTTTTAAACTTGAGGATGTACCTCGGCTAAATCTCATCAGATTGAGTCGTGAAAAAAGCCTATCTTTTGAAGAACCATGATTATCTATCAATATTAGTATTACTTTTCTGGCTTTTAGGATGACCAAATATCAAATTGAACGCAGTTTCAATATAGATATTTTTAGCAATCTCTTGATTTCATATAAATCTTTAAATGATTTGTGTGAAAAATCTGAAGAACATTTCATGATCAATAACAATGATTTAAAAAAAACATTGTAATAAATTTTGAATTTGCAGAAGTCTATACTTTTTAATGCAAAAAATTTTTAAATTGCCCCAGGCCAGGACCAAGGTTTATACAATTTTTTATTTTGTAACTTTTTTGTTATTAAACTTTGTAATTGCCAAATAATGAACCAATATCTGTTTTTATATGACATATTTGCCCTGTTTTATTATAGAACTTGAAATAAGCTTTAATCTTGATGTGTTCTTGTGTGCCAAGCACTGTAATGAATTATTCACTAATCTAATACACCCGGTTGATATAACATTTTTTCTAATTCTTATTCAATTTAGCCTTTTCCTGACCTGTTAATTATTTTTATTTATTCAACGTGAAGTTTGTTTGATCTCAGTTCTTCATTGGTCAAAATTGATTATGACTTCAAACTTTTTTGCTTTCCTCTGAATTTCCTATTGTGATATCACGAAAAAAGGTGACCTTGCCTGATGATGTCACATAGAAAGAACACATCTTTTTTGCAGATCACTCGAAAAGAAGGATTGGGATAGTCGATATATTGTCTAAAAATCATTGAGAAACAGATTCCACCACCAAATCTCATGCAATAGGATATTTATCCAATCTCAACAGTTAAATTTGAAATAATCAAATTGCTCTGCGAGCCTTGAGTTTTAAATTTGAAGATTTAACTGTCTCGAGTGGATAAATATTATATCACACTTGATGCAGTGGTAGAATCTATATTTATTAGAATTTTTTACTCATTTCAGCTCATTATTCTTTATATTTAAGCACTCCATTATTCTCAATTCGTTATATTGTTGGCCCAATTTTTTCTTCTTTTATTTTCCCATTTTTCTCTACTTTGTAAACACCATAACCAAACCCTCATAAAGTCTAAGATTAAGTCATTTAAAGCATATTTTTGTTACATGGACAATGACTAATTCAAAATCAAATTGAACTGACAAGTTACAAGAAAAAGAGTTAAACACTTGTATCTATGTTTGTTTGGTAAGAAGAATAGGAACTGAAAAATGTAAATTATAGCTGAATGAAAGAGTATTTCAGTTTTTTCTCAAATTTTTCAAATTGAAACACTGAAGATTCAAAGATAAGATTAATGATTTGGTAAAAGAATGCTTCCAAAATACCATCTACTTGTATATCTTGAACAGACATTAAGCTATATATTTTTTTCAGTAAAATACTAAAATATTTCATGTTTACAGTGTAATTTATGTCCATTTAATTGTTCTAAACTGATCAATTATTTCTTCCTGAAAATCAAATGGAGAGATAACTGAATACATGTACATATGAATAGCTAGACAAATGGTTTTGTTTGTATTTTCTTTATGTTAGCTAGAATATTAATATTCAGAACTCTTGTATATATGTATATTGGATCTTGCTTTCAGTTTGCAGATTTTAACTGCTCAAAACAAAACATTTATTTTAATACTATTTACATTTCATTTGTGTAAAATTTGAATACAAAATGTACTGAAAAGTTATTCATTAAGAAAAAAAGGTCCTTATTTTTCTAATTAGACAAAAGGAATGAAACAATAACATTGTGTTATGCGATGTTGCCTCTTCATTTCATCATCTTTAAGTGTAACTTATTTAAATCATGTATTAATGATTCACTGTTCAGTGTCCAAGCAGTGTGTTTAAAAATTAAATCTTAGAATAAGTATAGTTGAAATAAAAAACTTTTCAAATGAAGACAATTTTTTTCAAATGAATGAAGTTTAGGTTGTTTCATTGTGTTTAGTTAAGAAAGTCGAAGGATCTTTGAAAATTTTCTTAATATGTTTTTTGGCACTAGAATTTCAAGCAAAAGGCAGTAAATTGATGTGAAAGTAAGATCCAGTAGTCCACTGTCATAACTTATGTAATCTGTCAATGTGTGTATTCTACTTTCTAACAGGAATGATGGGTTTAACACCAGGGCGTAGAACCACGCCTTCACCTCCCACTTATTCAGTGTCCCCTCTCTTCATGCAATCACCTTTGTCTCAGGCACGATTGATCTCACCCTATGCCAGGGGTCAGTTGTTGGAAATGTTGGGTAGGTCAATATAAAAATAAGGAGATGTGGTATGATTGCTAATGAGACAACTATCCACAAGTAGTTGATATCAAATCACACAAAAAATGCACCAATATGTAGAATCTGAAATTGTAATATTAAAATCATCTTTTGAATCATTATTTATTTTGGAAGGCTCCTTGTTATCAAGTTTTTGAGGGGGCAGCTATATATGTAAATAGAATGTGATTATTCACTAAGGATTTTTACAGAATTCAATGAGAATTAATTATGCTATATTCTGACAGAAAATATTGAATATGTATCCCTACCCCATCATAAATAATTGAACATTTAATGCTCACAATGGCAAGTTACTTTTCAAAAACATTTTACTGTTAAATTTCTTCTAATTGATACATGACCATGGAAAAATAGAAGTGACTGTCAGATATCCCTGGATATGTCATTATAACTAACTGTCACCCCATTTGGTACTCTAAACAAAACTTGGAGATCATTGTAACATATGGGTTTGTTAACAGTGCAAGAAAGCATCTAATCTGGCACTTATTGCAAGTTTTGAATTTACCATATATATAGGTTTTATTGGTTTGTGCATGAGTTACACATATTTTCAATTGGTTATATTATCATATATTTCAATAGTTAAATTTTCAAAAGATGAAATGTTCAGTTAACCTCAAATTTTAAAGTTTGAAAGTTTAACTATCTTGAGTGTGGTAGAATCTAGATGTCTTACTCTCCCATCAGGGTTACAATTCCGTCCAAGCATTAACAATGGAGCAGCCCAGGAGTGATTCCCTTTAGCATATTTAATGAATTTGATTTGTGGAATGCACATGTTTAAATTTTTACAATAAGATAATTAATTATTTTCATCCATTGATGTTGGAACTTTCCAGGAAACTTAAGTTTTTAGTGTAAATTCAACAAATTTTTCATTGAAATTCATAGGATTGTCATTTGAAGATTAATTGTTGAAGTTGAATTTTTAGTATCAAATAGATTTTTCTATTTTTTAATATGCAAAATATTCATTATTTGATACAAATTGAATGGTAGGAACGGACATTATTCTATTTAAAAAAATTTAATTTAGTTTTGCTACATTGTGGGTAATGGGACTGAACCTTACCCTGACTTGAGAGACTTTGTTACATTGTTGGTAATGGGACTGAAACCTTACCCTGACTTGCATGACTTGAGAGACTTTGTTACATTGTTGGTAATGGGACTGAAACCTTACCCTGACTTGCATGACTTGAGAGACTTTGTTACATTGTGAGTAATGGGACTGAAACCTTACCCTGACTTGAGAGACTTTGCTACATTGTGGTTAATGGGACTGAAACCTTACCCTGACTTGCATGACTTGAGAGACCTTGCTACATTGTGAGTAATGGGACTGAACCTTACCCTGACTTGCATGACTTGAGACACTTTGCTACATTGTTGGTAATGGGACTGAAACCTTACCCTGACTTGAGAGACTTTGCTACATTGTGGTTAATGGGACTGAAACCTTACCCTCACTTGAGAGACTTAAGACCCATTGGTGGCCTTCAGTTGTTGTCTGCTCTATGGTCGGGTTGTTGTCTCTTTGACACATTCCCCATTTCCATTCTCAATTTTATTTGCTATATGGTGGGTAATGTGACTGAAACCTTACCCTGACTTGAGAGACTACTACATTGTGAGTAATGGGACTGAAACCTTACCCTGACTTGCATGACTTGAGAGACTTTGCTACATTGTGGTTAATGGGACTGAAACCTTACCCTGACTTGCATGACTTGAGAGACTTTGCTACATTGTGAGTAATGGGACTGAACCTTACCCTGTCTTGCATGACTTGGGAGACCTTGCTACATTGTGGTTAATGTAACTGAAATCTTACCCTGACTTGCATGACTTGAGAGACTTTGCTACATTGTGAGTAATGGGACTGAAACCTTACCCTGACTTGCATGACTTGAGAGACTTTGCTACATTGTGAGTACCGCCGTAATGGGACTGAAACCTTACCCTGACTTGCATGACTTGGGAGACTTTGCTACATGGTAGTTAATGGGACTGAAACCTTACCCTGACTTAAGAGACTTTGCTACATTATGGGTAATAGGACTGAAACCTTACCCTGACTTGAGAGACTTTGCAATATTGTTGGTAATGGGACTGAAACCTTGCCCTGACTTGAGAGAGACTAGTGGATGCAGGGTTACCTTATTGTATCATCTTGTTTAGGTTAATAAGAATAAGGAAATTTACTATGATTGTAAGTTTTTATGCCCCCGCCGTAGCGGAGGGGGCATTAAGTTTTACCCTTGTCTGTCTGTACGTACGTCCCAAAATTGGTTTCCGTTCTCTAACTTTAGTTTGCCTCAACCAAATGTTATGAAACTTATACACAATGCTTATTACCACAAATCACAGATCAAGTTCGAATTTGGGTGGCATCACTTTAACTGTTCTAGAGTTATGCCCCTTTACAAATGGAAAAATTGCTGAATTTTCCGTTTCCATTCTCTAACTTAAGTTTGCCTCAACCAAATGTTATGAAACTTATACACAATACTTATTACCTCAAAACTCAGATCAAGACCAAATTTGGGTAGCGCCACTTTTACCGTTCTAGAGTTATGCTCCTTTACAAATGGAAAAATTGCTGAATTTATCGTTTCCGTTCTCTAACTTTAGTTTGCCTCAACCAAATGTTATGAAACTTATACACAATGCTAATAAACACAAAACACAGATCAAACTTGAATTTTGGTGGCGTCACTTTTACCATTCTAGAGTTATGCCCCTTTACAAATGGAAAAATTGCTGAATTTATCGTTTCCGTTCTCTAACTTTAGTTTGCCTCAACCAAATGTTATGAAACTTATAAGCAATGCTTATTAAGGTTGAATTTTGGTGGCGTCACTTTAACTGTTCTAGAGTTATGCCCCTTTGTAAATGGAAAAATTGCAAAATTTTTATTTTCTTCTAAATATCAAGTAATTTTTAAAATTGTCCTTTGTCCATGATTAATAGTTGAATCAACTACAATCAATGCTTTATACAATGCAATGTTTAATTTTGACTTCCACTGATAAAACACAGATCAAGCTGAATTTGGGTAGTGTCACTTTAACCATTATTGAGTTATGCCCCTTTATCGAAATGTTATGAGACTTACACACAATGCTTATTACCACAAAACTCAGATCAAGTTCAAATTTGGGTATCATCACTTTTACCGTTCTTCAGTTATGTCCCTTTATAACTATATGATATGCAAGCTGGGGCATCAACTGTGTCCACATGTGGACACTATCCACATTTATTTTTAATGCCCCTGGAACTAAGTGGCAAGGGCATATAGAGTTCCCCATGTCAGTCAGTTAGTCATCCTGAAATAAAACATTTGTCTGCACTTTTATAGTATTTATCTGATTTTGTGGTATATAAGTGTATAAAAATTACTTATAGATCAAGGTTGTGTTTGGTACAGTTCTTCTGACTTATAACAGAATTACAGCCCTTGGAGTTAAAAAGTTCATGGAAATTGTACTTGTCCAGACTTTTTGTCATTATGAATACCTGCAAATTTGGATCTGTTTTTTAGTGCATTAGTGTATCATGTAGACATACAGATAGAGTTTGTGTTTTGTTAAGGTTGACCAACTTTTCACAGAATTACAGCCCTTTGACTTAGAAATTGAAAAAAAGTGGTACTTGTCCAGCATTTTTTGGCAATATGAATACCTGCAGAATTGAATCTGATTTTTTGGTGCATTAGTGTATAATGTAGACTTAAAGATAAAGTTTGCATTTCATACTGATTGACGACCCAACTTTTTTCACAATAAGGCTGCAGGCGTTGGCATTCATGTCATACCGTCACATCTAGTGTAGTATCCATTGATAAATTTAAAACAGCTTGACTCTTGTAGATCTCTTAAAGAGCCTACAGTTAAATATACAATCACATTTATTTCTCATAATACAGAGTACTAAAAAAACACAAATTACATTTCCTAAAGTTTATTCATTATTTTTGTGTAGTGCACATTTATTTATTATGTTTATTAAGAATGAATACTACTTTTTAGTGCTTATAGAATCAGAGAGAAAATATGTATTGTATTTATCTGAAAGAATTCTGTTCTTTTTATAAATAGCTAATAGAGCACCAACTGCACCCATTGGCATTCCAAGGCAGATGGGAAGAGGATCAATACCACCAAATCATAGTCCTTATAATAGTCCAGCCCCACACCAGCAGAGCCCATACAACAACAGAAATTCATATAATAGTCCTGCTAATCACCACCCAAGTCCAACAGCTAGATTTCCTATTCACCCGGGTCAAGGACACAGTCCTGCAGGCTTTAGTACTCCACAACCAAACAGGTAATTTGGGAAAGTAAAAAAGTAAAATTGTGGAATGTTTTCTTGGCAACAGTTATAGGTGGAAGTAACTTGTGTTGAAAGGATGATTTTTTTGGGTTAATATGATAAACAAATTGGAAAAATAAGACATACTTTTTTTTGCGCTATGGTGATGGTTGGTAGTGTGAAAGTGATGAAATATACACAGTTCCTAGCTTAACTAATAAGTAACAGTCATCTCTCATTTAGAGACATTTACATTTCAATAACACTGAGTAGTTCTAAGCTGTCTTGCAACTAGTTTAATTGAGAATCTGACCTTTGTGCACTGATTTATTTTTACATCAATCAAGTTTTCTGTGAATTCTTTGAAGTTGTTTTCTTTCTCACATTAACTGAAAACATCATTTAATTACATAAGAACATGCATATTCATCATATATATTATGATTGTTGTGTATTCAGGTGTAGTTTGCCTCAGGCACAACATGTCATGTTTCCAAACAAGGACTTCATTACATTAGGAACATTCACATTCTTTTTAAAAAGATTATCTTGGAACACAAAGTTATTTGATTTGACAGTACTGTGATGTACATTTGTGTAATAGGATTTTTGAGCCTTAAAAAGAAATTACACATTACTACTCATAATATGAAGATTGAAGGGAAAAAAGTGCAATGATTCTAACACAAATTTGGATGTAGACATGTAATCAGCAGAACAACTTTTTAGGCTGCTTGCATGTTTTGGCTGGATGGGTCAAAGGTGAAGGTGTTGTAAGGATTTGACTAAATTTATTCAACTTTCAATTTTGCTTTTAATTTTGCCAATTTAGTTCAATGGTGAAACCTGTGACATTGTTTGACTTTATTGCACCTAGGATACCTCATCATCATAATGGAAACACAGACCCACGACATACTCGAGGAAGAGGAAGAGGGACATATCAAAACTGGGGAGACAAGCAAAATCATCCGTAAGTACTGGTATTTACCTGTCTATTATCAATATTTTTGTACAAAAGGTAACATTTGTTCTTATCCCATGTTTTGTAGAATTCAGTTCTTCATGAAATTAATGGCAAAAAGAAGACTGTTGGAAATAATTTGCAGAATTCGGTAAAAATTGACTCAACTTGGAAAATAGTGTTTGTACAGTTTAATTGTGTTGTCTTAGAAGCAGAGTGAATAAGTAGGGATCACTTTCCATTGTTATTGTTCCTCTTTTTCATCTACATCACCGTCGTCATAATTGTGTATTTACAACTAGTGTACCACTAAACAGAAAGGAACAAAACTTGTATGTCATCAAAGGAAGTAAAACTGAATTATTTATCTAATTTTTCTAATAAATTTGATTTCTTGTGTATAGGTAGTTCAGACATGGTTCACATCCTTTAATCCTTATTATTCTATTTTTGTCCCCCGCGCAACACGCTGCGGGGGAACATAGAAATACTGGGTGTCCGACCGGTCTTGTTAACGGTCTCACATGTACAATTCTTTGCAGACTTTTATAAAACTTATATTGTAGGTTTATATCAGCAATGTCTTGGACGAGTTCGAAAATCAGTGCCAAACAATTATTTTTAAAAGAGTTATGCCCCTTGGAAACATTAATTATATGGAAAATTGCATCGTTAGCTCACTCATGTGTACAATTCTTCCCAGATTTTTATGAAACTTGTATCATAGGTTTATATCGGCAATGTCTGGGACGAGTTCAAAAATCAGTGCCGATCAATTATCTTTAAAGGAGTTATGCCCTTGGAAACATTAATTATATGGAAAATTGCATCGTTAGGGCTCTCATTAGTACAATTCTTGCCAGATTTTTATGAAACTTATATCATAGGTTTATATCAGCAATGTATCAGACGAGTTTGAAAATCAGTGCCGATCAATTATTTTTTAAAGAGTTATGCCCCTTGGAAACATTAATTATATGGAAAATTGCATCGTTAGCGCTCTCATGTGTACAAAGCGCTCTCATGTGTACAATTCTTGCCAGTATTTTATGAAATTTATATTGTAGGTTTATATCAGCGATGACTTGGAGGAGTTCGAAAATCAGTGCCGATCATTTATTATCTAAGTAACTATTTCTACACTTGTGAACAAAACTGACAAACTTGCATATAATCATTTACAGATATTGAAATTGATTCATTTTTTTGTCAGGTTTGAAGAATCCATGGTTTTTATAATATTCACAAATGGACTTTGTCATTTTCCTTATTGAGTATGTGCTTAGCCTTGGAGATTTATTGCATTCTTTTTGTAGAAGCATAAGTATAAAAAATGCTGAATTTCATACGTTAATTCTCAAGAAACACAAAATTTTGTCAATCAGATAGAAGCAATGATTGGTACATGCTACAAAATTTATTGAAGTGACAGGAATTGATTTTACATAAATGGTCTTAAATTTTATTTTTGGAAGGCCTAAAATCATATTGAAAATATTGTAGAACTAACCATGGGGAAAAAACTTACAACTATTTTACTTATCTGTCCAGAAATTACAGAGAGCGAGAACACAGAGAGAATTACAGAGACAGAGATTATAGAGAAAACAGATCATTTAACAACAGACGTTACTACCAGTATGATGCAGACAATGAACATCGTAGGATGGACGATTATGCTGGCTTGATGACACAGAAAGAAAAAGACTGGATTATTAAGATACAGTTGTTACAGTTACAGACAGATAATCCTTATATAGATGATTATTATTACACTGTTAGTAACATACATTAACTTACTTGAGAATTAAGAAGTCAATTGTTCAATCAATTTGAAATTAAGCCTTTGAGGGCTAGCATTAGCCAAACTAAGTACAAGCAGAAAAGTAATTGTTCCTTGTGTAAACTTTAGTTTCAAGTTGAATGCAGAGCCTTTGTTCAATATCTTTGTCCATAGCACAGGTCACATGTTACGGGAGATTTATGCATGAATTTAGTGCCTCAGTTAACATGATAGTTAACATGTTTTTAATTACGGGCAGTGTCATGATTTTCTCCTCATGGTTTATTTTATATACTATATAACTGAATTAAAAATTCAAAAGTCGTCTTTATGCCGTATTTGTTTTGGAATAGAAAATATAAATGTATCTGAATACGTAGTAATAATACAGTGTCTTTCATTCATTTAATGTATTTATATGTTATGCAGGTGTAAGGGTGGTCATTTTTAAGGTTCAATTTATTTCTCAAGCTGAAAAAGAAAGCCAAAAATTATGTTTAAGAATATTGTTATTTAAGGACCAAAATTGAAATTCAAAACTGTCTTGATTTTAGACATTTGCTATAAAGAAGAAGGCATTAGAAAGACAGAAACAGATAGAGAATGGGGAACTGGATGGTAAAAATCAACCAGAACTAGTAATACCAGCCATGGCTAAGCTAGAGACAAGGGCCTATAAACCTGGTAAATACAGATCATTCTAAAGGATTAATCTCTGTTAAACTATTTTTTTTTTAACATATTGCTCTGTGAAATGTGGCCTTAAAAACTCATTTCACAGAGGACAGAACTTATTTTGTGTAATTTGTGTAATTCAAGTATTATGTGATCCATTTCTTGATATAAGTTTTGAAATTTAGATTCATTCACATTCCAAGAAAAGGGGGGAAAAAGAACAAGTAGAATTACAAAAATTATTGCATTTGAATATTTTTTTTCTTATATATAAAAGTGTTTAATTGATTAAAATTATGCATACCTTATGTTTATCTATTTCTTGAACATTTTCACATAACCTATTGAACATTTTCACATAACCTATTGAACATTTTCACATAACCTATTGCTCATTTTCACATAACTTCTTGCACATTTTCACTTAAATTCTTGTTGTTCAATTACTGATGATTATGAAATTTATAATACAATATTGTATTTTTTAGCTCAGTTTGAAGGGTCACTAGGTAGGTTGACCACATCAAGTGTTCACAATCCTCGACAAATTATTGATTTGCAGTCACATGATATCCATGATGAGGGTCAAGGTCAGAGTGCAAATAAGGATTTAAGAAAGGCCAGACAGTTACTGATGGAAATAGAAAAGGTAATGTTTTATATGCCTTTGTTTCCAATCCAAAAAACTGAATATTAGAAAACAGTCTGCTGTTTATGATATATTAAACCATGATGAAAAAATAAAATCATTATATAACTGGAGAATCACTAGTTTATACAATTTTTATTTTATTTTTGATATTTTTTTTGTGTTATTTGTTGATTTTCATCTGTCAAAAGTCCTGAAGTGTTGTCAGCTATTTGTTTTAGATTAAAGGGAAACTTCGCAAAAAAATGAAAAATTGATATTATGTTCGTTATGTATAAAAAATTCGTAAGGGTTCCGCGGAACCCAGTGTCTCGCCTACTTTTTCTGTTAATCGCAGGCTCAACAAAAATGAGGAAGTAAATCAATAAAAATATTCCTCTTGATACTATCTTTTGATTGTAAGAAGCTTCTGTCCAAGTTTGGTAAAAATCCAGGATAGTTTATGAATCTAATAAATGTTTAAAAACTTTAACTGCAGACTGAATGTAATGTTAACTGGAAGAAAAAAAAAATTTCCTTCTAGATACTAGCATTTGACCATAAACAAGCTTCTGTCCAAGTTTGGTACAAATCCAAAATAGTATAAGAAAGTTATTAAAATTTTAAAAACTTTAACCACAGAGTGAATGTGTTGTTTCCTGGCAGAAAATCTAAGTCCATTTAAAAGTAAAATACTGAAAAAATGGATTTATTTTTTTACAAAATTTCCTTCTAGATACTAGCTTTTGATCATAAACAAGCTTCTGTCCAAGTTTGGTACAAATCCAAAATAGTATAAGAAAGTTATTAAAATTTTAAAAACTTTAACCACAGAGTGAATGTGTTGTTTCCTGGCAGAAAATCTAAGTCCATTTAAAAGTAAAATAAGGAAAAAAACGGAATTTTTTTTTTACAAAATTTACTTCTGGATACTATCTTATGATCATAAACAAGCTTCTGTCCAAGTTTGGTAGAAACCCAGGATAGTTTAAGAAAGTTATTAAAATTTTAAAAACTTTAACCACAGAGTGAATGTAATATTTCCCGGCAGAAAAACTAAGTCCATTTATAAGTAAAATACGGAAAAAATGGAATTTTATTTTTACAAAATTTACTTCTGGATACTATCTTATGATCATAAACAAGCTTCTGTCCAAGTTTGGTAGAAATCCAGGATAGTTTAAGAAAGTTATTAAAATTTCAAAAACTTTAACCACAGAGTGAATATTTGTGGACGCCGCCGACGACAACGACGACGACGACGACGACGCCGACGGAATGTAGGATCGCTATGTCTCGCTTTTTCGACTAAAGTCGAAGGCTCGACAAAAAGCACAAATTCATAAATATTAAAGTTTTATTCTGCTAGATAAGAGATCACCATCGATTTTAAATTTAGAGTATCAATTCTCCGCATGCGGCCATTTGGCATCCTCCCTGAATAGAAACCACGATATATCTATAAACCACAAAGTACCAAAACAAGCAGTAACCTAACGTAGCCGTAATTGAGTGTCGATATCTTGTCCAGCGTACGGTTGTTTTATCCGACAAGGAAAGCATAAACAGTTTCCCGGGTCACAAAAAAGATTATAATAGACATGGTTGTGCAACCTTTCCTAACTAACTTGATACGGAAAATGTAATTATATATATTTTTTTTTAAATAACTAGTACTATGGTCTGTCGTTTTAAAACTGTTTTTTTTTTTAACTAAGTTTTTGAAACAAGAAATTTTAATGGAAATTAGTTTATAGTCAAAGTTCAAAGTCATAAATAAGTGTTCCGTGTAAAATTGTTTTCGAAAATCTAGTTTGTTCATAATTCTTTTATGTAATAAACTTATTTAAATAAATTCGGACCTTCCCTTATCTGATCACTAGCATGGCTTAAGAAATCCCAGAGGTATTGTGAGGTGACACGTCCAGGTATTCAAGCGATTTCCTGTCGGGCTTTAAAACTCTTATTACACAATTACGTAAAGCAAGTTCATGCATCACTTCACTTCTGAGGGTATTGATCAGTGTACACGGCCGATAACTTGTAACTTTCCATTTTGAAACTATCAGGTGTAATATACATCTTTGTCTTGCGTGTCCGATAGTGATATACTAGTCATTACTAAACTCATACGCTTGTTTATAAATAACCTTTCTGGTGTAAAGAATGATATTTATGAAAATCTAAATAATTCCCCAAAAAAAGATTTGATAAAATAAAAAATCTATTTACATATTTTCCAAGGGTAAATTGGGGAAAATGTAAGTATATACTCGTTGTCAATAAGTATGGACATCTTGAAACATACAAATATTGATTTAACAAAATGTTCGCACTTGTCGATCATTGGTTTATACGCCTAGATAGAAGGTTACGGAACTATAGATAGTCGCAATTTAGAATATATACATGTAAATTGAATATACGAGATAAACATCCAGAACCAATCTGATTTAAATACAGTTCGATATATTACTTGCTTTGGTTCATCGAAGTTATGGACATAGTAAAATCACAGATTTATTTTTCAATAAGATTATTTTGAACAGTTTAAGAAATTAGTCATCATCACAATTTTTGGGTATAATGTATAAAAATGTGAACATGGTTCTAAAAGTACCTGATGTCAATTTTCCTGTTCCAACATGCATGTAATATGTATGCCACTGGACGTACACTAATGATCCCCAAAAAGCCTATTTGAAGAAATAAAGAAACTTCACTGCGGATAGACTGATAGTAGTTGTATTAACGTCTGGTCAGCTAGAGGATTGATTAATTTATTTAGTTAGCTTGTGGTGGTAATAAACCATTCCCAATATTGCACTTATGCATAAAATATCAAATGAGAGTAATATAAGAGAAAATATAAATACGAAAAGTCGCATATCTGGTACAAAAAGTCTCACCATGAACTATAGGATTTTACGTACGATTGTCATTCTTAATCGAAATAACGGACAGTCATTTAAATACATGCATGTATGCTGTGATAAAAAGGGGTGTCGCAGTTGCAAAGTATTCATCATAAATCTATTTCAAGTTTATACTTTCCTGTTATTTTTATAAGTTCAGACATGTATTTACATCTTTAGCTAACGACAATCAACTATATAAATATCTGAATCTGATGTGATTTACCGTTCATGTCTTTCTTTTTCTCCTTTTTATACGACCGCAAAAATTAAAAATTTTTTGGTCGTATATTGGTATGACGTTGGCGTCGTCGTCGTCGTCGTCGTCGTCGTTGTCGTCGTCGTCGTCGTCGTCGTCGTCGTCCGGCGTCGTCCGAAGACACATTGGTTTTCGCACTCTAACTTTAGTTTAAGTGAATGGATCTCCATGAAATTTCACCATAAGGTTCAATACCACAAAAGGAAGGTTGGGATTGATTTTGGGGGTTATGGTACCAACAGTTAAGGAATTAGGGGCCAAAAAGGGGCCAAAAATAAGCATTTTTGTAACTTTCAGACAATAACTTGTGTGTAAGTGTATGGATCTCTCTGACATTGTACCACAAGGTTCCATATCACAAAGGGAAGGCTGTAATTGATTTTGGGGGTAATTGCCTCAAAATTTTAGGAATTAGGGGCCAAAAAAGGGGCAAAAAACAAGCATTTTTCTAGTTTCATGACAATAACTTGTGTGTAAGTGTTTGGATATTTCTGAAATTGTACTACAAGGTTACATATCACAAAGGGAAAGCTGGAATTGAGTTTGGGGGTAATTGCTCGAAACGTTTAGGAATTGGGGGCCAAAAAGGGGCCAAAAATAAGCATTTTTCTAGTTTTCAGACAATAACTTGTGTTCAAGTGTATGGATCTCTCTGAAATTGTACTGCAAGGTACCATACCACAAAGGGAAGGCTGGGATTGAGTTTGGGGGTGATGAATCATAAGGGGGTTCAAAAAATTTGGGGGGGGGGGGGATTTTTTTTTTTTTTTTTTTCTTTTTTTCCTTTTTTTTTTCTTTTAAAATTTTCCATTTTAAGTTGGTTATTTCTGATTTATATTTAAAAGCAAATAATAATGATATGGTAGGAGATACACACCAAACAGGATGTGTAAATTATTATATAATAAGTATTGTGCAATAGCAAGAAATTTTCAATTGCACAGTATTGCACAATAGCAAGAAATCTTCAATTGCACAGTATTGCGCAATAGCAAGAAATCTTCAATTTAACAGTATTGCGCAATAGCAAGAAATATCCAATAGCACAATATTGCGCAATAGCAAGAAATTGTCAATTGTACAGTATTGCGCAATAGCAAGAAATATTCAATTGCACAGTATTGTGCAAAAGAAGATACTTCGTATAAATTGCTTATTTCTTGATCAATTTCAATGGGGTTTTATTCTTGAATTCTTGGGGTTCTTTAATATGCTGAATCTAACCGTGTATTAATTTTTTAGATTTTGGGCCCCGTTTTTAAATTGGTCCACATTGAGGTCCAAAGGGTCCAAAATTAAACTTTGTTTGATTTCATCAAAAATGGAATTATTGGGGTTCTTTGATATGCCGAATCTAACCGTGTATTTAGATTTTTAATTTTGGGTCCCTTTTTTAAATTTGTCTACATTAAGGTCCAAAGGGTCCAAAATTAAACTTAGTTTGATTTTAACAAAAATTGAATTCTTAGGGTTCTTTGATATGCTGAATCTAAACATGTGTTTAGATTTTTGATTATGGGCCCAGTTTTCAAGTTGGTCCAAGTTGGGGTCCAAAATTAAACTTTGTTTGATTTCAACAAAAATTGAATATATGGGGTTCTTTGATATGCTGAATCTAAACATGTATTTAGATTTTAGATTTTTGGCCCAGTTTTCAAGTTGGTCCAAATTGGGGTCCAAAATTAAACTTTGTTTGATTTCAACAAAAATTGAATATATGGGGTTCTTTGATATGCTGAATCTTACCATGTATTTAGATTTTTTATTTGTGGGCCCGCTATCAAATTGGTTCATATTGAGGTCAAAAGGGTCCAAAATTAAACTTTGTTTGATTTCATCAAAAATTGAATTATTGGGGTTCTTTGATATGCCAAATCTAACCGTGTATTTAGATTTTTAATTTTGGGTCCTGTTTTTTAAATTGGTCTACATTAAGGTCCAAAGGGTCCAAAATTAAACTTAGTTTGATTTTAACAAAAATTGAATTCTTCGGGTACTTTGATATGCTGAATCTAAACATGTGTTTAGATTTTTGATTATGGGACCAGTTTTCAAGTTGGTCCAAGTTGGGGTCCAAAATTAAACTTTGTTTGATTTCAACAAAAATTGAATGTATGGGGTTCTTTGATATGCTGATTCTAACCATGTATTTTGATTTTGGACATTGGACCATAATAGGTAAATTAAAAAAATTCAAGTTCTTAGACCACATTCTTTCTGTGTCAGAAACCTATGCTGTGTCAAATATTTAATCACAATCCAAATTCAGAGCTGTATCAAGCTTGAATGTTGTGTCCATACTTGCCCCAACTGTTCAGGGTTCGACCTCTGCGGTCGTATCAAGCTGCGCCCAGCGAAGCATTTTATTTGTTATTTTGGCAGGAATATATACATTGTAAGATATACTGTTCCCAGGTTTGGGGAGGGGGGGTTGGAGTTCATGTCTATCGAAAGTTACAAAATAAGAACGGTGTATTTATGAATTTACAAGAAGAATTCTGTTCTTGGGCGTAGTTTTCTTCTTTTTTTTTAGTTCAGTGACTTAAATTGAGAAAAAAAAATCTAGTCAGAATTTAAATTTAATTGTTCCGGCAATCCCCCACCTAAGACGCCTCTAAAATAATGAATGGTCATGCTTCACAATCATCAGAATTTTCGTTGCATTGGTATATTCTGTATCAGTAGTGATTAACCTTGACATTTCCGGGTATAACAGAGCTACTTGTATATTACCTGTATGTGGTTAGGTGATCTTAGGTGACGTCCCATGAGGTCTTACGTATACAGGTTCACATTTATAATGGTTTCTGATATAACAATTAGGTTTTATGACATTCACACTTCTGCATGTTCTGTATACCAAATTCTTATCCTTTTTTCAGACCGAATGAGGATGTGAATATTTTCCGGGAAAAATATTGAGTATCAAATTAATTTCGGGATTTTTTTCTTTCTTGGTATTAAATCACAGAAATTTAAAGAATATACTGCTTGTCCGTTTTAGAAGTTTTCTTGTCAGTTTAAACAGACGTATATATGTCTCTGGTTAAGAGTGGGGTTATGAATGAATGATAAGTCTTGCAAAGGTACAAGATATAAAGCACATTGAAAATTGATTCCGCCGGTCTTTCTCCATTCAAAAAAGGAAAGTTGACGTTAGATTGATTCTGTTAATTTTTTAAAACATCGTTGGTCAAATAGCTAAAGAATTTATACGTTGTGAGATTTAGAATATTTTAATCAGGGCATTCCCGATTATGTAAATGTAGATCGCTTTGGACGGACCAAACTATATTAATGTAACTGATAATTTTCTCTGCACATTTAAATAAATATTCAAGGTTGCCGATGATAATTTGAAATAGTACAGTTTTGATTTATACGCTCGTTTTCGTGAGCCATTTTTATACGACCGCAAAAATTAAAAATTTTTTGGTCGTATATTGGTATGACGTTGGCGTCGTCGTCGTCGTCGTCCCGCGTCGTCCGAAGACACATTGGTTTTCGCACTCTAACTTTAGTTTAAGTTAATAGATCTCTATGAAATTTTACCATAAGGTTCAATACCACGAAAGGAAGGTTGGGATTGATTTTGGGGGTTATGGTACCAACAGTTAAGGAATTAGGGGCCAAAAAGGGGCCAAAAACAAGCATTTTTCTAGTTTCATGACAATAACTTGTGTGTAAGTGTTTGGATATTACTGAAATTGTACTACAAGGTTCCATATCACAAAGGGAAAGCTGGAATTGAGTTTTGGGGTAATTGCCCGAAAAGTTTAGGAATTGGGGGCCAAAAAGGGGCCAAAAATAAGCATTTTTCTAGTTTTCCAGACAATAACTTGTGTTCAAGTGTATGGATCTCTCTGAAATTGTACTGCAAGGTACCATACCACTAAGGGAAGGCTGGGATTGAGATTGGGGGTGATGAATCATAAGGGGGTTCAAAAAATTTGGGGGGGGGATTTTTTTTTTTCTTTTTTTCCTTTTTTTTTTCTTTTAAAATTTTCCATGTTAAGTTGGTTATTTCTGATTTATATTTAAAAGCAAATAATAATGATAAGGTAGGAGATACACACCAAACAGGATGTGTAAATTATTATATAATAAGTATTGTGCAATAGCAAGAAATTTTCAATTGCACAGTATTGCACAATAGCAAGAAATCTTCAATTACACAGTATTGCGCAATAGCAAGAAATCTTCAATTGCACAGTATTGCGCAATAGCAAGAAATATCCAATAGCACAATATTGCGCAATAGCAAGAAATTGTCAATTGTACAGTATTGCGCAATAGCAAGAAATATTCAATTGCACAGTATTGTGCAAAAGAAGATACTTTGTATAAATTGCTTATTTCTTGATCAATTTCAATGGGGTTTTATTCTTGAATTCTTGGGGTTCTTTAATATGCTGAATCTAACAGTGTATTAAGTTTTTGGATTTTGGGCCTTGTTTTTAAATTGGTCCACATTGAGGTCCAAAGGGTCCAAAATTTAACTTTGTTTGATTTCATCAAAAATTGAATTATTGGGGTTCTTTGATATGCCGAATCTAACCGTGTATTTAGATTCTTAATTTTTGGTTCAGTTTTCAAATTGGTCTACATTAAAGGTCCAAAGGGTCCAAAATTTAACTTAGTTTGATTTTAACAAAAATTGAATTTTTAGGGTTCTTTGATATGCCGAATCTAACCGTGTATTTAGATTCTTAATTTTTGGTTCCGTTTTCAAATTGGTCTACATTAAAGGTCCAAAGGGTCCAAAATTTAACTTAGTTTGATTTTAACAAAAATTGAATTTTTAGGGTTCTTTGATATGCTGAATCTAAACATGTATTTAGATTTTTGATTATGGGCCCAGTTTTCAAGTTGGTCCAAATCGGGGTCCAAAATTAAACTTTGTTTGATTTCAACAAAAATTGAATATATGGGGTTCTTTGATATGCTGAATCTAACCATGTATTTAGATTTTTGATTTTTGGGCCCCTTTATCAACTTTGTCCACATTGAGGTCAAAAGGGTCCAAAATTAAACTTTGTTTGATTTCATCAAAAATTGAATTCTTGGGGTTCTTTGATATGCTGAATCTAACCATGTATTTAGATTTTAGATATTGGACCATAATAGGTGAATGTCCAATTTAAAATTTTTAAGTTCTTAGACCACATTCATTCTGTGTCAGAAACCTATGCTGTGTCAAATATTTAATCACAATCCAAATTCAGAGCTGTATCAAGCTTGAATGTTGTGTCCATACTTGCCCCAACTGTTCAGGGTTCGACCTCTGCGGTCGTATCAAGCTGCGCCCTGCGGAGCATTTTATTATCTATGAAATTATTTAATTGAAAGTAATTCAGAATTTCGATGTTACAACACAATTATGATCACTTATTTATTAAAAAATTGAGCTAACGCAAAATATTAAAAAATATAAAACGGCGATTCAGTTATTTTGCCACCATATTCCTCCCCAAATAATAAAAAAAAAATATCCTGTCTCAAACCCGCACTTCTGTTTTATCCTTTTTTTCCCCATGTTTTTCATACAACGGTGAACCCTTGAGGCCAAACAAAACTCTTGTGAAGATCAAAAGATTAAAATTACATAATGCTAATCTTATAATAACCGTGAATTTAACCACGCCTTTACCAGGTGGTGTCAGTATAATACACATGCATTGTATTTACACAGTACTAGACTGAAGCAAGGATTTGTATAGTAAGACAAATCCTCGACTGAAGTAAAAGGTGAGAATACAAACATGCATTTTTATTACACTATCAGTTATATATGTTTGTTCAACATATCCGTCGGAAAAAAAATCATAAAAACATTCTATTGTATGATTTACTTTTATTACTATAATCATATCAGAAATCCTTAAAATATAAAAGTTGATTTTTAATTTTAAAAGTTGCACGGCTGATCACTTTTCTTTCTGAATTATTAGTTGGTTAATAGCTACGCCAAAAGTCTTCGATGCGCTTTAAATCGCGTTATAAGATGATTAATGAACAAGACTTAAAATGAGATTAATCCACTCCCGGCATGCAAAAAGACTTAAACTACGTCACAGAAGTCAGGAAGTTCGAATAAATAAAATTAATAATTCCCAATTTTCTTCTTTATTAGTGTTCATATCCAGATAAAACTTGGTGAATATGTTTTTTATGGTATTATGAACATAATAAGCTGATAAGTAAAAAATCGCGAATTTTCCCTTTAAGCTAGTAGGAATAGTATATGATATTTGGTATACTGTTACATTATCATTAGTATATTTTTGTCATATGTATATTGACCACTTAGTAAAACCACTCTCAGATATGGACCACCTTCTAATAGCTAATGGTCGGCATTGCGTCGCCAGAAAAGGAGGTTATGTGAAATAAGGGTTGAAAATTAGCTTTGCAACATCCAATGATATGGGGTGGCAGGTTGCCCAGATCTCCCACACGGAGCTACATTTATGGTTAATGCATAGACTTTTTACAAGTCCCACTCCTAATGTTTGCGTATTGGTGGGCCCCCTATTTTCATAATCTGAGATTTGCATCTTAAAATTATAACTTTCTACTGTTGTTGGTTTTTAGAGATATGTAAACCAGTTAATATTTAATTGTTTCTAGCTATATAACCTGGGACATCTGTTTCTTCTAATGTTTATATGATTGACACGTCTGATTATTTAGATATTTATCTTGTTCCAGTCATCAGTTACTAAGGATGTAATCTCTAACCTTGTCTATTTATTGCATTATAACCTCTAATTATCTCTTTGTAGGGGTATAACTTATTGCTGGAGGTTGATGATATAGAGAAGAAAATATTGGCCTTACCAGAAGAAGCTAGGTAACATATCAGATTTATACACAACTGAGAAATATATTTATTAGTCCCCAACCGACGAAGTCGAAGGGGACTTCAGGTTTGCACTCCGCCTGTCTGTCTGTCTGTCTGTCTCGTCCATCCTTCTGTCCGGCAAATCAATTTTCCACACTTTTTATTCAAGCTTGAAGATATTGATTTGATATTTGGTGTATTGTATTATCATGACTAGTTATGGACCAAGTTCGAATTTTGTTCCGGTCTGATGATTTTGTGCAGAGTTATGGTCCTTGGACTTAGATAATTCACTAAAATAATCAGTTTTCCACACTTTTTTTCGTCATGCTTGAAGATATTGATTTGATAATTGGTATATAGTTTTATCATGACAAGTTACAGATCAAGTTCGAATTTTGTTCTGGTCTGATGATTTTGTGCAGTTATGGTCCTTGGACTTAGTAAATTCACTTAAATAATCAATTTTCCACACTTGTTTTTGTCATGCTTGAAGATATTGACTTGATATTTGTTATATAGTTTACACCATGACAAGTTATTGATCAAGTTAGCATTTTGTTTCAGGACAATGAATTTTTAACGGGAACTATGTATTGCCATGCAATACTCTCACAATGCTTGTTTATATTCACATCAAACAAAGACTTTAGAAGGTTTTATTATGCGATTCAATTCATGAGTTTCTACATGTATTAAAGCAAGGTGTGGACTAATTGTTTATTGCATGTATAGATCATTGTTGAGTTTCTGATGTGAATTTAATGTAAATCTTCTTTATAATTGAAAATGCTCTCTCACAGTCAGAATTGCTATTTGGCAGAACTGAAATAGCTTTATCAAGCTTTGAAAGAATGTCATAACGTTTTTATACGACCGCAAAAATTAAAAATTTTTTGGTCGTATATTGGTATGACGTTGGCGTCGTCGTCGTCGTCTGGCGTCGTCCGGCGTCGTCCGAAGACACATTGGTTTTCGCACTCTAACTTTAGTTTAAGTGAATGGATCTCCATGAAATTTTACCACAAGGTTCAATACCACGAAAGGAAGGTTGGGATTGATTTTGGGGGTTATGGTACCAACAGTTAAGGAATTAGGGGCCAAAAATAAGCATTTTTGTAACTTCCAGACAATAACTTGTGTGTAAGTGTATGGATCTCTCTGACATTGTACCACAAGGTTCCATATCACAAAGGGAAGGCTGTAATTGATTTTGGGGGTAATTGCCTCAAAATTTTAGGAATTAGGGGCCAAAAAAGGGGCAAAAAACAAGCATTTTTCTAGTTTCATGACAATAACTTGTGTGTAAGTGTTTGGATATTTCTGAAATTGTACTACAAGGTTCCATATCACAAAGGGAAAGCTGGAATTGAGTTTGGGGGTAATTGCTCGAAACGTTTAGGAATTGGGGGCCAAAAAGGGGCCAAAAATAAGCATTTTTCTAGTTTCCAGACAATAACTTGTGTTCAAGTGTATGGATCTCTCTGAAATTGTACTGCAAGGTACCATACCACAAAGGGAAGGCTGGGATTGAGTTTGGGGGTGATGAATCATAATGGGGTTCAAAAAATTTTTTGGGGGGGGGGATTTTTTTTTTTCTTTTTTTTTCTTTTTTTTTCTTTTTTTGCTTTTTTTTTTTTCTTTTAAAATTTTCCATTTTAAGTTGGTTATTTCTGATTTATATTTAAAAGCAAATAATAATGATATGGTAGGAGATACACACCAAACAGGATGTGTAAATTATTATATAATAAGTATTGTGCAATAGCAAGAAATTTTCAATTGCACAGTATTGCACAAAAGCAAGAAATCTTCAATTGCACAGTATTGCGCAATAGCAAGAAATCTTCAATTGCACAGTATTGCGCAATAGCAAGAAATATCCAATAGCACAATATTGAGCAATAGCAAGAAATTGTCAATTGTACAGTATTGCGCAATAGCAAGAAATATTCAATTGCACAGTATTGTGCAAAAGAAGATACTTCGTATAAATTGCTTATTTCTTGATCAATTTCAATGGGGTTTTATTCTTGAATTCTTGGGGTTCTTTAATATGCTGAATCTAACCGTGTATTAAGTTTTTGGATTTTGGGCCCCGTTTTTAAATTGGTCCACATTGAGGTCCAAAGGGTCCAAAATTTAACTTTGTTTGATTTCATCAAAAATTGAATTATTGGGGTTCTTTGATATGCCGAATCTAACCGTGTATTTAGATTCTTAATTTTTGGTTCCGTTTTCAAATTGGTCTACATTAAGGTCCAAAGGGTCCAAAATTAAACTTAGTTTGATTTTAACAAAAATTGAATTTTTAGGGTTCTTTGATATGCTGAATCTAAACATGTATTTAGATTTTTGATTATGGGCCCAGTTTTCAAGTTGGTCCAAATCGGGGTCCAAAATTAAACTTTGTTTGATTTCAACAAAAATTGAATATATGGGGTTCTTTGATATGCTGAATCTAACCATGTATTTAGATTTTTGATTTTTGGGCCCCGTTATCAACTTTGTCCACATTGAGATCAAAAGGGTCCAAAATTAAACTTTGTTTGATTTCATCAAAAATTTAATTCTTGGGGTTCTTTGATATGATGAATCTAACCATGTATTTAGATTTTGGATATTGGACCATAATAGGTGAATGTCCAATTTAAAATTTTCAAGTTCTTAGACCACATTCATTCTGTGTCAGAAACCTATGCTGTGTCAAATATTTAATCACAATCCAAATTCAGAGCTGTATCAAGCTTGAATGTTGTGTCCATACTTGCCCCACCTGTTCAGGGTTCGACCTCTGCGGTCGTATCAAGCTGCGCCCTGCGGAGCATTTTATTAGCTTATATCTTAAAAACTAAAGCTTTTAGAGCAAATCTGACGAAGGGGAAAATTGTTCAATTGGTCAAGATCTATCGGCCCTGAAATTATCAGATGAATCGAACAACCCATTGTTGGGTTTCTGCCACCAAATTGGTAGTTGTAACAAAATTTTGCAGTTTTTATATGACCGCAAAAAAATTTTGTGGTCGTATATTGGTATGACGTTGGCGTTGTCGTCATCCGAAGACACATTGGTTTTCGCACTCTAACTTTAGTTTAAGTGAATGGATCTCTATGAAATTTTACCATAAGGTTCAATACCACAAAAGGAAGGTTGGGATTGATTTTGGGGGTTATGGTACCAACAGTTAAGGAATAAGGGGCCAAAAATAAGCATTTTTGTAACTTCCAGACATAACTTGTGTGTTAGTGTATGGATCTCTCTGACATTGTACCACAAGGTTCCATATCACAAAGGGAATGCTGGGATTGATTTTGGGGGAATTGCCTCAAAATTTTAGGAATAAGGGGGCAAAAAACAAGCATTTTTCTAGTTTCATGACAATAACTTGTGTGTAAGTGTATGGATCTTTCTGAAATTGTACTACAAGGTTCCATATCACAAAGGGAAAGCTGGGTTTGAGTTTGGGGTAATTGCCCTAAACGTTTATTTGTCATTAAAAATGTCATCTATGTCTGCTATTGCTCCCAGAATGTTGCTATTTCCTGGTCAAAGCTGGATAGTTCATCAGGAGAAGACAGCTGGTATTCTGAGAACTGATCCAACAGTTCTGTGATATTCCCATCCCATATAGCCTGTGGAAATCTGTTGGCTATATTTCAAACTGAATAAAAAACCAATTTAATTTGAATACCATTGAATGCCTTATCAAATAGCTAGTTATCCTCTCACACATGTTGTTATGATTGCAAATGATTGATTATGTTTAAGATGCATAATACTTTGTAATTAATATGCCCTTAATGGCCCTTTGATTAGGAAAATAAACATATTTTATTTGATCACTTTCTTTGATCCATTTAAACTCTGACTCCCAACTTTTTTGGTATGTACACACGTATAGTTTTCGCTCAGCACTGGTCTCTATAGACAACGGTACAGGTCCAGAAAGCGACCTCTTTCTGCTGAACATTTCCTCAAAGTGAATTTAAAAGAAAGAAAGTCACAAAACCTTAAAAACTACTCACAAACTAACCTGAAGGGGTTTTGTTGTTCGTCAATATCAAATAATTCGAAATTTTCAGTATTTATCGTCTAATATGAAAAAAAACGAGAATCGTGATATCACTAACGACCAAAAAATCAAAACAACCAAAAAGTGTGCAATGGCGTGTAAAGTGGTAAAAAGCGTGTACACGCCATGTGATAAAATCTTCGCATGTAAACCGTTGAAAAAGCGTGTATTACACGCGAATATCATGTGAGTTGGCAACTATGGTATAGATGCTTAGCAATATGGTGAATATGAACCAGGGTTCACCACAGAATAAATACCAAGGGTGGGGGAGAAATTTCATCAATCAGAGATGGTGTGTTGCGTTGTCGAATCGTTCCTTATTTGTTTATTTTATGCCTTACAAGTTGTTGCCATATATAGCTAATATGGAAAGGGGGTCTTAAAAGCTTAATATTTCAGAAGGTAGAAGACCTGGATCCTTCATACTTTGTAAATAGATGCCTTATGTTATGAAGTTTCCATCTGTCATATGTCCATTGTCCTTGACCTCATTTTCATGGTTCAGTGACTACTTGAAAAAAAAAGTTCAGATTTTTAGTATTCTTAATTTCTCTCTTATTATGAATAAAAGGATAACTATATTTGGTATGTGCTTACCTTGCAAGGTCCTCATGCCTGTCAGACATTTATCACTTGACCTCGACCTCATTTCATGGATCAGTGAACAAGGTTAAGTTTTCGTGGTCAAGTTTATATCTCAGATACTATAAGCCATAGGTCTACTATATTTGGTGTATGGAATGATTGTAAGGTTAAATGTCCAACTGGCAGGTGTTATCTGACCTTGACCTCATTTTCATGGTTCAGTGGTTAAAGTTAAGTTTTTATGTTTTGGTCTGTTTTTCTAATACTGTATGCAGTAGATCAAGAATATTTGGTGTATGGAAATATTTTACGATGTACATGTCAGTCTGGCAGGATTTATATGACCTTGACCTCATTTTTACAGTTCATTGCTCAATGTTAAGTTTTTGTTGAGCCTGCGACTTTTGTCGCAGAAAGCTCGACATAGGGATAGTGATCCAGCAGCGGCAGCGTTAGCTAACTTCTTAAAAGCTTTATATTTTAGAAGGTGGAAGGTCTGGATGCTTCATACTTTGTATATGGATGCCTCATGTTACGAAGTTTCCCTCAGTCACATGTCCAATGTCCTTGACCTCATTTTCATGGTTCAGTGACTACTTGAAAAAAAAGTTAACATTTTTTGTAATGTTAAATTCTCTCTTATTATAAGTAATAGGATAACTATATTTGGTATGTGCGTACCTTGCAAGGTCCTCATGCCGGTCAGACAGTTTTCACTTGACCTCGACCTCATTTCATGGATCAGTGAACAAGGTTAAGTTTTGGTGGTCAAGTCCATATCTCGGATACTATAAGCAATAGGTCCAGTATATTCGGTGTATGGAAGGACTGTAAGGTGTACATGTCCAACTGGCAGGTGTCATCTGACCTTGACCTCATTTTCATGGTTCAGTGGTTAAAGTTAAGTTTTTGTGTTTTGGTCTGTTTTTCTTAGACTGTATGCAATAGGTCTACTATATTTGGTGTATGGAATGATTGTAAGGTGTACATGTCTAGCTGGCAGGTGTCATCTGACCTTGACCTCATTTTCATGGTTCAGTGGTCAAAGTTAAGTTTTTGAGTTTTGGTCTTTTTTTCTAATACTATATGCAATAGTTCAACTATATTTGGTGTATGGAAATATTTTATGATATATTTGTCAGTCACGCAGGTTTTTTTTTACCTTGACCTCATTTTGAAGGTCCATTGCTCAGTGTTAAGTCTTTGTGTTTTGGTCTGTTTTTCTTAAACTATAAGCAATAGGTCAACTATATTTGTTGTATGGAAGAATTGTTAGCTGTACTTGCTTGCCTAGCATGGTTCATCTGACCTTGACCTCATTTTCATGGTTCATTGGTCAATGTTTAGTTTACTTGGTTAATGTTAAGTTTATGTGACAGTTGTAATAAAGCTTTATATTTAGGACTATCAACATAATATCAATGATTAGTAAAGAAGGCGAGACATTTCAGCGTGTGCACTCTTGTTGTGTTTTGGTCTGTTTTTCTTAAACTATGAGCAATAGGTCAACTATATTTGGTGTATGGAATGATTTTAAGGTGTACATGTATTTTTTGCTTGGTTTATCTGACCTTGACCTCATTTTCTTTGATCATGTTAAGTTTATGTGATACTTGTAGTAAAACTTTATATTTAGGACTAGCAACCTAAAATCAATGTTCAGTAAAGCAGGCGGGACATTTCAGCGTTTGCACTCTTGTTAAATATTAGATAAATAAATGATAAAGTTTTGGAGCAAGTTTTCATAATTATGTAAACCAGTTACTGGTATTAATATTATTATTTTTCTTCTTCAGCAGATATCTGCTGCTTTTAATCTGGATTTGTCCATTATTTTATCTTTATTAATCATAGTAAATTGCTCCCAGTACAGCCATTTCAATGAGCAGAATCATCACAGATAAATGATAATGGAAGAAGATAGATCTAGCAAAAATGTATATTTATTAGTCATTCTTGATGGCTAATTTAAACTTTTGTTTTCAACATATTTGACAAAAGTTTGAATCAGTCTGTTCATTGGTAAAACAAGTAGGTCTTTAATATGCCATAACTGATGAATAACATGTAATTAAGTAAATCTGTATCTGAATGGATCAAATTTACATAGCAGAGAGAGTTTATTGCTATCAACTTTTTTTTTCTTTTTATAAAGAACTCCCTTATTTGAACAAAGACATGACATGCTTTTCTCGCTGTATAAATATGTGATTAGTGATGACTTCCTACATCTTATGATGGTCAGAAAAGGCAGGAAACTGGTAGCTAGATGTATACCTAACCTTGAAAAGGTAAGTTTAATAGATAGGATCATCCATGATGAGCAAAACTTTGGTTGACTTGTTTGCAAACTTTGTTACGAGTTTTGCTCAACAATTTTAATATAGATTGAAATTTAAAAACAATAGATAGGCTTCTAATTGTGCAATGATCAGATGTCAATCTAAATTACAATGCTTGAGCAAACATTCTAACAAAGTTTGAAAGTAAGTCCACTAATAACTTTTGGTCAACATGGATTTCTATAATAGCACTAAAGTAACTTAAAATTTAGTTGATATTAAATATATGTCTGTTTAATTACCATAAATCTTTTATTTACTTCATCTGAAAACTACAGTATATGGAAAAAAATTATTGAGGCCGATCTAGTCTGAAAACTATTGAAGTATATGAGGCCATGCATGGCGGACTGTAGTATTTTCGAAAGAAAATTATTTCTTTTTTTTATATCAGTACCAGATAAAGAACGGATAATGATACTGAATTTTATGTCAATACCAGATAAAGACCGGATAATGATACTAATTTTATATCATAATATTTTTAGATTAGATTAAAAAGAATAAGTGAAAATATAGAAGCAGGTCAAAGAAACAATAAACAGTGAAATTTGTTTATACTTAGCTTCTGTTTCAGAAAAATGGAGAGGATGTAGTTATGTTAATATTAAAAAGATTACAAGTGCTGCTGAAGAAAGACCATCTAGATGAGGTAAGAAGTACCCATAATTCTTTACGTCAAAAGTCATTATTCATTGTATATATGATTTGTTCCTATTGTAGCTTGCAAAGTTGAATGATAAATCATGTATTTTTGCATTTGAAAGATAAGAACTACCAGATAATTCCATACTACGATATCAGAAGGAGACAACTCCACAATGGTTTTTTTTATATAACAGTTTTTTCTTCATAGATTTAAGTGTAAAAAAAAAACTAATGGTTATTTAGGATAATAAATGTGATGTTAAAAATTGCTAGTCTATAAATAAATCAAATAAAATTCATTTGTTCAAAGACTTGAGATATTCCTGTTGTTAAAGGATTTTTGAAAGACCTATAAATTATATTCTAAAATGCATATTTGTATAAAGGAATACTAAAATTTTTAGATTTTTTTGTAACTTTCTGATATTTAGTTTTCTGTAGTACCCTTTATGTTTGTCATTGCCTGCAACTGTATAATATAAAATAAGGAGATGTGGTATGATTGCCAATGAGACAACTATCCAGCAGTTCAAATGAAGTGGATGTAAGCAATTATAGGCAATGGTACGGCCTTCAACAATGAGAAAAACCCATACCATATGGTCGGCTGTAAAAGGCCCCGACATGAAAAATATGAAATGATTCAATTGAGAAAACTAACGGCCTAATTTATAACAAAACAATTTACGAAAAACAAATATGACAGACATAAACCAACAACAACCACTGAACTACAGGCTCCTGACTTGGGACAGGCACATAAAGAATGTGGCAGGGTTAAACATGATTGTGAGCGCTCAACCCTCCGCCTAACCAGGGACAGTGGTGTTACAGCACAACATAAGAACAAACTATAAAATTCAGTTGAAAATGGCTTAACTCATCATATGGATAAGATCTCATGTTTAATGCTTTGTTGATTACTGTAAATTCAGAAATTTCAACGGGATAGGTTTAGCTAAAGTAAAAAGTTTCATTTAAAATTTTGATAGCATTATGTTTGCACCATTTCCTAGAATCATAAAAATCAATCTCACATTTTGTCCATTGTTTAACAATCACAATTATAATTTCATAATTTACAGTATTTTAAAATCGTGACATTCTGATTCAAAATACATGCACACAGTACATTATATTATTATATATTTGCAGGGATTAATGGTTTTACACGATCCTGTGGTCAGAACAATTCAAAGCTGTGATTTAAAAAGTTTAGTCCAGTTCTTATCAACTTTACTGTCAGAATCAGATACAGCTTCCCAAGCTTTGCAAAATCAGGTTTGTTTCAATTCCTACCCTCTTTGAACCAGAGAGAGCTTACTATCAATTTTTCATTATTTATGGAATACCATTTTTAGGCAGTTAAGCTGCCTTATGCGAGCACCCTAGATTTGTGTTCTACCCAATAAATGCTGAAATACGTGCCATTGTTATTATCTAGCTGGCTATTATGTTATTTATAACTAACTGGACATTTTTTTAATACTTTTATTTCTAGAATACAAAAAATATGACCAGAAAAACCTTAAATGATCGTCGAACTACCCAGAACTTTTGAAGTTGCACATAGGAAGTAGTGCTCAATAGAAATCCGTACGTAGTTTATTATCCCCTGTGCTTTTGGCTACGATGTCAAAGAACAATTGTATGAAATATTTCATCGCCGAAAATAGGTAATTACAAGTCGTTTATATTTCCCAAATGGCAAAAAGCGCAGGAATATTGTTCATGTACAACAAATCTCTATGATAGAGGAAATAAAGTTATATAAGTGGGTGGTAATTTCTAACTTATCTTGCCAAATAAGGTTGTTGTTATTTTATGAATGAAACGAGGTCATGAAAACAGATGCGGAAATCGACGTTGATGGGATGTTTTAAGTAATGTGGACAACTCGTCCCCGAGACAAGTCGGACCGAATCCAATCAAACCGTCTAAGAAGACAACTTTGACCGTTTGTCAGATTTACTTAGGGTTTCATAAAAATATGAGACTAACATGTCTAGCGGAGCCATTAATCTTTTGTTTGTGCATAGGGGTCTATTTAGGGGTATTTGGAGGGGCCTCAAGAAGGGAGGGGTTTACTATAGAACCCTATGGGATTTTTATATTTTTAAATTTTCAAATGACTCAGTAGGTGATAGACACATGCAGTCTTCAGTAATGAGAACAGGACAATACAAAAAATCAACCAAAATATAGGGTGAGTCCCTGGGGGTCATCCCAACCCCCTTCAATTTGAAGATGTACTTTTATCTTGTAAACCATCCCGTTCCCCACCCCTAAACAATATATATACTTGAATGGGACAATAAAAGAAATCAAATGAAAATAATTTGGGGGAGTCCCCAGTACCGTCCCACCCCCTCCTGTTTGAGAACTTGGAAATAGTCAAGATCCCCACCCCTAAACCATATATATTCATGTATGGGACAATAAAACAAATCAAAAATGAAATATAGAGTGAGTCCCTAGGGTCACCCCACCCCCTCCTGTTTGAGAACTTGTAAACGGTCGAGATCCCCACCCCTAAACCATTTATATTCATGTATGGGACAATATAACAAATCAAATGAAATATATAGGGGAGTCCCTGGGGTCACCCCAACCCCTCCTGTTTGAGAACTTGGAAATGGTTGAGATCCCCACCCCTAAACCATATACATTCATGTATGGGACAATAAAACAAATCAAATGAAATATAGGGGGAGTCAATGGGGTCACCCCACCCCCTTCTGTTTGAGAACTTGTAAACAGTTGAGATCCCCACCCCTAAACCATATGTATTCATGTATGGGACAATATAACAAATCAAATGAAATATAGGGGAGTCCCTGGGGTCACCCCACCGCCTCCTGTTTGAGATCTTGGAAATGGTCGAGATCCCCACCCTTAAACCATATGTATTCTTGTATGGGACAATATAACAAATCAAATGAAATATAGGGGGAGTCCCTGGGGTCACCCCATCCCCTCCTGTTTGAGAACTTGGAAATGGTCAAGATCCCCACCCCTAAACCATATATATTCATGTATGGGACAATAAAACAAATCAAAAATGAAATATAGAGTGAGTCCCTGGGGTCACCCCACCCCCTTCTGTTTGAGAACTTGTAAACGGTCGAGATCCCCACCCCTAAACCATATATATTCATGTATGGGACAATATAACAAATCAAATGAAATATAGGGGGAGTCCCTGGGGTCACCCAAAGCCCTCCTGTTTGAGAACTTGGAAATGGTTGAGATCCCCACCCCTAAACCATATACATTCATGTATGGGACAATAAAACAAATCAAATGAAATATAGGGGGAGTCCCTGGGGACACCCCCGCCCCTCCTGTTTGAGAACTTGTAAACAGTCAAGATCCCCACCCCTAAACCATATATATTCATGTATGGGACAATATAACAAATCAAATGAAATATATGGGGAGTTCCTCGGGTCACCCAACCCCCTCCTGTTTGATAACTTGGAAATGGTCAAGATACCCACACCTTAACCATATATATTCATGTATGGGACAATAAAACAAATCAAATGAAATATATGGGGAGTCCCTGGGGTCACCCCAACCCCTCCTGTTTGAGAACTTGTAAACGGTCGAGATCCCCACCCCTAAACCATATATATTCATGTATGGGACAATATAACAAAACAAATGAAATATATTGGGAGTCCCTGGGGTCACCCCAACCCCTCCTGTTTGAGAACTTGGAAATGGTTGAGATCCCCACCCCTAAACCATATACATTCATGTATGGGACAATAAAACAAATCAAATGAAATATAGGGGGAGTCCCTGGGGACACCCCCGCCCCTCCTGCTTGAGAACTTGTAAACAGTCAAGATCCCCAACCCTAAACCATATATATTCATGTATGGGACAATATAACAAATCAAATGAAATATATGGGGAGTTCCTCGGGTCACCCCACCCCCTCCTGTTTGATAACTTGGAAATGGTCGAGATCCCCACCCCTAAACCATATATATTAATGTATGGGACAATAAAACAAATCAAATGAAATATAGGGAGAGTCCATGGGGACACCCCACCCCCTCTTGTTTGAGAACTTGTAAACAGTCAAGATCCCCACCCTAAACCATATATATTCATGTATGGGACAATATAACAAATCAAATGAAATATTTGGGGAGTCCCTGGGGTCACCCCACCGCCTCCTGTTTGAGATCTTGGAAATGGTCGAGATCCCCACCCTTAAACCATATGTATTCATGTATGGGACAATATAACAAATCAAATGAAATATAGGGGGAGTCCCTGGGGTCACCCCATCCCCTCCTGTTTGAGAACTTGGAAATGGTCGAGATCCCCACCCCTAAACCATATGTATTCATGTATGGGACAATATAACAAATCAAATGAAATATAGGGGGAGTCCCTGGGGTCACCCCACCCCCTCCTGTTTGAGAACTTGTAAACGGTCGAGATACCCACACCTAAACCATATTTATTCCTGTTCATCAATTCAAAAAGATTTGAATGACATACAGGGTCAATCTCCTTGGTGTCACATATGCATATCACTTTACTAGACCAAACCAATATGAACTGGACTTTGCCCAATGTCAGGAGACCATGGGAATGACGAATTATGGGGGCTTTGTTTGGGAGACTTCGTAACGGCATCCTGTTACAATTATTTCTTGTTTGTTATAAAAAAAATTTGATGCAAAAAATGAGTCTAGATTATTGAATTTACTTTAATTGTTTATTAAATTATTTCTAGGCCTATCATAATTTTCATTTATGGCTCATTTTAAAGAAAACATTTAAATCTTTCAAGCAGTGTAAAGCCCAAGAATGTTTGACCAACTGTTTTATAATCACCTGTCATTTTATTCCAAAATAGGTATGGAGTCACATCATGCACTTGGGGATGAAGATGGGGGTCATTTACATTGATATATGAGTTGCTTTTGAAAACCTTGATGAAATATTAATTAATTTGCCTTAATAATCAATTCATTTATTGAACATAAATGTACAATATATGAATGTTTAATGTTTGTTCTTTCAAATCTTAAAAAAAAATTGAAGCAACATTGCCACAGTTTTCATAATTACGTTTGCCTTGGTTTTTGGTTAACTGCCTACAGCGCTTACAGTGCTTTGATTCATGAATTTCATGGGTATATGTTAATCACAAATACTCATGTTCAACAAAGTGTGATTTCCAATGAATGAGAACTTTCCATCGGACTCCAATTGACGTGGAAAAGTCAATGATTTCAGCCTTCAAAAATGAGCAAATCCCATACCACATGGCAAGCTATAAAAGGCTCAGCATGACAAATGAAGAACAATTCAAATAAAAAAACTAAAGGCCTGATTTATGTAAAAAACAAATATGATATACAACAACAAACAACAACTACTGATTTACAGGCTCCTGACTTGTGGACCTGGGACAGTGGTGTAACAGCACAACATAAGCACAAACTATACAAATCAGTTGTAAAATAAAATTGAGAATGGAAATGGGGAATATGTCAAAGAGACAACAACCCGACCAAAGAGCAGACAACAGCTGAAGGCCACCAACGGGTCTTCAATGCAGCAAGAAAATCCCTCAGCTGGCCCCTAAATAAAATTGTGTACTAGTTCAGTGAAAATGGACGTCACACTAAACTCCAAAACATATAAATGAACTCAAATTAAAAAACATACAAGACTAACAAAGGCCAGAGGCTCCTGACTTGGGACAGGCGCAAAAATGTGGCGGGGTTAAACATGTTTTGTGAGATCTCAACCCTCCCCCTATAAAAAACAAAAGACTTGGCTCATCAGATCAACACAAAGCACACAAAAAAAATAATAAAAAGACTTAAGACATAAAGTACCAATTAGAGATTACTCACAGTTACTGAAAGCCAGTAATAACTTAAGAAAAAAAGCATGTATCCAAGTGTGAAATTTTGCATATTTTGCTTTTTATGAGTAGCAATAGGTGTCAACAAAACTGAAAAAAGCTGCAATTGATGAAACATAATTTTCTATGATAATGTCATCCGGGATCTTCCTTTTGTGGCACTTTTCATTTCAATAAACAAGAGTACAACCAAACATGATAATTGTCAGTAGTTATTTTTCTTCATGAAGAGCATTTCAGGAGAAAGACATGTACTAATATGCAGTCAAACCTGCCATAAATTCACTTCATTTCAGCAATCACCTGTCTCTAACGGCCACTTTCAGACCCTCTCAAACGTTTCCCTATATAATTTAACTCAAATCGGCGGTCAGCTGTCTAATGCGGTCTGTATATGCAACACCTTACCTTACATTACAATAAATTTCTATATGAATTTGTTGCATTTTATGGTGCAGATCATTTCTATATAGGTTCTTATTTTTCTCATGAGTTAATTATTTGTTTTCTTTTTTCTAGTTTGGAAGTTCTGTTGTTTGTACATTAATTCATCGTGGTGAAGTGCTGTACAAAGATACATCGCCATTAGACATAGATAATCAGCTACAGACAGAGTGGTAAGTTTAACAGGTCTATCACATGAATATAAGTCACATTAATTCACCATAGTGAAGTGCTGTACAAAGACACATCACCATTAGATATAGATAATCAGCTACAGACAGAGTGGTAAGTTTTACAGGTCTGTAACATGTATATAAGTCACATAAATTCACCATGGTGAAGTGCTGTACAAAGATACATCGCCATTAGACATAGATAATCAGCTACAGACCGAGTGGTAAGTTTGACAGGTCTATAACATGTATATATAAGTCACATAAATTCAACATGGTGAGGTGCTGTACAAAGATACATCGCCATTAGATATACTGTAAATTCAGAAATTATTGCGAGGTTTTTATTAATGCGAATAATGCGACTGGGTGACTATCGCAATAATAAGAACTCGCATTCTGATGTCTGTTACATATATCTGTATGCAGATTTTCATGATATCGCAATAATTAATCTCGCATTTTTGTCCATTTTTGAAAAGATACATCACCGTTAGATTTTGATAATCAGCTACAGACTGAGTGGTAAGTTTGACAGGTCTATTTTATGAAAGTCACTTTGAATAAGTGCTGTACAATCAGATCTGACCTTTAACAATATTAGGACAAAATGTCATCAAGAATACTCCAATGTTAGCTTACCTGGTCTGAAGATATTGTGTGTGTGTGGTATTGCTATTGCTTGTTTGATGACATCTTGATGTTTTTTCCATCTGATAACTGAATAAACTTCCTTGAAAAGGTAGCCAATTAAAATCATATTTTCAAAATTTATATCCATTAATACTGACGAACAGTCATTGTGGCTGTATTTATTATTAATACTAGATAAAAGGAGTAAAATGTATTTAATATGTCCACCATGTAAATGGCTGATTTTTTTTGGACCAGATATTAATCATTCTGTTTTAAGTGTGGGGTTAGTTTATCTCTTCTGGACAACCAAGATGTCTTTCTTAAAAATGATTTATGCGATCAAAAATGCAGTATATTCTTTATATTTACACTGTTTGCAACAAGACATTGAACAACCAACAATAAATCAATTCAAATTTGTTTGTCCTTTCCAAATTCAAGATGACAGCCATTACATAACATTGATGAAGGACTAAATTGAAAAATACATATAAAAACCCTCAGCTTAAAAACAAAAATAATAATATTTTTTAATTCCTATCAAATAGTTAAAACCATTTTGGCAGAAATATTTCTGAGGTTGTTACCTTCTGAATTAAAAATTACCTCTTGAAAATCTATTGTGTAATTGTCTCTGTTAATTGAATTATAACATAATTTAACATAACATATATAGGCAACAGGTGATTGATATAGGTGCAAAAAGTTCAGAAAGGAAACTTTAGAGAATTTCAAGGCTTATTGTAAAGACTTTATTTATTTTGAGAATTGTGGCAAGTTGAATACAATTTGAACAAAATAAATAATGAAAAATGTGGTTACTATATGTATACTAGTTATAGCTTTATTTATTATCTGTGGTAACGAAGTATAGTTTTCCTCTTTCAGGTGTCAGTTTGTGCATGATTTGGCCAGTGTCCTTGCTACAGTGCCATTAGAATCTCTGGTGAAGCCAAAACTTCCACAGACAACAATATCAGGACATTTTGACCGTCTGCTCAACAAAAAGCAGATTGCCTCTCTTGAAGATAAATTGAAAGTGATAGCAGAACCTCAGACTGTTTCTTGACCTTTGACCTTGTACTTAAAGAATTCTGTGATGTCAGAATGAGGTCAGGTGATAGTGATGAATGCATTTTCTGTGTATGTGATGTAGACTATATTGGTTTCTATGATAGGATGTTAGTTTTCCTGTAACATGTGTATTCAATTATTGTTTAGAAAATTCAGCAGGAATTAAGTGTTGTATTTCAGTATAAACTTATTTAATTTTCAGATGTATAACATTTTTATTCACAATTGAAGTAAGTGAAATGTTGTCACAAAGTCTGTTTTGATGGAAAGAAAATATATAACCGTTTAATTCATTTTTTTTAAAGATTTCCGGTGATTTGTATCATATCAACATAGGAGAAAAATAAACAGAAAAAAATCATATTTGAAATTTAGAATTTTCTCTCTAAATTTTTACCACAACATTTCACATGCACCCATATTTTGCAGTACATTTTTTCACAGATATTGTTTTGCTAGAATCATAGGTTGTAATTAATCACAATGTATTAAGAAACATAGATTAGTAGATTAGCAGGGCTCTGTAATAGATATTTTGCATTCACCTTGTCTGTATGTCTGTCCATTGGACCATTTGTCCGTCCATCAAATATTTCCATTATATTTTCTCAAGTATCAATGAAAATATTGACTTCATATTTGGTTAGCAGCTTGTCAGTCAGGAATTGTATAATGAAGTATGCTTAGCAAGACAATGCTTACATTCTTGTTTATCTGACATTTTCATCATTTATAACATAAAATATGGTCATTGTTTATGAATTGTCATACAATGTCCAGAATTGCTTTATAAATTTTACTAAGAGAGCCCAGAATTTAAAGGACACTAATCATTTTCATTCCAATGCTATAAACCCATTTTTTTGCCTTTGACTATATCAAAAAGTTATTTTAGAATTTGAAGGAACTCAAGATAAACAATGCTTGGTCAATGAGTATTCTGGTGAATATTTGGCAATTAAAATCTTCTTGTTAAACTTGCATTGTAGGTGGATTTTAAGAATAAAACGTGTCTGCCTACAACTTTATACTTTTTAACAAGTGTCCCTTAGAAAAAAAGATCCATACACAACAATCTAAAATAGGTGTTCCTCATTGCAAGGTAATGCTAACTATAGTGTTGAAAACATAATGTTGTAGAGGTCTGCTAAACAAATTCTTGTAAAACTTATCAAGTATTTGTAAATAAACAAATGGTTTATAAACTTCCTGGACATAAGTTTGATGTATTAACTCAATTTACACAATGTATGATTAATTTTAGTATCAAGGAAATATATATGGCACTAACAAACTTTACATGTACATTACAAGTTTGTTACAAATTCACTGACTACAAGTGTTAGTAAAACAAAAGTTTTTCATAGTTTAGTTTATGTAATACATTTGTATTTTCGATATAAGGATCAAACAGTTCAAAAACTAACATTTGCCATTCAAAAATTCGACCAATATTTTAGTACCTATAATAACTTATAAAATGTAGTAGACTGTACTATACTTCTTTTGAATGAAGTAAATAAAGATTTGATTTAACATATAACTTTTTTGGGGGAGGGGAGGTGCAAGTAATGAGCAATTTCTCATGTTTTTTCTCTGCATAATTCATAGATTCTCCTTCCTATAAACACTTGGATATGAGTTTGGTTTAAAATTGACAGAAATTCAAACATCTTGTTCAAAAACATATAAATGGATCATAAGTAAACAATAGTCAATCAATCAAAAATAAATATTATATGTAGGTTTTCATACCAGCAATCATATACTGCTGGATTCATACTACAGACAAATCAGAAATACATGCTACTGTATATAATTGTTGGACACATCAGGTTAAGTGACATGGCTGAATTTACTCAAGTCATAAAAATAAAAACAATGTCATGAACTGTTACATTTTGTCACAATACTTCAAAGGATCAAGTATACAGAGGTTACATTATTATCCACTCTGATTGGTTTTGACATTGTAACACAGTGTCCTAAATTACAGAAGTTTCATTGTTATCCACTTGGATTGGTTCTGACATTGTAATACAGTGTCCTAAATTACAGAAGTTTCATTGTTATCCACTCTGATTGGTTCTGACATTGTAATACAGTGTCCTAAATTACAGAAGTTTCATTGTTATCCACTCTGATTGGTTCTGACATTGTAATACAGTGTCCTAAATTACAGAAGTTTCATTGTTATCCACTCTGATTGGTTCTGACATTGTAATACAGTGTCCTAAATTACAGAAGTTTCATTGTTATCCACTCTGATTGGTTCTGACATTGTAATACAGTGTCCTAAATTACAGAAGTTTCATTGTTATCCACTCTGATTGGTTCTGACATTGTAATACAGTGTCCTAAATTACAGAAGTTTCATTGTTATCCACTCTGATTGGTTCTGACATTGTAATACAGTGTCCTAAATTACAGAAGTTTCATTGTTATCCACTGTTGATTGGTTCTGACATTGTAATACAGTGTCCTAAATTACAGAAGTTTCATTGTTATCCACTGTTGATTGGTTCTGACATTGTCCTCAATTACAGAATTTTCTGTTTTGTTTATAATATCAAGTAGTTTTCTGAGATTAATTTTCATAATACTGTTAGTGCCATCATATATTTTAGATTAAAAATGGGGAATGATAAATATTAACATGTATTATATTTACTAAAACAATATTTTATTAGATTACAATGAACATTTTATTTGCTTCTGGTTGAAATAGTAGATGTTGTATTTGCGAATTTAAAGATGAAATTGATTTTCACAATTAAGGATAATGAATATTTAATAACTCTTTTGTATTTTGATACCATTTGAAATATAAGTTATGTTAGAGTGATCAATAATATCTTTTTTTAAGTTGCTCTTAACCAAGAAAATTAATTGTAAGCTGTTTTTGAAATTTTTACATCAGTACATTTAGCAGGAGCTAGCATAATATAATTCGCCAAAGAAATTTCTTTGGTTTGAAAACAAAGCACATTTTCTTGAAAATTATGAAAAAATATAATAAATAACAGACTTTTATTGTATATTAAAAACTCCTTTTCAAAAATTGTTAATGACAAACCTAAACTTTTTGTAATTTCTTTTTTTTATAAAAAATCATTTCAAAACGTATTTTTTCTTATACAGATGCCATAATTGTTTTGCATGTTTTTGTTTCTCATAGATAGAAACATTGTAAGTAGATCATGATGTATATTTGGAGAGTTATATTAAGAACCAGTTCTGTGGGGCGACATTTGTTATGCCCAGGCGACATGTTGTTATGCCTTAAAACACAGACTGAAGAACTAGCCATTAGGCTTTTTCCTAGTGCTCTTTGTTACTTAGTAACATTACAAATAAAATTTTGCAAATCCTACTTGTTAATTCTTTACATATTGGAAGGATTTTCTGAAAAAAAATATTTGTAGGACTAAATTTTGATCCTATATTGGTATGTTTTCTTTTATCCACTCACAACAAAGTTGCAGAAGGAAAAGTTACAGGTATAAAGACAAAAGATATTATGACTGAGTAAAGAATGTAGTGTCGAACAAAAGGATAGTTGGTACTACTTATGCCAGCATTCAGTAACTCATATTTAAAACAATGAATATTAATAGAGTCAATTTCAATGTAACTTCCAAAGTATTTCCTCACTATTTTTATTATTTTGAATTATTTCAGAAGAAAAGAGAAGACTTTTGTAAACACATAAAAATTTGAGTAGATAATTCCAAAATGTTGAAATAAAAATATTCCACCACTCTAACAATTAATACTAAATTGCCTACTGATTACTACTAAGTTATTTTTTGCTGCTCTGTTAATACATTTGTATACTTCATTTTCCAGAATTTTATTTAGAACTAGATCAAAATTTCTCAAATCAAAATTTGGCTTTACTATTTCTGCATATGGTTGAATAAGGCTTTTTAGCTCTGCTTTATTTTCATCATAAGGAGTCCAGCTTCCATTAACTTTTACAAAAATCTTCTCCTCTGAAATTACTGGGCCAAATTTAACCAAACTTTGCAACAATCATTTTTGAGTTATCTGGTTTAAAAATTATGTCAGATGATCCCACCTGCCAACTAACATGGCCGACATGGCTAAAAGTAAAACATAGGGGTAAAATGCTAGTTTTGTGCATTATGTTGAAAATTTGATTGTTCAGAATGTTGAGATCTACCAACTGTCATTGAAGGTCAAAACAATCAGTAGATTTCTTAAAGGAGATAATGCCCTTTAATCGCGATTTTTATGCCCCCGCCGTAACGGAGGGAGCATTAAGTTTTACCCTTGTCCGTCTGTACGTACGTACGTCCCAAAATTGGTTTCCGTTCTCTAACTTTAGTTTGCCTCAACCAAATGTTATGAAACTTATACACAATGCTTATTACCACAAAACACAGATCAAGTTTGAATTTTGGTGGCGTCACTTTTACTGTTCTAGAGTTACAATGTATGCCCCTTTACAAATGGAAAATTGCTGAATTTATCGTTTCCATTCTCTAACTTTAGTTTGCCTCAACCAAATGTTATGAAACTTATACACAATGCTTATTACCACAAAACGCAGATCAAGTTTGAATTTTGGTGGCGTCACTTTTACCGTTCTAGAGTTATGCCCCTTTACAAATGGAAAAATTGCAAAATTTTAATTTCTTCTAAATATCAAGTAATTTTATTAAAATTGGAGTTATCTTCCTTTGTCCATGATTATAGTTGAATCAACTACAATCTATGCTTTATACAATGCAATGTTTAATTTTGACTTCCACTGATAAAACACAGATCAAGTTGAATTTGGGTAGTGTCACTTCAATCATTATTGAGTGATGCCCCTTTATAAATCGAAAGATTGCAAAATTTTTAGTTTCCATTCTGTAACTTAAGTTTGCCCCAACCAAACATTATGAAACCTATACACAATATTCATTACCAAAAAACTAAGATCAAGTACAAATTTTTTGTTTCCGTTTTCTAACTTTAGTTTGCCTCAACCAAATGTTGTGAAACTTATACACAATGCTTATTACTACATAATACAGATTAAGTACGAAATTTGATGGCAACACTTTTACCATTCTTGAGTTATGTCCCTTTATAAACATAAAAATTGCTGAATTTTATGTTCCATTCTCTAACTTTAGTTTGTCTCAACCAAATGTTATAAAACTTATACACAACTGTTCTAGAGTTATGCGTGTTTATCTTCTTATATCTCTTTACAAATAGAAAAATTGCTGAATTTTTAGTTTCTGTTCTCTACTTTAGTTAGCCTCAACCAAATGTTATGAGACTTACACACAATGCTTATTACCACAAAACTCAGATCAAGTTCAAATTTGGGTAGCGTCACTTTTACCGTTCTTCAGTTATGTCCCTTTATAACTATATGATATGCAAGCGGGGGCATCATCTGTGTCCACATGTGGACACTATCCACATTTATTCTTAATTATTTTCCCAATTTGCCTATGATCTTGAAAACTACAATATATAGAAACTTCGAATAGCATAAATAATTGGCAAGACAAGATCTACTAGTAAGTCAACATGTCAGAATTTTTTCCAGTCAACTCCTTATATGAGTAATTGCCCTTAAATGACCAATTTTTGCATTTTTTTTTGCCTATTACCTGTATCTTGAATGTCAATAATTCAATAATAGATGGATAGAAACTTTAAAAATCAAAAAAATATCAGCAAAACAAGATCTACAAATCAGTGAATATGTTCGAAAAAGTAGGGCAACTTTATTAGAGATATTGCCCTTAAATGGCGTTTATTATGAATCCATATCATATAATAGATGCAAAATATTTTATTCAGTGAAAACTTTGCCTTCTAATTAACTTACGTGTTTTATTGCTGAAGTTTACCTCTATAAACAATAAACAATCAACACAAAATCATGGAGCACGTGAAAAATAAGTCAGATGATAGACATGCAATGTCGTGATGTTCAGTTTGTTTGTCTTGCCTGAGATGAAATTCACAGAATGTGACAGACATAGGGATTACAATCAGACGTTGGCGGCAATGGTGTAAACTATTTGTTTAAAGCTTTATCTTTCAGAAGGTCACAGACCTGGATTTTTCATACCTTGTATACAGATACCTTATATTACAAAGTTTCCGTCTGTAATATGTCCATTGTACTTGACCTCCCTTTCATGGTTCAGTAACTGCTTGAGAAAAAAATGTTTTTTCCGTCATGTGAAATACTCACTATGATAACTATATTTGTTAAATTGGTTCCCTGTAAGGTTTACATGTCTGTCAGATAGGGTAAACCTGACCTCAACCTCATTTTACAGATCAGTGATCAAGGTTAAGTTTTCATGGTCAAGTCCTTATGTCGGATATTACATGTATAAGCAATAGGTCAACTATAATAATATTGGTGTATGGAATGATTGTAAGCTGTACATGTCCAACTGGTAGGTTTCAACTGACATGGAAATCATTTTCATGGTTTATTAGACAAACATGTTTAGTTTTTGTGGTTAGGTCTATTTCTCTAAGCAACTGGTAGGTTTCAACTGACATGGAAATCATTTTCATGGTTTATTAGACAAACATGTTTAGTTTTTGTGGTTAGGTCTATTTCTCTAAATGATTGTAAGGTAAATATGTTTGTTTGGCAGGTTTCATATGACGTTGACCCAATTTTCATGGTTCATTGCTCAGTGATAAGTTTTCGTAGTTTTATCAGTTTATCAGATGCTATATGCAATAGGTCAAGTATATTTGATGTTTGGAATGATTGTAAGGTGCACATGTCTATCTGGCAGGGTTCATATCACCTTGACCCAATTTTCATGGTTCATTGCTCAATGATAAGTTTTCGTGGTTTTATCAGTTTATCAGATGCTATATGCAATTGGTCAACTATATTTTATGTTTGGAATGATTGTAAGGTGCACATGTCTATCTGGCAGGGTTCATATCACCTTGACCTCATTTTCATGGTTCATTTGTCAATGTTAAGAGGGGATCTAGGTAGTCCAACTACTGTATCATTAGCCAGTCAACACTGAGGTTGTGAGTTTGAATCCCGCACGGGGCAGGTGCACTCGACTCCAATCTTAACTGACTAGGATTGTCAGTTTTCCTACCGAAGGTCGGTGGTTCTCTCCGGGCACTCCGGCTTCCTCCACCAATAAAAACTGACCGCCATAAAATAGCACAATAGTGATGAAAGTGGCGTTAAACACCAATCAATCAATCAATCAATGTTATAATTTTGGGTTTGATTTGTTTCTCATGTACTATAAGCAATATGACATTATGTTTGGTGTTGGAATGCTTGTAAGGTGTACATGTTTGTCTGGCATTATTTATCTGACCGCGACTTCATTATTCATGGATCATTCATGAAACTTGCAGTAAAACCTTCATAATTACAGAATTTCAACATAAATTCAATCATGAGTAAAACAGGCGAGACATTTCAGCGTCAAAGGTCAAAAATACTAGTACTTATTTACGTACTATATACATAATTCGATTTACGTATATACAAAAATAATTCCGTAAGTACGTCTAAACAAGTGACAACTCTACGACAGATCCATCTATTGGATCACCAGTGAAGGTGATACATGGCTGAAAACACATATTATATTAATAATTACTCTAAATATCAGCACAACAATGTTAAATCTGCAAATTTGCGGAATCAAATTTTTGTTCTTCCCTCGCCAGGATTCGAACTCATGCTATTGAGATATCGAGACAACACCGCCTGCACTGTTGGTCCAGTGCTCTAGACCACTCGGCCACCTAGACTGAACTAAAAATTCAGCTTTCAGTGGCGTATATACGTAAATCGAATTCCGTATATACATAATTGAGGTAAATTATATGGCCTCCCAAATACCGTTTCGATTCCTAACATCACTGAAGAGAAATTAATTGTCGAAATCCGGATATGGTGAACAAATTTTTGCACCTCATGTTTGCGGTATACCATCTTTTCCGCAAGTTTATTGTTTTCTGTTTGGTATTAAATTTATAATTAAGATCCATTTTGTTACATCTGGTGATCCGTTTATTTGGCAATCGCCATGGCAGTCAGTAGGGTTTAAGAACATCCGTTGTTCGACCTGTAAGTCAAATGCGTTTTGTTAAAATATACTCTTTCACTTTTTTGGTCTTTTGGAAAATGTTGTTTGTGCTGTATTTAGACCCCTATTCCAAGCAATTTGTTTTGCATGCACACGTATAAAAATTGCGGTTTTTATCCAACGCCCCGGCAATCATAGGTTTGAACGTTGTTTTCAATTTAGACTTGTTCATAATTATTTCTGTATATACGTAATTCGATTTACGTATATATACGTAAATCGAATAACAGAAATACAGAAATAATTATGTATATACCTGAATAAGTATTTTTGACCCTGATTCCGCGCCATATTAGATCGTTTTCTCAAATACTATAAGCAGTAGGTAAACTATATGTGGTGTATGGAATAATTGTCAAGCGTACAAGTCAATCTGGCTGAGTTTGTTTGACTTTTACCTTATTTTCATGTTTCTCTAATAAGTTTTCGTTATAAGGTCCTTATCTCAAATACCATAAGCATAAGGTCTTTGCTGTATTGAATGATTGTAAGGTGTGAATGTCCATCGATCTGGCAGGGTTTATCTGACCTTGACCTCGTTTGCATGTTTAATTAGTCAATATTAAGTTTCGCATTCAGATCCTTTTCTCATATGCTGTGTATAGAATGATTGTAAGGTGTACATAATCATCGGCCATGGTTCATCTGACCGCAACCTCATTTTTATGGTTCATTGTTCAATGATATTTTTTCGTAATAAGGTCCGTTTCTCAGATACTAAGCACATAGATATAATAGCCATATCTATGGTCATTATATCTATGCTAAGCAGTATGCCAACAATCTTTGGTGTATGGAATGATTGTAAGGTGCTTATGTCTGTCTGATAGGGTTCATCTGACCTTGACCTCAGTTGTATGGTTCATTGCTCAACATAAAGATTTTGTGTGGATACACCTGTTTCTTGGATACTGTAAGCAAAGTGACAACTATATATGGTGCCATATTTTATCCTTTTTTCTGTATTCAACTGTAGTTCTACCTGTTCCAATTACATGCTTATTTTCATAATTTCCTGAAGTGATCGGCCGTTTACTTAACTTTTACTTTAATCACGAGTTCTCCAAAAGGTTCACATTTACCGTTAAATCTACAAGGAAATGTTTTAATTACTTATACAAGTATTACTTTGTGTATTTGTTATATAACTTGAGTTATATGAATGTCCTTCATATTTAAATTGATGTTTTAAATGCTATCAGGAGCTGCGTATCTTGACAAAGAATTCGATTCACACTACAGAGAATCAATACCTCCTTAAATTTAAAATATATTAATATACACATAATGGGTATACATTTCAGTGTAGGTTATTTAAATTCTTTAAGTTCGACATGCATTGTTTATTGTTGTTTTCTGGATGACTTGATATTCCAGTACATATTGGTTCGAATCGTGGACTTCCTAGTTACTCTAACGAAAATGGAAATACTATGCAGACTCGTGTTTGCTATCTGTTTCTTCACGATCTTTAAAGCAGGTATTTAGCTATGCGTATTAGATAATTATAGTAGCATACAATTGTTGTTTTAAAAGAACAATTTATGGTTTTCGTTTTTATCTATTATTTTGTAAAAAAAAAATCTCGCGCGTAACTCCATCTATTAATTGAAAGTTACGCACAAGAAAAGTATATCGGAGAGGGGCTGTAATGTTTGGAAAAAATCTGATTGGAATTATCGGGGGATTGTTTCGTTTATGGTCGAGTTTTTCAAGCGTTCATATTATTCTATTTGATTATTGTTTTAATACACGTAAAAAAAGATGTTGGATATTTTTTTGCACTAACGTGAAACTATGTACTCACATAAAATCCCAGTCTCATGTGTACATGATAAAAAAATTGGGGGCCAGCACTTAATTCTAACATCCTCGTCCACATTTCTCTACTAAAACAACAATCGTGTGCTGTTAAGTGGCAGATCTCAGCATAGTTATGTTAATACAGTGTGTTGTGAAATAGTTGTCTTAAAGGATATGATGCGGTTTATTTTGAACATTTGATGATATTGGCATATCGGGTAAAGGGTATAGGGATACTTCAAAAACAAGATATCTTTTTTTACATTTATAAGTAGAATAAGGGTGAAATAAGTTATTTGATATCAATGTTTCTTAACCGGCATTTAACGTATTTCGACATAAACAACATGCAAATACAAGATACAACCAGAAATTCCTTGCTTTACATATTTATTATTAAATGACTTTTTTTGTCAACCATTGGCTGTCCTTTCCAAACCTTCATCCCGGTCGACCAAATTTACACCTATTGTTGGTTTGTTGTCATCTTAAATACTCATGAAATATTAGCCAATGGACATTTAATTATCAACAATCGATTAATCTTTTCATCACTATTTCATGTACAGTTATTTATTAGACTTGTGCTATTGGTTACTTTTATATCATAGTGCTATTTCTACCTTTGCCTGATTTTAATGGAATCCCTCTAATGATACGGACGTCTAGTTGTAAGATTTGCATCGGTCATAATTGTATATGGTTACAGTATTTTATTTTTTTATACGAGTGAAGCAATAAACTCTATAGAAATAACTAAAAAGAACCCTTCAATGATCTTTAAATATAAAAAAAAACTTCGAAACGTTTGTCTCTATAAATAGATCTATATATGTTGATATGAAACAGAACCAATGAATGATTTAAGTTTATTGAATTTGAATAGATTTGAAATTTAAAACTTCGCGGACAAAGACAAGAAATACTGGGTAATAATCAAAAATGCAGGTTCAGATTTTTACATTATTGACTGTCAAAATTTGTAAGTAGATTTTTTTATATTCTGAATTATTTAAAAGGTAATTCATTTTAGTGTACAGTGGTGGTTTTTAAAGAACACTTTTTCTTCTTTTTTTCAAAAACCTATAATTGTTTATTGATTTATTTGATTATTGTATAATATGATTTTTTGTTAGCAAACAGGATGAACAATGAATTTTGTCAACCGACATGCAGTGTAAAAATTATAAGAATAAATAAAACTTTTGGAAAAATTACGCATTCAGAGAAACAAAATAATATAATCAGTAAAATCGAAAGCAATTTTAACCACAGCTAAGTTCAACCAAGAAGCGATCCGAATTTAATTTTTATACCAAATATAAGTTTGTATCAATATAGATTTGGAAGATGTGGTATGATTGCAAAGTAGACAACTATTCACCAGAGACAAAATTACTTAGATGTAAGAAACTATAGGTCACCGTACGGCCTTCAACAATGCGCAAAACCCATACCGTGTAGTTAACGAAAAAAGGCACCGACATGACAAAATCTTAAAATTAAAACAAGAAACAAAGGCCTGATTTATGATAAAACAATTAATGAAAAGCAAATATTACCTACAACCACTAAATTACAGTCCCCTGTCTTGGGATAGGCACATACAAAAGGTGGCGGGGTTAAACATGTTTGCAAGTGCTCAACTGGGACAGTAGTATCACAGCACATCATTAGAACAATTTGTGAAAATAAGTTACCCCCTCAAAAAAAAAAACAGCCAACAAAAAGAATTAACACACACAGTATCGTTCTAAGAGTACTCGAAGTTTCTATTTAGTTATGTTTTAATTTATTTATTATAAACTGTACCGATAAAAACAATATTCAGAGATCTTATAACAGTGCCTTTAAGAATGAATTTATTCAAAGGATTAGCCAGTTTATTGAATCGTATCGGAATTTACGGGCTTTATAAAAAACATCACCGTAAAAATTAGAGTGTGATATACCGTTTGTAATAATTTAATTCTATAGGTACAACCCAAATTTTCAAACCAAATCTATGAAATGATTACAACGGTTATGTTCCAATTGTCGGAATCACTATGCATCCTCTTTTTTTTTATTACCGAGGAAATAAGCAGCAAGTAATTGCAAAATTTTCCTTTTCACGTACTATATATATAACTCACACCCATGTATTATATATAAAAGATGTCTCGGTGTTAGTTTATAAAGAAAACATTTAGAATAAACGCTATTTAATCCTTTATAGCCATATCAACGGTCTACTGCAATTGATTTTTGGAAGATCACAGATACATTTTTCATCATATGAAATAACTGTTTTATAAATTATACATAAGAAATTTAAGACTTAATGGCGCGAAAAAAACTCGTTTGTACTTGAAACATGGGTAATAAAGTACATCTTTAAGACAATATATAGCTGAGGCTAACCTTTTATGTCTTATTTTATATTTTTCAATATTGAGCATATACACTGAACTTATTCTAGTGCTTAGAAATCTTTGTACAAGTTATTTCTTTTATTTGTAAATCATTTTTGCTATCACCGTGTTTTCCTTGATAAATAGATATGTGAAAGTAAACAAAAGTGCATTTATTGGATTCAAGTCTACCTCCAAATTTTACAAGTTCCTTATCAACAGCTGAGTAGTTCGAGCCATTGTTCGTCTTTTATTATAGATGAAGAAGGAAGTATATCAAAGGAAAAGAAGACTATAAATTTATGGTGCATTGATAGTTGTTTTCTTAAAATGTTGGGTCTTAATTTATGGTGCATTGATAGTTATTTGCTTTACATGTAGGGTATAAAGTTATGCATAACTACTCTATCCAAACATGTTTTTACCCGCCACATTCTTTATTTGCCTGTATCAAGTCAGGAGGTTGTATTTCAGTGGTTTTCGTCTATCAATTTTTTTTCTTTCCTTTGTTGTTTTGTCATAACGAGGCCGTTGTTTTTTCTTGTTTGAAAATTTTCACATTTTGTGATTTCGGGGCTTTTAGGTTTTGCTCATTGACGAAGGCCGGACGGTGACCCATAGTTGCTAACATCCACGTCATTTGGACTTTGGCGGAGTGTTGTCTCCATTTAACATACCACATATCCTTATTTTTATATGTATATGGATTAGTTTTCTTTTCTTTTGATAAGTTTAATGGATTTTTAAGAGTATACACCTAGAACGTAACGTGCATAAAGACAAGTTACTACATATCAGCATAAACTAGGAATAATATTTTCTTACACTTAAGGAACAAGAAAGCCGATATATACTCATTCAAATTATTGTGAAATCACAATAATAGAATAAGCATTGTGATTAACTGTATAGTGCAAATGCATTTTGTCTTACATTCCTGGACCAATATTTCTTGAACGAAAAAAGTCTAAAACTTGTGTTTTTCTTTCCCCAAAAAAATAAGTAATAAAACGGAGTTATTTCTACTATATAGTTTGAAAAAGAATAGGTCATTCAAAATCTCTGTAAATATACCAGAAAATATCAGGTTGGGGAAAAAAACCATGCAGATTCAGATTCTGACAATTCTTATTTCAAATATCTGTAATTGAATTGTTCTTTTATGAGTTTCTTCAAAATGAAATTAGTTTATTGACTTCATTTTTTAAAAGTATTGTTCACGGCTTGTATGTATTAGTGCATTCAAATGTCATAAATAGCGGAATTACACGCAAACAAATTTGTTTTGTCTTATTATAAACTTCTTTGTTTGTTGTTTTATTCGATAACCGTATAACGTTTTTAAAAATAGAAAAAAAACTTTTAAACAAATTAACAGTAAACAAAAGTGGACACGCTATAGTGTCTCACCTGTTTACCTGATTATGATCGAATACTGTAAATTCAGAAACTATTGCGAGCATTTATCATCGAAAATTTGAAATGAACAACCAAAATTCGAGACAAACTGTTGCAATTTCAGGGAAAGCTGTGTACACATATTTGAATGCGAGTTCTTCTTATTGCGATTCTCGCATTATTCGCATAAATAAAAGCTCGCAATAATTTCTGAATTTACAGTAACAGATTGAAAGTATAGGACGAAGGACAAACCGAATCATGAAAATAAGACCCAGGCCAAATGAACAGATAAAAGATAGTTGACCTTAACATAAAAGCTGACCTAGTCACGATAACTTGACATTGAACAATGAACAAATGAAAATCAGATAAAGCCTAGATGAACCCTGTCAGACAGACATGTATAGTTGACAACAATTCAGAAGAAGAATTTATTAAACATAATGGCCTTAATAGCTTATGAAATAAAATAATCACAATAACTTGAATGAACCGGGCGCATAAAATTTTGGCGAAATTTTTTTTACTACTACATGACATTTTAGCGCAGACATTATATATATAGCCCATTTTAGCGCAGGAGTTATCAGTTCAACTGTATATTAGATAGCCCAATATAGCGAAAACTGACCTGGTTGAATGAAATTCTGATTACCATATATACTAAAACCGTGAACAGTGATTTATGCAGGGTTAATGTTTGAGTTGTTTGCCTTTACGATTTTGATTAGTTTTGGAAATAAATATTGTTGAAACAAACAGAGGGAAAAAAGTGCGACATATGAGGGCTAACGCCACCCGCCATTTTCGTTTTCTGGAAACTATCAAATTACAAATAAAAAAATATATTAAAAAGAATCGACGAATCTGCTCTTCAGTCTATTCAAGATGAAGTGAAGAGAAGGAACAGTTCATATCGTAATTTCATGAACAACCTGGTACAAGGGGTATATCAAGGGCCCGTCACGAACGTTTTGATTGGTACATAAATTTACAATAAAAAACATTTGAATTAATTTTTAAGACTTTTAGTGCTGTATTTTAACGAACATGATATTTTTTTATATTTTGCCGTCTTGATTCTATGAAAATTTATCATTCAATATTTATGATTTCTGTCGCTAAAATTGGCATTGATATTTTTACTTTTCGTTAAAATGGTTAAAAAGTCTTGGGCTAAAATAGGTTATACTTTGGCGTTAAAACGTCCGATTTTTTTTCGCTAAACTGTCCTATCAATATGCACTAAAATGTCCTTTGCCGTATGAACCATACAGATGAGGTCAACGGTCGTGTATCCCCTGTCAGACCGAAATTTATATCCAACAATGATTTTATAGACCAACAATAATTATTCTTTACTTTAGGCACTTTGATAAAATAGCCTAATCATGGAAATCAAACGTTGATTTAAATGAGGTCACCGGGCGCATAAAATTTTGGCGAAATTTTTTTTACTACTACATGACATTTTAGCGCAGACATTATATATATAGCCCATTTTAGCGCAGGAGTTATCAGTTCAACTGTATATTAGATAGCCCAATATAGCGAAAACTGACCTGGTTGAATGAAATTCTGATTACCATACTAAAACCGTGAACAGTGATTTATGCAGGGTTAATGTTTGAGTTGTTTGCCTTTACGATTTTGATTAGTTTTGGAAATAAATATTGTTGAAACAAACAGAGGAAAAAAAGTGCGACATATGAGGGCTAACGCCACCCGCCATTTTCGTTTTCTGGAAACTATCAAATTACAAATAAAAAAATATATTAAGAAGAATCGACGAATCTGCTCTTCAGTCTATTCAAGATGAAGTGAAGAGAAGGAACAGTTCATATCGTAATTTCATGAACAACCTGGTACAAGGGGTATATCAAGGGCCCGTCACGAACGTTTTGATTGGTACATAAATTTACAATAAAAAACATTTGAATTAATTTTTAAGACTTTTAGTGCTGTATTTTAACGAACATGATATTTTTTTATATTTTGCCGTCTTGATTCTATGAAAATTTATTATTCAATATTTATGATTTCTGTCGCTAAAATTGGCATTGATATTTTTACTTTTCGTTAAAATGGTTAAAAAGTCTTGGGCTAAAATAGGTTATACTTTGGCGTTAAAACGTCCGATTTTTTTTCGCTAAACTGTCCTATCAATATGCACTAAAATGTCCTTTGCCGTATGAACCATACAGATGAGGTCAACGGTCGTGTATCCCCTGTCAGACCGAAATTTATATCCAACAATGATTTTATAGACCAACAATAATTATTCTTTACTTTAGGCACTTTGATAAAATAGCCTAATCATGGAAATCAAACGTTGATTTAAATGAGGTCAAGGGAAAGCTGGAATAATTGAAAAGGAAGTATTTGGCGTCTTAATCCATTACACACAATCACTAAACATACTTGAAACACCCAAAATCAAAAGGAACAGCGCTATTATTGTTGCTCTTCTATATACAATGGCCATACAATGATTTATACAATAAAGAAAGTTGACCAACTGCTTATAGTTCTTGACAGAAACATAGTATTATATATGCAGGCGCGGATTCAGACGGGGACGAACCCGGCGAGCGCCCCATAAAACCATAAAAATTGTACAGATAAAATTAACCCCAATTGTGTGTAAAAATATGATCCTCTGTATACAAATAGTTCAAGCAGCCTACGGGTTAGTATTCCTATGTAACGCTTTCCTACCGAAGTCTGATGGTTTTGATTTCAATGAAAAGTCATCTATATCAAAGCCAAATTTTTCAATTTTAAGAAGATATATTTTTTTGTTGTTGATTGTTGTTTGGTAAACAAATGGCCTATAGTTTATGAATTTAAGAAAATGTATAGCATACACGGCAAAAGTGTAGTATAACGATAATAACGCCATCTGCCATTAACAACAGATTAATGCACCAATTACTCCTCAAAGCTTATTCAGAACATGGATTTCATAACAGATACTTATTGAAAAGAACAGTTTCACCTGTAGCTAGAAAATATGCAAATAAACAAAGTGTTAACATTTGTTTTATCTTGAAAATCATATCATGCCTGTAGTTTTCATAGATTTGAAGGGGTTTGGACACTATTGTGAAAACACTATTGTGAAAACACTCTACATTAGATCCTATGGCGAAATAATACAATATTATAAGTTCGGTGAAATGCGTAGGTCCTGTGGGGGTGCTCCTACAAGTTCGGTGAAATGCGTAGGTCCTGTGAATGGGGTGCTCCTACAAGTTCGGTGAAATGCGTAGGTCCTGTGAATGGGTTGCTCCTTTTACAACCTGTTTATCATTCTGCTGCTTTATTCTTTTATTATTTTTGAATAGGTTTTGCTCAACATATTACGGAACCAACAGCCAAAGAAAGTGATTGCTTCGGCGAAATTCTTAAAGGAAATTGTTCAGAAACCAACACCAGGGCTTTTGTCAAACAGGTTAATGCTGGCGTCAAGTATCATGATCGATATACCGGTAATGATTCATGTACTCCATCTTTCTCTGCCCCACGAGAATGCTGCGTCCAGGAACCAGACGACTGTCACGGTGAATACATCGCTGTTACTACTGATCCCTACAGTTACCATAAAGACTGTATTGGAAAGAATAAATGTTCAGCAAGACAAGCTACTCGTATGGACACACTGTATCTGACCAGCTGTAACCAAAGTCTTTATCCGCTCCAAACTACATATATGGATGTAGAATTTTATTGCATTGATGGTAAATGATAGTGGTATTCTTGCTGCAATAATTGAACATTATTTTTTAATTAATTATGTATAAAGACAATAAGCATCAATTGGTTGAATGAAATAATATTTCTTTGGAACTCACACGAAAAAAAGAATTATACATACAATTATTAATATCTTATAATAACTTGTTTTCATATATTACACTTTAGATTTTGTCAACTGTAATGGCACCAACTAAGCAAATGTGGTTAGAAATACGGCTATTTGTTATTATGCAGTTACATGAGGAAAACGGGCGTTAACATAAATATGAATGGACAGACATGTGCGTCAATAATACAACTACCCAGTGACTCAAAAAAAAAAAAAAAAAAAAAAAAAATCTAAGACAGTTTCATAGACAACATACTTTCATCACTATAATTTTCATTATTAAACCTCTTTTCAATCGCCCGACTCTATTGTAATAAAACAATATCTATCAACATATTCATGCACATCAAATTCTCTTTAGGATACAAAAAGAAAGAAAGAAATAATAATACTGATAATACAAGAAGAAAAAGCACTGATAGAACACTTAAGATTATCCCTGACGGGATTCACTAACTTAGGGCAGACACTAAACTATAGCTATACAGCACTTAACCCTGTCTTTTTAATCTTGACCTGTGAAATAATGAAAAAAGAACATTTTGAATTGAAAAAAAAATGTAGAAAGAAAACAAACTGAAATTACTCAACCTGTGGGTATATACATTATGAGTACGGATAAAAAATATCTGAATAAGTTTTTTGGCACAATTTAAAGCAAAATTAACGAAGAAGAAGAAACACACGTTAGCTTAAATGGTGGATTGTTTGTGTCTGATGAACGATATCTATGTATATTTTACATTTTAGTTGATACTATAACTCCCTTAAACAATGGAAACAAACAGAACGATGGACAAGGGTCTACATTATACTTATGGAGTGGCGACTCCAGCACTTACTCAGAACTGACAGTAGCAACTCGTACATGTTCAGTTGAGACGGACTGTGATGGTGAAATCTCTGTATTAAGCATGGATTTTAGATTTGCTCCTGACAACGTGAATATAACTTGTATTGAAGACAACATGTTGTCTATAACAGATGGATCGAATACCAATTATTTCAATTGTTCCTCAAACAACAACTTTGAGATCACCACATTGTATACAAGCTCCAGTAACTATATTACTGTACAATATACAGGGACAACCGCTGGAGGCTATCTATGGCTAGGGTTTCAAAGTAAGTCCTTATATTTACGTGTGTAACTCATGTGTAAATGGCATGAATAATGTCTCATTGAAACAAGTTAATCTCTGTTACAAAATAAGCAAGTTTTAAAGTGAAGGTGTGTTCGATTAATGTTTTCAATGTCATTTATATCTTATAGAATAGAGAATTGAAACGGAGAATGTGTTAAAGAGACAACAACCCTACCAACGAGTAGAAAACAGCCATAAGCCACTAATGGGTCTTCAACGCAGCGAAAAATCCCGCACCCGGAGTCGGGCTTCAGCTGGCCCCTAAACAAGAATGTATAATAATTCAGCGGAACGGACGCCACACTAAATTCCGAAACTGACAAATTAAAAAAACACACAAGACTAACAAAGGCTAGAGGTTCCTGATTGGGACAGACGCAAAAACAAATATCAGAAAACTTCATATACTCTTTGTTTTTGTTGTTGTTAGGGCTGAAGCATCTAATTATACCCGTCTTTTGTCCTTCACCAACCCCATTTAAAAAAAAATACATTAAACTGTGTTTCTATGGTTAATTGGCTTCTATTGACGAATTGAGGTATGCGTACTCATTATAGTAAGTAAATAAAATTGAGAATGGAAATGGGGAATGTGTCAAAGAGACAACAACCCGACCATAGAGCAGACAACAGCCGAAGGCCACCAATGGGTCTGCAATGCAGCGAGAAACTCCCGCACCCGGAGGCGTCCTTCAGCTGGCCCCTAAACAAATATGTATACTATTTAAGTGATAATGGACGTCATACTAAACTCCAAATTATACAGAAGAAACTAAAATTAAAAATGATACAAGACTAACAAAGGCCAGAGGCTCCTGACTTGGGACAGGGGCAAAAGTGCGGCGGGGATAAACATGTTTTTTGAGATCTCAACCCTCCCCCTATACCTCTAGCCAATGTAGAAAAAACAAACGCACAACAGTACGCACAGTAAAACTCAGTTTAAGAGAAGTCCGAGTCCGATGTCAGAATAGGAAACAAAAGAAAATAAACAAAATGACAATAATACATAAATAACAACAGACTACTAGCAGTTACTGACATGCCAGCTCCAGACCTCAATTAAACTGTTGACAGATTATGTCTTCATCATATGAATATCAGGCACAATCCCTCCTGTTAGGGGTTTAGTATTATACCATCATAAAATATATGAGAAGAACTTAACCCGTGTCATGCCAACAACTGGTTTTAGAATAAATATGTTTAATTCCGATGCAAAGACCCTACAAGTGAATCAATATTAAAGCCAAAATATGCAACTTTTAATGACCTGCCAACAGTATCGTAACTATATCCCTTCTTAATAAGTCTGTTTAAAGGTTTTGTTAATGTATGAATAAATTTTATAGAGATGACCTATAGGTACTCAAAGTAAAATTCTTAGAATAGATTTATTCCTAATTATATATTTTTCAAATAAATATTATATCAGCATCAACAAACGGTAATCTGACAATAAACTGTCAAAGTCCAGGCCAAATACATACCTGTGAAACCTCTACAACCGAGGAACCAACAACCACAGAACAACAAACCACAACAGATGAAATCACAACAACTTCTTTACAGAGCACAACAGATGAAACAACAACGGGAAGTTTGACATCAACCGCAGATCAAACGTTTACCACGGACAATTCATCAACTACAACAGACAAAGTTACAAATGGAAAGTCAGAATCACCATCATCAGGAAATAACACTGGGAGTATGTATTTAATTTGATTTTGCGCATTTTTTTTTCTCAACAAGACATACATTGTACATGCGTATTAAATAAGTAGGGTAACACCAATGTACGACAAACGAACGTTATTTTTTTAAGTGACTCTTCCCAGGCTCTGTGATATACTACAGTCACCATCTGTTTATCTGGTTTATATTTTGTAATATTTCCTTCTGTGCTTTATCTTTTTTATGGACTGTATACATCAGTGAAGCAACATTTCTGTCACAAAATTTCAGTCACACACATTAGCTAGTTGATTTGATCTTTAACAGTTACATTCAACCAAAAATAAAAATGAATGTAAACCTAAACTGATATTACATTAGTGTTGGTAAGTTTAGCAGACCAGTGGCATCATGCACTTGTAAGATATTCAGATCTATCAACATTTTAAGTAACTAATCGATTAAAAACTCGTTGGTTGTTACGGAACTTACTAGCAACACTTTATAAGCTCGTCGTGCAGATATGTTGATTATTTCATATATGGTCTCAATTTAGTAAAAGGACCTGAAAGGAAAGCCATATAAGTCAGTGTTCAACCATAATTTTGACTGCAACTAAATTTTTGCAATAACTCGAATATGTTTAGCACAAGTTCCCTCTAGGACATTCAACTGATACATTTTTTTTCATATATAAAAGATATTGCCGGTTAATGAAAAGTAATCATATAGCACTGTGTGCATTTATAACAATTTTCATTGCAGTGATTGCTGGTATTGTGGTGGCAATAATTATACTTATAATTATAGCGATAGTTATTGGTGTATACTTAAGACATCGAAAAAAACAGGTAATATTTGATTGCATTATTCAGAACACCCTGTAAGTTTATTTAAGTGCGCGTAGTGATGTTGAGTCTTATATTAATACAATATGTTCATTTTTTTCACTTATATGATTTTTTTCTAGTGCTGTATGGAGGCTGCAAATATGTACCCGTGCAGAGGCGTATATGGTCTTATTGTTTGCTGTTATGACATATCTATTCTTGTGATAAATTCTCTTACACGAGCTGTTTCATTTTCTCGACTTGGCCATTTTGTATATTGTAATTGCTAAGCAGTGCACCCGAGTTATTTGCCCCATTCATAAACCAGTGTTAGGAGCCATCTTGAACTTGCAGGTGAGGTGGATATTTTCTCGATTTGAAGGCCTAATTGTAATTTTGAGATGAAGAATCGCAATTACAAGTCACGTTCCTTTTTTCATCTGCATGTGGTGATTTTGTGTCTGGAATAGATAAATCACGTCCATTCTTTTCCCTCATGTAAAAGTTAAAAAAAAATTAAAAATCAATGAAAGAGCAACGATATTGTAACAATATAATCATTTCTTTATTTTCTTACTTGTTGTTAATGAGTGTATTAGTGTACGGGCGTTTGACTTCCAATCATACTCGTTAACCAGCACAACCCCTGATTCTCGATGTTAAATATAACATAAATAAAATTCACGATTAATATTAAGTTATTTCAGCTAAATTAGTTTCATAAAGTTATAGATGCTTACTATAAAGCATAGACTTTTTTAAGAAGATATGTATAAGGAGGTTGCATGTAGAACATACAGGTATCAAATATTTATGTCAACATGTCTTTCAGTTTTACCTTAACATTAGCATATAATAAAATGGCGACAGTTTTTTTTAAGGAAAGCCAAAACGCTACATCTGAATACTGTTCGATCGACTTATGTCAATTGAAAAATGTATTTTGAAAATGGCTATTAAAAAGCTCATGTAAGTTTCCATCTTGAATTGGTCTTGACTTTTATCCGTATTTAACTTGACGCTGGAGTTTACCTCAAGCATTTCAATGACACAAGAAAAAGGCTTAATGCTTCTGTAATGAAAACGGGGAAATATGCTAGATATACTTACTGGAACCGTGATGAGATGACTAAAGCTTTAAATTTTCTTCTTGACAACATCTATGTACGTTTCGATAATACAGTTAAGCGACAGATTGTAGGCAATCCTACGGGCACCAATTGCGCCCCTTTAATAACAGACTTGTTCTTGTATTTTTATGAATCACAGTTTATGGCAAACCTAGTAAAGATCCGTCTAAATTACATTTAATTGATAAATTTAAAAACATTTACCGTTACCTTGATTATATGTTTGCTTTAAATAATCAAGAATTTTCTAATTTAACTTCTGCAATATACCCAAAGGAACTTACATTAAATAAATCTAATACAGATAGCAATACTTGTCCTTTTCTAGATTTTGATATTTCAGTTGCACACGGGAAACTCTATAAAAAAATTACGACAAAATAGAAAATCGTTCCTGATTGTTAAATTTCCCTTTTTGAACGGTGATGTTCCTTTGGCCACTTTTTACGGTTTGTATTTTTCACAACTTGATCGCTATGCCCGTGTCTGTAGTCGCGTTTTAGATTTCAATAAACGTACTTTATGTATAATTGATAAATTATTAATTAAGTCAGATATTTCGTTATCACAAATTAATTAAAACCTTTACCAAATTCTCTTACGAATACAAAGATTTGGATAGAAAGTTTGGCTGTACCTGTAGAGTTCTTATTAAAATCGGGATATCACATCCTAATTATTACGTTTTTATGTTGTTTATAAAGCCCGTAAACTTAACTTTCATGAAAACTAATTGATCCTTTGTATAAACTCATTCTTAAAGGTTATCAATTTAACACAATAGTGAAATCTTCGAATTTTGTTTTTATTGGTATTAATATTGACTTTCTTTTTGAAAAATCAAAACATAGCTAAATACAGTAAATTATGATACATCGCTTTTTTCCTACATCCTGTCGATACTGTTTACTTATAATTTGGCACTGCACAACCGCTGGATTGATACTTTAGTCTGGGAAAACATGATTTATTTACTAGTTGTAATTGGCTTTGAACTAGCTTTTAAAGACTGCGAGTACTCTAATTTCGGTGCTTTGTGTCTTGTTTTTATGTTAGTTGTTATTTTTTGCCTCATACTGATCTTTTGAGTTACTTATCATCGTCGGTTCATTCTTTCTGACGTCTATGATATGTACGGGTTAAAGTTATTAATCAACGTATTTGACGTCACAAAGCCGTGATATGCAATTTCATTAAGAGTTGAGCAGAATGATACAGACAGCAGGACGTCCGATAAAGTAAAATATTCAATTTAATGATTTATATCAATAAGACAGCAACCAAATGACATCCACTCACGGTCTATATAATGTTTCTAGCTCTAAATCGTCCAGAATCTACGTCAGTTAAGAAAAACTCCACAGAGACTATCAAACAATTCATAAAACTTTTTTTCTTAAAGGAAAAAAAAAATCCGATAAAAAGGTAACCACTGAAAAAATGGCTGCTTAACGTCAAGCGACAAACATTACATGCATGTTCATAACTAGAACATGCTAGTGAGGTACGAAGATATCCTGCTGTGTACAAGATGAACCCGATTAATTTGATTATAAACATGCAAGCACAGAAGAATGCAAGCACAGAAGAAAGACCCAATTGCAGACATTATTATGACTCTAAACCAGCAAGTTTTCGCTATTACTCACGAGCATGCAACGTGCTTTATAGGGACGAGGAAATTTTTTAATTCACTTTTAGTTTAGGAATGTAATTGAACCGGTGTTATCCATTATGTGCTATTTTATTAGGGTCAGGGTAAGGTTATATTTCTTGTTATGGTATAACTCCGATAAAATAAACCAGACTCAAGCTGGCAGCCACTTTTAGCAGCCAATCAAGATAGCAGCCACTTTTTTCCAGCAGCCAATTTTAATGATATGTCTAAAAGCAAAAAAAATGTATAAGACTCAGACTATCCAAAAATCTTAAAATCTTACTTAAATATGATAGCACCTCCTTTGACAGCAGAATTTTCTCGGCTTGTCGTGATTCTCAAAAGATGACAATCCGTTTTATATACTAATGATGATAGCAGCCACTTTTTTCGGAGGACACTGTTTAATAAAAAAATGTTCAATTTAAAATCGTTTTTCCGTACTTTTTCTCGTTTTTAGCTCACCTGGCCCGAAGGGCCAAGTGAGCTTTTCTCATCACTTTGCGTCCGTCGTCCGTCGTCGTCGTCGTCGTCGTCGTCCGGCGTCGTCTGTTAACTTTTACAAAAATCTTCTCCTCTGAAACTACTTGGCCAAATTTAACCAAACTTGGCCACAATCATCATTAGGGAATCTAGTTTAAAAAAAGTGTCCAGTGACCCGGCCAACCAACCAAGATGGCCGCCATGGCTAAAAATAGAACATAGGGATACAATGTAGATTTTGGCTTATATCTCTAAAACCAAAGCATTTAGAGCAAATCTGACAGGGGTAAAATTGTTTATCAGGTCAAGATCTATCTGCCCTGAAATTTTCAGATGAATCGGACATGTGTGCAACCCGTTGTTGGGTTGCTGCCCCTGAATTGGTAATTTTAAGGAAATTTTGCCGTTTTTGGTTATTATCTTGAATAATATTATAGACAGAGATAAACTGTAAACAGCAATAATGTTCAGCAAAGTAAGATCTACAAATAAGTCAGCATGACCAAAATGGTCAGTTGACCCCTTAAGGAGTTATTGCCCTTTATAGTCAATTTTTAACCATTTTTCGTAAATTTTTGTAATCTTTTACAAAAATCTTCTCCTCTGAAACTACTTGGCCAAATTTCACCAAACTTGGCCACAATCATCATTAGGGGATCTAGTTTAAAAAATGTGTCCAGTGACCCGGCCAACCAACCAAGATGGCCGCCATGGCTAAAAATAGAACATAGGGGTAAAATGTAGATTTTGGCTTATATCTCTAAAACCAAAGCATTTAGAGCAAATCTGACATGGGGTAAAATTGTTTATCAGGTCAAGATCTATCTGCCCTGAAATATTCAGATGAATCGGACAACCCGTTGTTGGGTTGCTGCCCCTTAATTTGTCATTTTAAGAAAATTTTGCAGCTTTTGGTTATTATCTTGAATATTATTATAGATAGAGATAAACTGTAAACGGCAATAATGTACAGCAAAGTAAGATCTACAAATAAGTCAACATGATCAAAATTGTCAATTGTCCCCTTAAGGAGTTATTGCCCTTTATAGTCAATTTTTTACAATTTTCATAAATTTTGTAAATTTTTGTAAATTTTTACATAATATTTTCCACTGTAACTACTGGGCCAAGTTCATTATAGATAGAGATAATAGTAAGGAGCAAGAATGTTCAGTAAAGTAAGATCTACAAACACATCACCATCACCGAAACACAATTTTGTCATGAATCCATCTGTGTCCTTTGTTTGATATGCACATAGACCAAGGTGAGCGACACAGGCTCTTTAGAGCCTCTAGTTTGATTCCTAATGATTAGGAGGTACAGAAACAATGTAGGAATAGAAATTGAAAAAAAAAAATCAAAGTACAACTACCATTTTTAATAATGGATTTAAGTAAGTTGTGAGGAATCGGGTTATATATATATTTCCATTGAACTGAATAAAAAGATGCAATGTACTACAGAAAAACTACATACAGGCTTTCCACTTATTGCGGACCTGTTTTTGTATTGTTATGAGTTACAATTTATGACTAAAATCAGCAAAGACCCATCGAAACAACATCTGATACAAAAATGTAACAATACTTTTAGATATTTGGATGATATATTGGCTCTCAATAATGACGACTTCAGTATGTATACTAAAGAAATTTATGCTGTTGAACTTACTTTAAATAAAGCTAATACTAACAATGACCACTGTCCTTTCCTCGATCTTGATATCTATATCATTAACGGGAAGCTTAATACAAAAAATTATGATAAAAGAGATGATTTTTCATTTCCTATTGTTAATTATCCATTTTTAGATGGTGACGTTCCCTTGTCACCATCTTATGGTGTTTATATATCTCAACTTGTACGATTCGCTCGTGTATGTAACAACGTATTAGATTTTAGCGAGAGAAATTTATGTATTACTGAAAAGTTATTACACCAAGGTTTTCGATATCATAAACTAGTCAAAACATTTACTAAATTTTATCATCGGTATAAGGACATCATTCGTAAATATAACTCAACATGCAGACATCTCCGTTCGGGTGTTTCACATCCAATCTTTTATGGTAATATTCTTTACAAAGCACAAAAATGTCAGTTTTCACCTCAAATGCTAACAAAACCTTTAAACAGACTTATTAAGAAGGGATATAGTTACGATACTGTTGTCAGGTCATTAAAGATTGCATATTTTGGCTTTAATATTGATTCACTTATAGGGTCTTTGCATCGGAATTAAACATATTTATTCTAAAACCAGTTGTTGGCATGACACGGGTTATGTTCTTCTCATATATTTTATGATGGTATAATACTAAACCCCTAACAGGAGGGATTGTGCCTGATATTCATATGATGAAGACATAATCTTTCAATCAGTTTAACTGAGGTCTGGAGCTGGCATGTCAGTAACTGCTAGTAGTCTGTTGTTATTTATGTATTATTGTCATTTTGTTTATTTTCTTTTGTTTCCTATTCTGACATCGGACTCGGACTTCTCTTAAACTGAGTTTTACTGTGCGTACTGTTGTGCGTTTGTATTTTCTACATTGGCTAGAGGTATAGGGGGAGGGTTGAGATCTCAAAAAACATGTTTAACCCCGCCGCATTTTTGCGCCTGTCCCAAGTCAGGAGCCTCTGGCCTAGTCTTGTATCATTTTTAATTTTAGTTTCTTGTGTATAATTTGGAGTTAGTATGACGTCCATTATTATTGAACTAGTATACATATATGTTTAGGGGCCAGCTGAAGGACGCCTCCGGGTGAGGGAGTTTCTCGCTGCATTGAAGACCCATTGGTGGCCTTCGGCTGTTGTCTGCTCTATGGTCGGGTTGTTGTCTCTTTGACACATTCCCCATTTCCATTCTCAATTTTATTTTCATACACTCGGCATCCTCAAATATCCAGTATTTCAGTTGAAACCATTTTCAATATCTATTTCTGTATATATGAAATGAAAACATTTCGATATATATGTAATGTTAATCTTTTTTTTTAATGTGAACAAGTATTCTATAAAAATCCTACGTGGACTATTTTGTACGGCATGCGACATTACCAATTTATTAATCTAAAACTGAAATTTTCCTTGTCAAATGTGCCAGTACGAATAATTGACATATAACTATGAGAATCACGACAAGACGTGAAAATGTCGAATTCCGCTCTCAAAGGAGGTGCTATTATATCTAAGTAAGATTTTGAGATTTTTGGAACGTTTGAGTCTTTTACAGTTTTTTGGTTTTAATACATATCATTAAAATTGGCTGCTGGGAAAAAGTGGCTGCTATCTTGATTGGCTGCTAAAAATGGCTGCCAGCTTGAGTCTGGTATTAAATTATCATATATTCATCTATGTCATGTTACATTCCTAAATTCCTACACTTTTTTTTATTGAAATTCAACATCCCTTCTTGTATATTAACAAATAAGTGCCTTCTTTAAGGTGAATATATGATCCCAACTTTCCGAGATAAAAAGATTCATTTGAAAAATTTTAGCATAATGTAATGTATGTATTTATCCCTCATCGTCTTTTTTCCAAAGGCTTTGACAGGAAAAAATCCGGAGAAACAGCCTCATGCTTCCGAAAATTCTGTCAAAAAGTCAAATGGGGAAAACGTTATAGTATCGGAGGAAACACAAGGAGGAAGTTCAACGGTTCTCTCTAATGAAAACGAAGTCAATAGAGAAAACAATATGGTAAATAATGAGCATTTACCAATCGAGCTAACTGGTCCTGGCACCAGTCTAACACAGATACCCCTACCCCCAATAACAGCTAAATTAATACAGGACCAATCTGAATATAATGAAAAAATAAAGAAAAAGAAGAAAAAGAAGAAACGCAATAAGGTTGACGATAATGGTAGTGAGATACAGGGTAATGGCGTTTTACAAGGCAGTGGAGCAGATATCAAAAATATTGACGAAAATGGGGAACATTCTCGGAAACGTAAAAAGAAAAAGAAGAAGACAAAACGGCAGGAAAATTCAGCTGAATTAAATGAACAGGAATATTTTGAAGAGACTCCCGAGCTTAAAGAAAAGAAGAAAAAGAAGAAAAAAAGAAAGAAAAAACAAAGAGAAGATTCTAATCAGGAAGAAGAGAATGCAATAACAACACTAACAATAGAGAAAGAAAATGACCCAGAGTAAATGTGTTTTTTTTTATAAGATAACTTATCTTTGCGAATTTACTTCTTTTCTGACAGAAAAAATGATCAATGTATCAGCATAACGATAATACAAAAAAAATGTTCATTTGTCAGTGTAATAAGCCGGTTAATATACCTGTGGACTATTTTATATTTTGTTTTCGGTAGCATCAATACAATTCAAAGCACCGAAATATGCAATTAAATTAGAAACAAATTATTTCCTTTTACATTTTTTTCTCAATATTTACTTTCCATTACATACTGATGAGTTGAATACTTATTCTAAAATGTGAGATAAATATCTATGAAGCAAATAATTTGTAAATATTGCCACTTTCATCAACATTTTTTTTACAATCTCTTTGAAAGTTTGTGATCTCAGAAATCTTTAAAAACTCTTTAATATAAAGCAGTTTACCGATGTTTGGTTAATATAATGAAACTAGGTGTGAAAAATTTAGATGCCTATTTTAGAAAAAAAAAAACAAGACAAAAAAAAAAGCCCACTGTGTTTTGCTTTTATTTTTGTTTAACTCTGATGAGTTTCTATGTCATAGTAGTCACATTTTTGCTCTATTCACGAGTATTTTTTTTTATCTGTCACGCGTTTACTTTATACGGAAAAAGTCCTGATGCATGTGACAAACAATAGGAGCTTGGCTGTCTAGGAACATTAACAAACAAAAGTTACCCCTTGCATGATAGTTCTTTTCTTTCGGATTATTAAGAATCTTCGGACCAATGTCTGCAATTAGTTGTGGACGTGTACTTACATACATCCTACAGGTATTTATAAAAATAAGAAGATGTGGTATGATTGCCGATGAGACAACTCTCCACCAGAAACCAAATGACTTAGAAGTTAACAACTATAGGTCACCGTAAGGCCTTCAACAATGAGCAAAACCCATACCGCACATTAAGCTATAAAAGGCCCATATATGACAAATGTAAACAATTCAATCGAGTTAACTAACGGCCTAATTTATGTAAAAAAAAAACAGTAAACGAAAAACAAATATGATAAACAGCAACAAACAACAAACACTGAATTACAGGCTCCAGACGTGGGACAGGCACATACAGAATGTAGTGGGGTTAAAATGTTTGCGAGGCCAACCCTCCCCTAACCTGGGACAGTGGTGTAACAACATAACATAAGAAAAAACTATAAAAATCAGTTGAAAAGGGCTCAACTCATCAGATCGAAACAAAGCGCAAAAACAACGAACAAAAACACAAAAGACACAAAGTAGAAATTTGAGAGTACTTGCAGTATTTAAAGCTAGTTCAAAGCCAATAAAAACTAATAAAAAATCATGTGTCTAATTTTGTTCACCCAACATGTGTAGTTTGTACTGCTCATCTCGAATTACCTCATCTTATTGATAAAATATGGTGCAAATGATTTAATATACGCGTTAGTTTGTATATTAGTGTGTGTGTATAATTGTGTGAATTTTTATTTAATAGTTTATTCACGTGAATATTATGATTAATGTATTCATGCACAGTATAATATATTCTAGAAAACAAAACAAGAGATGAAAATTTATGTATTTTCAAATAGAAGGAGTTTTATCTGTGTGTTTTGTGTACTGTGTGCATTCTTTTTATCAGCCAATGCGTTTTCATGTTTGTTAAAGTATATTGCAGACACTATAGATAATTTTAAATTGTACTTGAATCTCGACCGATAGTAAGACTTCCCTAGTATATATATAATGTCTTATACGAACGAAGATATTCTGAACAGAGTATTATGTCATTTACAATACAGCACTTTAAACAAATGTATGTAATGGATTCAATTTCTTTTATAACTTGATTAAAAGTTACTATTTTGAGAATCTTCGAAGCCTTATATTTGATTATAGTTTGTACGTTTTTGTCATCTAATTTTATGTACTTATTATTTCATAACCACAAATTTATTACTGTGCACTTTAAATTTATTTTTTACCAAGAAAAATGGGTAGTCAGCTATTCCCTTTTATTTATACAAGTTGTCATTAATGTTGTTGAAATAAATAAATGTTATCCAAATAGGTTTTTTATCGCATCACAGTAAATGCAGTCAGATAATTCAGATGTCTCAATGAAGTTAATTACTTCTTTGGACGACCGAATAGAAGGTCAAAATATGGTCGCTACAATAGATTGGTACCAATATACTATACCGAGAAAGAATTGAGAGATGTGTTTTTTTCTCAGTATTAAGAAATACGCGAGAATGTAACAAGGGATCAATCAAAACCTATAGGTTGACGAAAGGCAGACACCACCATGACCAACGAAAAAGACAAACAGAAGACCACAAAACAAAAGATTGGACAATACATCTCCAACCATATAACGATGATAAGCCTAGATACTCCGAAAGGGTGGACAATCTTGTTTGACTAGTAACACCAGTCGTCTTGCTCATGACAAGTAAAATATTCGGTCTCTAGTTGCAATCAGTGATGTCATAAATGGGACTGTTGCTTCGACAAATGGAATATATTTGTGGTCATATGATACACAGTTTACACAACTGTCACACCAAATCATGATGACTTCCGTAAAAGCGTCGAAGAGATGGATGAAACGTTTCCATTAGAACCCGTATTTTAATGGCTTCCTGATAAGCAGCACCCGCCAAATAAATAAATCCGGAGAGGAGACGCAAGCTCCTAAGCATTGTATCAGCTGGGTGATGTATATGCAGACACTGTTTGAATTTTGCGTCATAAGAAAGGAAAATGTTATGTCTTTTGTTAGTTTAATGTAGATACCAACCGTTATTCATTGGTAATTTTTAGATGAAGGTCAAGATAAAGGTAATAAAAACCTTGAATGTTAGTAGTGTTTGTTTTGGGACGAGGACTTAGTGTTTGAATTAGAATCTCTTCTTATTAAGTATCAGTGTTTCCTTTCTCAAACAAGGTATTTGTATCTACGTTGGTCATTCTTAAGAGCTGATTTTGTTATGTCCTTTAATTTAAAACAAAGAATGCTTGTGCAATGGTTGAATATTCTTTTGCACGAGTAGAGGGATGTTGAAAGCATGTACCGTAACAGAACTTTAGAAGAATCCAAATTTTATTTTCACCGTCGCTACCTACTTTCTAGCAACTCTGAAGCCCGGTTTCGATATTTTATAAAAACTTATCAAAGACACCAGGTTTATAATTTGTTACTCCAGACAAGCGTTTGGTCTACATAAGACTCATCAGTAACGCTCGAATCAAAACATTTCTAAAGCAAAATCAAATACAAAGTTGAAAAGCATTAATAACCAAACATTCCGAAACGTTGAGTATATTACGGCTTAGGCAATCTTTACCTGGGGTAGAAAACCTTATTGGTTTGAATATTACAACATTTTACGTAAGAGTCATCAGTGACGTTCGAATAAAATCAGTTGCAAAGCCAAATCAAATAGATAATTGAAATGCACTAAAAACCAAAAATTCCGAAAAGTTAAGCCAAATAGTACGGCTAAGGCTTTTTTTACTTGAGGTAGAAAACCCTTATTGTTTTGAATATTACAACAATTTACAAACAATAAATTTACAGGAAATGAACATATCAATGATATTTCTTGTAAGCACAAAAGTGCATACTACTTGGCTGGTGTTACCTTCGGGGAAGACACGTCCACCACCTGTTGCATCAATCCAGTGGTTGTGAAAACTCATCAAAGATACCAGGCTTTTTTGTTACCAGACATAATTTGTTACGTTGTTTTTAGTTTGTCTTTTCGTCGTTTTTCGGTTTTTGCCATGGTATTGTCAGTTTGTTTTCGATTCGATTTATGAGTTTGAATATCCTTTGGTATATTTCGCCTCTCTTTTACGCCGGATACTCGGTTCGTTTAAATAAGACTCACCTGTAGCACTCTAATAAGAACAGTTTGAAAGCCAAATCAAATACAAAGTTGAAGAGCATTAATAACAGAAAATTCTGAGAAGTTGTATTAAAACTACAAAGGCAATCTTTACCTGGGTGTAGAAAATATTATTGTTTTCAATATACCACATTTTTACTGACAGTAAATTTACAGAAAATGAACATTTGAAAGAAATTTCATGTCAGCAAAAAAGCACAAAAAAGCAGGCTACTGGTATAACTGTCGTGGATGACCAGTAGTCGTTTCAACCTTGAAGTTGTATCATCAAGGATACCAGACTTATAATTTGTTACTTCAGACGTGCGTTTCGTCTACTTTTACTCATCGATTGCGCTCGAATGAAAACAGTTTGGAAGCTGAACTGAACAAAAGGTTGAAGGGCATTAATAACAGTAATTTCTTACAGTTGAGCAAAATACAGCTGAGGCAATCTTTACCGTTGGATAGAAAAGTTGGATAGAAAAACCTTATTAAATTGAATATAATACAATTTGCAAACAGCAAATTTATAGAAAATGAACATCCCAATGATAGTTTATGTCAGCTTCCTACATGACTGGCGTTACCGTCTGGTATAAAACGTCCACCACAAGTGGCATTAACACAGTGGTTGTAAAAAATATACCTGGCTGATAATTAAGTACGCCAGACGTGCATTCGTCTACACAATACTCATTAGTGGTGCTCGAATCAAAACAGTTTGAAAGCCAAATCAGATATAAAGTTGAAGAACATTAATATTCACAAATTCAGAAAAGTTGAGCTAAATACGGCTAAGGTCATATTTACTTCGGGGTAAAAAAAAAAACATTGTTTTAAACATTTGAACATTTTACAAACAGTAAATTTATAGAAAATGAACATATCAATGATAATTCATGTCAGCAATTAAGTGCCGACTACTGAGTTGGTGTTACTCATGGGGATGAAACGTCCACCACAAGTGGCATCAACCTAGTGGTTTTAAAAACTCATAAAAATACCAGGCTTATAATTTTGGTCGCTAGATGCGCGTTTCGTCTACATAAACATCAGTGACGCCTGAATCAAAACAGTTTGAAAGCCAAATCAAATACAAAGCTGAAGAGCATTAATAACCGAAAAGTTTGTGTAGTTGGGATATATACTGTGTCACTATAATAATTAAATGGCATATACAATATTTAGGAGTTCGTATCATTTCAATCAAGTTATACCAAAGTTTAGGCTTGATATCTGTAGCAATTTCCTTCAATTATATTATCCCCTAACTATTACTATATTAAAGAAATCAGAAAATGAAGGCTTTAGTTCCCTTCGACTTAAAATTTGGGTTTTCAATGCTCGTTTACCTCCTTATTAATTTAGATTTCCTACTCGTTTTAATCGAGACACTGAATAACCGTATGTAGACGGAACGCGCGTCTGGAGAACTCAGTCTGGTTTCAGTTCTACAGTGTCCTCGTTATGGCCACGTACAAATGTCTGGAAAAAGAAAATAACACTTTATCAATTTGGTGCGCCCGACGCGCTTTTCTGAGTTTACCTCGTCAGGAAATATCAAACCTTTGACCTGTATTTCCCTTACGAAGGTTTGAGCTTTTTGGTCATAACATAAACATATCGAAGTTGTTGCCTGATGTTCCCGACTTTTTCCACCATTTATTGTCTCTAACTGTTATGACTTCAGAGCTCATTCCATAACAAGGGCAAAGGTAGAAATATCACGATGTACTTGGCCCTTGACTTTTGAAAGTCTTGTATCAAGAAGACCAACGATGAAAATAATTGGGTCGATCTCTACGACTAAATTTGTTTTCGTTTTGGTGGAATCAGATACGATTTCGCACAGAATTAATAAGGACTGTCGAATTGTTTCGGTTAAAAGTAATGAAGTACCGCCATGAGCAAAGAACAAATCCAACCTTTCGTTTTTTCTCGACCTGTTGCATTTTCAACATGTAACCCATAACAAAGGTTAAAAACCTTTATCCCCGCAAGAAAAGACAAATTCAGTATGCTACGATTGATTCTGAAAAGTTTTTGTCGTTCCGATACTAAAGACCTGTCGCAAATTCATTACTTTAGGTTGTTTAGAAAAATGATAAAATTAATATCGCAGGTAAAATAGGACACCAAATCTTAACGCCAAACTGGGTGAAGTATAAAGTCATAAAACCACCAAGACTAAATCGTTATTGTAGTGGGATAAAATAATAGGCCATTTTCTGCATTGAAATGAGTCGTCCAAACAAATTATTTTTTATAGCGTGGCAGCGACACTCATCATCCTCCCTTCCTGATATATATATATGTTGACTCGTGACTAACTTCAAAAAATTATGTATGGTTAGTATTTAACCTCTTTTTGAGTAATATTAATATATACCATTTAAATATTAATATATACCGTTTAAATATCAATATAGTAGCGCATTCACTTTCTATAGTATTGAAATACTCAAGTCGCAATTGAAATATTCAGTACTTGTAGCCAAACATAGCGTGAAAGCTATAGTCTGTTTCGCAGAGCATTTACTATTTGCCGTCGATGGTCAAGTGAAATGATTATGGATATGAAATATGAAAATGATATGAATTTGAAACATATAACACTAAAGCAAAAATATTATAAAATGTTGAAAAATGAAGCAAAATATAATAAGTACATATATCCGGTGACAATAATAAAAGATTAATTACGGTATCTTCGTTGGTAAGTGTTACTGTAATAATGTTTTATAGCATTACATTTCCGCGCATTTGGGGATTATTTTTTTGTTCGTTTGCGCGCAGGTTTTATTTACATTTGCGCACATTCATTTTGCAGGTAACACAGGTAGATATAAAGATAATTTATAATAAGTATGTCGATTGTTATTAATTTTGAACATATTTATAATTCAAAATTATATATTTTTCATATTAATTCTTAAAGAAATATATTAAGTGATTATCCATGTATTTTGTGTTTCTTGACATTATTTTAAAATTTCAAAACCACCACATATATCAAACTAAGAGGGCTTGAAACATCAGCAGTTGTACTTAGAAATGAGAAAGAAAAAACTGAGTATCTGATGGAGCAATTCCGATAATACCAGAATAGACTTAGAGTACTTGAATGAATTTATGTTCTTACAGCAGTTGACTTCAAATATACAGCACGTACCTACAGGTATAATCTGTACTACTACTTTTCGGATTTGCTATAGGTTTTACAATCTTACTGTGATCTGTAAATATTTCCAGGAATTGGTGCTTGTGCATAATAAAACGAACGTATCCTGCTCGAAACCCTCTTCCTTCTCCTCGTTGGTTAACAATGGACTAAGACTAACGGGAGGTGTACTTGTAAATAGTTAAATAAATGCATAATAGTTAGATAAATAAATATAATCTACCTTTATTTACCCGAGTTTACCTGTAACATGAATGCGCGCAAATGTAATCAAAAGCTGCGCGCAAACGTAATGATTTTTGCGCGCAAATTCAATGCACCGGTTTTATCACGGTCTAACTAATAATTAACTCTATCACTGACCGCAACCTTGATCTACAGTCGAATCAATCAACGTGTTGATCGAAAAAAACGGTATTCAATCAATAAATCTAATGAGATAATTAACATTTGTTTCCAGTAAACCATTCTTTAGTTGACATTAAAAATTTAACAAATGTATACCGTGTCGGCTAAAACAAAAACTGGAATGTTTAATTCTGTAATTAAATCTGTATGAAATAATTAGATATACTTTCAAAGGGGAATGGTCACTGGAACTGAATATGCTTTGTTATATAATATTTTGTTTTAGTTAAACAATTTTAACAACGTAGTTAGTAAGTACACACCAGATACATATTAATCAGCTAAGAATTAATGGATATTTTATATTGTGTTGTTTATTCTGTTATTTCCAGCATTTGCTTCATTGAAGGTATATCAATTTATACACATATATGTATATATGTTAACCTTGTTGAAATATTTTTTTTTTCATGTATCATTTTCAAATGACTTACACAAATTTTAACAGCTTGCACATGCTATTTTTTCATAATATTTTTAAACATTTCGTTGCTATCTGTGGATAAAATAGGCCATTAATTTTTTCACACCCTTTTATCTATAATTATCATACGCTAATTTTAGAGTAAACAATTATCAATTGGCGAGAGCGGGTGCGATTATTTTCAATGTCAAAATCTTCGGCTTTTAAAAATTCACCGCCGATTATTTTCAATGTCGAAATCTTCGGCTTTTAAAAATTCACCGCCGATTATTATATTATAAAATCTTCGGCTTTTAATCAAATGGCCGCCGATTATTTTCAATTATAAAATCTTCGGCTTTTAAAAGTCTGACCCCCGCCGATTATTATCAAATATAAAATCTTCGGCTTTTAATCAAGAGCCCGCAGATTATTTTCAATAATAAAATCTTCGGCTTTTAATCAAGAGCCCACCGATTATTATCAATAATAAAATCTTCGGCTATTATAAACCAAACCAAAAATAATCTCCGGGACCCGAATATTATGATTGTTATAATCTGCGGGGAAATATAAAAATGCAAAGACTTACATCAAATGCAGACGCGGAACAGAGAAATACATTCAAAACTCTCTAGATTTGCATATTCTGGTTCATTACACCAAGAAAGGTTGAGATAGATAGGTGTTATTGTTGAAAAGACAACTGAAAACCTTAAACACGCAAGCACATGCAGACTATATAGTATGTATGTATGTATGTATGAAAAGGATGAACGGATCATATAAACCCGAAGGCATATAATACAAGCCCAAACGAAAAAATATAAACAAGTCTAAATTGAAAACAACGTTCAAACCTATGTATGTATGTATGTATGTATGTATATATTTAAGTGTGTGCGTAAGCGTCTGTATAATTTTTAAGCCCCCCTTGACAAAATAGGGGGGATGTAAATTTACCCCTGTCCGTCCGTCTGTTCGTCCGTAAGATGCATTGTTTGTCCGGCTATCTCCTACAGTTTTGGAGGAACTTTAATATTTTGTAGGATGTTCATACACATAATAAAGGTGTGCATGGCACAAGATTTTGATTTCTTCCAAATATTGTGACAATTATAGCTGATCACAGCTGTAGTTGCCTCAGTGGGACTTGGTCATTTTCTTGGTACTGCAGCTGCAAATAGAGATCTTGGTTCAGAGGCGGATTTAGAGGTTTTTTCAGGGGGCCCGGACCCCCCCCCCCTTTTGTAGGAAAAATTTGGTTGATTATATAGGGAATCACTGAAGCATGACTGAAACGGGACCCCTTTTAGGCAGTCAGTGCCCCCCTCCCTCCCCACCCGTATGAAAATTTCTGGATCCGCCACTGTGGTTTTGTCCAGCTATCTCCTCCTACAGTTAAATCATCATATATATTGTAAAATTTATAATTTCCTATGGTCATGCGGGGGTATCGTTTGTGTCTTATAGACAGCATAACAATTTCAAGTTTTTTTTGGCCCTTTTTAAGGAGCTTTTATGATAAAGGCAGAGTTTTTACAAGTATCACTTAAAGGGGGCCCCTTTGATTGGTATGTAGTTATATCATGACAAGTTACAGATCAAGTTATAATTAGAATTTTGGTCTGGTCTAATGATTTTGTGGCATAGTTTATATGGTCCTTGACTTTGATGTTAAATGGTATAATACATTTGTAATATACAGCTGAAGGTAACAAAATATCAATTAAGGTAAATTCATTTGAACATGCACAATAACAATCATGTGTAAATTCACTAATCCCACCATATTCTATAAATGCCTACTCTAAGTCAGGAGCCTATAATTCATTGCTGTCTGCAATATTTGATTTTCATTTATTGTTTTGTCTTTAATTAGGGCATTTCTGTTTTTTGTTTGCATGGACACACATTTGGTCATCTTTTTAGCCAATTATAACTGACTACAGTATGGGTTTTGCTCATTTTTGAAGGTTGTATGGTGACCTATAGTTGCTTACACCCCTAGTCATTTGGATTCTGTCAGCTACTGGTAGTTGTTTCTATTGGCAATCATACCACATCTCCTTATTTTATACAAAAGTCTGGATAGGGTTTTGGGGTCTTTCATTCAATGTCATTTCTGTATTGTTCAAAATTTTAGGTCATTTTTTCTGTATTCTTCATATTTTTCCCCATTATTTTTCAATCACTCAATACAACACTCCATTATTCTATATTCTCCATTTCATTGTTCTTTTCTTTATTTTTTTATACGCCCGTTTTTGGTTTGGTTTATAAAAGCCGAAGATTTTATTATTGATAATAATCGGTGGGCTCTTGATTAAAAGCCGAAGATTTTATTATTGAAAATAATCTGCGGGCTCTTGATTAAAAGCCGAAGATTTTACAATTGATAATAATCGGCGGGAGTCAGACTTTTAAAAGCCGAAGATTTTATAATTGAAAATAATCGGCGGCCATTTGATTAAAAGCCGAAGATTTTATAATTTAATAATCGGCGGTGAATTTTTAAAAGCCGAAGATTTCGACATTGAAAATAATCGGCGATAAATTTTTGAAAGCCGAAGATTTTGACATTGAAAATAATCGGCGGGTCTTTATTTTTAAAAGCCGAAGATTTTAGAATTGATAATAATCGGCGGGATTCTAAAAGCCGAAGATTTATTTAAATCCATGTATTTCTAAGGGAAAAATAATAATGATTGGGGGGTTCACTGTGGCTTTCCATAGTTTTATTCTGATAACATAGAAAGCTAATGATGACCAATATTTTAGATGAATTATAGACGTTTTCGAAAACTTATCGGAACTGACACTTACACCTATGCCTAGGACGACAGGTAACATTTTTGAGAAGGGTCATCTCCAGGTGTACACTGTCGACCACATGCATTTAAATCATATATATTTTCTTAATTTACATTTTAAACACTGCATGTAACATTTATATTCAATTTTTTTTGGGTTTTTTATTGGCTCTGTTTAGTAGCTGCGAATTGACCGATTTTCATATTGAACTTTGTTAAAAATAAAAAAAGGGGGGCTTTGTTTAAATTTGTACAATTTTACACAGAAACAAGAACGTGTAAAGCCTTTTTGTAGCGCGAAAAATCCCAAAACTAATTTGAGCACTCGGTGTTTCAAGCTCAGATTCCAAATAAAAACAATTATAACATCAATGCAGAATTTATATTTTTTTACCTGCAATCAAGTTTTACGAGGTGATTAATTCATTTAATAGATTTCGTCATTTTGATACAGTCCCTTTATTATTTAGTCAGTGTAGGTATCGGTGTCGGTATAAGTGTCCGAGTACACTTTCGAAAATGTATAATAAAAATACAAAAGAACAATGTCAATTACTCTTAAATTAAGAAAAAAACACAAACGACATTACAATAAAGACCGTACGGTAAAAACGACATAAGAACATACATTATAAAAAAATGAAAACAACACGTTTCAAATTTTCCTGTTTCCGAAGCGCTTTTCTAGATTTACCTGCATCAGGAACGCTCACAGACGAATATTTGAAAGCCAAGGATGTATAAAAACCGAAACAGTTAAAGAGCTGTACGTATAATAAAAAAGGACCTAAAAAAAATAGCCAAATTCATCTAAGGTCAACTTTGTCCGAGGGAGTTGAAACCTTAGTTTCTTTATAATTTTAAAATTCATAAACGGACAATTTTAATAAGGTTTGTTATAAATCATGTCAGGACCGAAGTACTAACTACTGAGCTGATGATACCCTCGGGGACTGATATTCCACCAGCAGCGGTATCGACCAAGTGCTGTTAAAAATGAAAACAACACGTTATTAATTTCATGCGTCCGAAGTGCTTTTCTATATAATCTAGAAGCGACATAAGGATATATACTCATATCAAAGCAAATAAGAACATTGCTTGACCTATAGCTTAAATGAATAGATAACGCCCGGTATAACGAGCATGAGATACAAAGGAGTCTTTATACGGATATCTTTATATCCTTTTATTTACAACCAAAATATATAATATGAACATATTGTTTAAAAGTACTGAAACTTTTGACTAAACTTTCAAATCTCTTACATGTATAAGACTTCAAAATAATATTTATATTATTGATTCATTTTGTAGCGACAACATATACACAAACAACAACGTTCACAACAGATAACCCGACAATAACATACACAACAGATACACCGACCACAACACACACAACAGATACAACGACAACAGTTGAACAGACAACAACGATAACTTCAAATGAATCTACAGCGATTACTTCAAATGAACCGACAACGGTTACTTCAAATGAACCGACAACAACGATCACTACAGCTGAAACATCAACAACGACCACAGCATATGAACCGACGTCAACGATCACAACAGATAAACCAACAACGATTACAACAGATGAACCGACAACAACAATCAAAACAGTTGAACCGACAACGATTACTACAGATAAACCGACAACAACGATCACTACAACTGTAACGACAACAACGACAACAGCATATAAACCGACGTCAACGATCACAACAGATAAACCAACAACGATCACAACAGATGAACCGACAACAACTATCAAAACAGTTGAGCCGACAACGATTACTTTAGATAAACCGACAACAACGATCACCACAGTTGAAGCGACAACAAAGATCACAACAGTTGAACCGACAACAACGATCACAACAGTTGAACCGACAACAAAGATCACAACAGTTGAACCGACAACAAAGATCACAACAGTTGAACCCACAACAACGATCACTGCAGCTGAACTGGCAACAACGATAAAAAAAGATGAACAGACAACAAAGATCACAACAGTTGAACCGACAACAACGATCACAACAGTTGAACCGACAACAACGATCACTGCAGCTGAACCGACAACAACGATCACTACAGCTGAAACGACAACAACGACCACAACATATGAACCGACGACAACAACCACAACATATGAACCGACGACAACGACTACAACAGATAAACCGACAACGATAACAACAGTTGAACCCACAACAACAATCACAAAAGTTGAACCGACAATAACGATAACAACAGTTGAACCGACAACAAAAATCACAACAGTTGAACCGACAACAAAGATCACAACAGTTAAACCGACAACAAAGATCACAATAGTTGAACCATCAACCAAGACCACAACAGTTGAACCGACAACAGAGATAACAACAGTTGAACCCACAAAAACGATCACAACAATTGAACCGACAACAAAGATCACAACAGTTGAACCAAAAACAAAGATCACAACATTTGAAGCCACAACAGAGATAACAACAGTTGAACCGACAAAAGAGAAAACAACAGTTGAACCCACATCAATAATCACAACAGTTGAACCGACAACAAAGATCACAACAGTTGAACCCACAACAGAGATAACAACAGTTGAACCGACAACAGAGATTACAACAGTTGAACCATCAACCACGACCACAACAGTTGAACCGACAACAGAGATAACAACAGTTGAACCCACAACAACGATCACAACAGTTGAATCCACATCAATGATCACAACAGTTGAATCCACAACAGAGATAACAACAGTTGAACCCACAACAACGATCACAACAGTTGAATCGACAACAAAGATCACAACAGTTGAACCCACAACAAATATCACAACAGTTGAACCCACAACAGAGATCACAATAGTTGAACCATCAACCACGACCACAAGAGTTGAACCGACAACAGAGATAACAACAGTTGAACCATCAACAACGATCTTGACAGTTGAACCGACAACAAAGATCACAACAGTTGAACCGACAAAAAAGATCACAACAGTTGAACCATCAACCACGACCACAACAGTTGAACCGACAACAGAGATAACAACAGTTGAACCCACAACAATGATCACAACAGTTGAATCCACATCAATGATCACAACAGTTGAACCGACAACAAAGATCACAACAGTTGAACCCACAACAGAGATAACAACAGTTGAACCGACAACAGAGATAACAACAGTTGAACCAAAAACAACGATCACAACAGTTGAACCGACAACAAAGATCACAACAGTTGAACCGACAACAAAGACCACAAAACTTGAACCCACAACAGATATAACAACAGTTGAACCCACAACAGAGATAACAAAAGTTGAACCCACAACAACGATCACAACAGTTGAACCGACAACAAAGATCACAACAGTTGAACCGACAACAAAAATCACAATAGTTGAACCATCAACCACGACCACAACAGTTGAACCGACAACAGAGATAACAACAGTTGAACCCACAACAACGATCACAACAGTTGAAACAACAACAACGATCACAACAGATAAACCGACATCAACGATCACAACAGTTGAGCCGACAACAAAGATCACAACAGTTGAACCAATAACAACGATCACAACAGTTGAGCCGACAACAAAGATCACAACAGTTGAACCGACAACAAAGACCACAAAACTTGAACCTACAACAGATTTAACAACAGTTGAACCCACAACAGAGATAACAAAAGTTGAACCCACAACAACGATCACAACAGTTGAACCGACAACAAAGATCACAACAGTTGAACCGACAACAAAAATCACAATAGTTGAACCATCAACCACGACCACAACAGTTGAATCGACAACAGAGATAACAACAGTTGAACCCACAACAACGATCACAACAGTTGAACCGACAACAAAGATCACAATAGTTGAACCGACAACAAAGATCACAACAGTTGTACCGACAACAAAGATCACAACAGTTGAACCATCAACCACGACCACAACAGTTGAACCGACAACAGAGATAACAACAGTTGAACCCACAACAACGATCACAACAGTTGAATCCACATCAATGATCACAACAGTTGAACCGACAACAAAGATAACAACAGTTGAACCGACAACAGAGATAACAACAGTTGAACCCACAACAGAGATAACAACAGTTGAACCCACAACAGAGATAACAACAGTTGAACCCACAACAACGATCACAACAGTTGAACCGACAACAAAGATCACAACAGTTGAACCGACAAAAAAGATCACAATAGTTGAACCATCAACCACGACCACAACAGTTGAACCGACAACAGAGATAACAACAGTTGAACCCACAACAATGATCACAACAGTTGAACCGACAACAAAGATCACAACAGTTGAACCAAAAACAAAGATCACAACAGTTGAACCAAAAACAAAGATCATAACAGTTGAACCCACAACAGAGATAACAACAGTTGAACCGACAACAGAGAAAACAACAGTCGAACCCACATCAATAATCACAACAGTTGAACCGACAACAAAGATCACAACAGTTGAACCATCAACCACGACCACAACAGTGGAACCGACAACAGAGATAACAACAGTTGAACCCACAACAACGATCACAACAGTTGAACCGACAACAAAGATCTTAACAGTTGAACCGACAACAAAGATCACAACAGTTGAACCATCAACCACGACAACAACAGTTGAACCGACAACAGAGATAACAACAGTTGAACCCACAACAACGATCACAACAATTGAATCCACATCAACGATCACAACAGTTGAACCGACAACAATGATCACAACAGTTGAACCGACAACAGAGATAACAACAGTTGAACCCACAACAACGATCACAACAATTGAACCGACAACAAAGATCACAACAGTTGAACCGACAACAAAGATCACAACAGTTGAAACAACAACAACGATCACAACAGATAAACCGACATCAACGATCACAACAGTTGAGCCGACAACAAAGATCACAACAGTTGAACCAACAACAACGATCACAACAGTTGAGCCGACAACAAAGATCACAACAGTTGAACCGACAACAACGATCACAACAGTTGAAATGACAACAAAGATCACAAATGATAATAAAAAATCTTCTCTAGACGCAACTACTCGTATGTATTTTCTTGAAAGAATTACGTTTGTTAAGTTTTACGATTTTAAATTCGAAATAGATAAAACACCTTAAATCTTAATGTTTCACATATTTGCATCGTAAACATATTTAAACGGAGACATTGGGGACTAAAGGTTGTGTTCGGATTAAGTAATCTGGGTTTAAAAATCCCGGGAACAATAATTCAATTTATACAGATGTTAGGTTCAGTGACAGACATTGACTATTTATATTTTTATTTACATTAAATTCTAATCCACAGAATGATTATTTTTTTTCAGTTTTGATAGTGATTGTAGTTATATTAGTGGTCACAGTTATTATCATTGCTGCCATACTAACTTTCGTATGCTGCAAATACATTTGGCAAAGAGGAAAAGCGAAGCAGGTTAGTCTACCAAATTATAATTCTAAGGAAAACAGTTATGCTGAATTTGTATTACAAAACGGGATAACACCTCCTAATTTTAACGGTAGTGTTGTTTATCAATTTAAATGCGCTATATGTAAACTTAATGATGATTTGATTAAAATTATGTTTAAATGGAATTAATTTAACACCGTAACAAGATCTTTGAATATGGTTTTTATCGGTACTAAAATTGATTTTGTTTTGGATAAATTAAGACAAATATGTATCACTAAACATTTATAAAAAACTTATGGTCGTACATCCTGTCGATGTTATATACTTATATTTTGTGCATTGTACAAGGCCATGATTTTCTCACACTGTTTATAATATCGCTACACTTAATCCGGTGTATGTGCTGATTGATACTGTCGATATTATATACTTATATTTTGTGCATTGCACAAGGTCATGCTTTTCTCAGACTGTTTATGATATCTCTACACTTAATCCGGTGTATGTGCTGATTGATACTTTAGTCGGGGAGAATATCCGGTGTATGTGCTGATTGATACTTAAGTCGGGGAGAACATCCGGTGTATGTGTTGATTGATACTTTAGTCGGTCAGTTGTCATTGGCTTTAAACTAGCTTTCGGTAACTGCGAGGACTCTTAGATCAGTACTTTGTGTCTTTTTTTTTTTTTTTTTGGTGCTTCGTGTCGATCTAATGAGTCAAGCCATTTACAACTGATTTTTACAATTTGTTCTTATGGTTTGCTTTTACACCTTTGTCCAAGGTTAGGAAAGGGTTGAACGCTCACAATAGAACAATAAGGAGATGTGGTATGATTGCCAATGAGACAACTATCCACAAAAGTTCAAATGAAGTGGATGTAAGCAATTATAGGCAACCCTACGGCCTTCAACAATGAGAAAAACCCATACCGTATGGTCGGCTATAAAAGGCCCCCAAAAAATATGAAACAATTCAATTGAGAAAACTAACGGCCTAATTTATAACAAAACAACTTACGAAAAAACAAATATAAGCATATTTTGGCGTTGATATTGATTCACTTATAGGGTCTTTGCATCTGCACTAAACACATTTATTTAAAAACCAGTTGTTGGCATGACACGGGTTATGTTCTTCTCATATATGTTATGATGGTATGATACTAAACCCCTAACGGGAAGGATTGTGCCTGATATTCATATGATGAAGACATAATCTTTCAATCAGTTTAATTGAAGTCTGGAGCTGGCATGTCAGTTAACTGCTAGTAGTCTGTTGTTATTTATGTATTATTGTCATTTTGTTTATTTTCTTTGGTTACATCTTCTGACATCAGACTCGGACTTCTCTTGAACTGAATTTTAATGTGCGTATTGTTATGCGTTTACTTTTCTACATTGGCTAGAGGTATAGGGGGAGGGTTGAGATCTCATAAACATGTTTAACCCCGCCGCATTTTTGCGCCTGTCCCAAGTCAGGAGCCTCTAGCCTTTGTTAGTCTTGTATTATTTTTAATTTTAGTTTCTTGTGTACAATTTGGAGTTTAGTATGGCGTTCATTATCACTGAACTAGTATATATATTTGTTTAGGGGCCAGCTGAAGGACGCCTCCGGGTGCGGGAATTTCTCGCTGCATTGAAGACCTGTTGGTGGCCTTCTGCTGTTGTCTGTTCTGTGGTCGGGTTGTTGTCTCTTTGACACATTCCACATTTCCATTCTCAATTTTATGACAGACATGAACCAACGATAATCACTGAACTACAGGCTCCTGACTTGGGACAGGCACATGAAGAATATGGCGGGGTTAAACATGTTTGTGAGCGCTCAAACCTCCCGCTAACCTGGGACAGTGGTGTAACAGTACAACATAAGAACAAACTATAAAAATCAGTTGGAAAAGGCTCAACTCATCAGATGGAAACATGTTAAATCCTGCCCCATTATGTATGAGTCTGTCCCAAGTCAGGAGCCTTAAATTCAGTGGTTGTCGTTGGTTGGTGTCATTTATGTCTGTTATGTGTGATTTTGTTAATTGTGTTTTCGTTTGACTTGTTTCACATTTTGTCATGTTTTGGGCCTTTTATTAAGGAAGACCGTACGTTGGTGTTTGTTGTCAACTATACCACATTTCCTTATGGTATATATATATACTTTATTTGCCATTTTTATAATATATTTGTCACACTTTCATATAACAACTTATAAACTTTTATATTTCCAAGTCTATTTCTATCATTGAGGCATTATGTTCTAAATACCATAGCTAATATGTTTGTACCTACTGTTAGCAATCTCATGCTGACTTATCATTGTTGTTTTGTGTGTTTTTTATATAACGTTTTGATTCCAATGCTCAAGATTAAACTGGAAAGGGTTTTGGTATCGAGAAACTAATTTCCATGTTCATGCGGCTGTCTCTAGACAGTAATTTGGTTAATTATTTTCTAACTGCAAATTTGGTGTTGACGGCAGATCTTTAAAAAATTCTGTTTAATTTATCTTGTCACAATCTTTTAAGCATGGGAAAATTAAGTGTTTGACATATGATATATGCGCCTTTTTATTGTTGACGACCCTATGTTAGTTTTATTATATAGTTTGTTGCTGTCTTATTGGCGTATTCCTCACACCCCTTTTTATTCATAACAACGACGCAAAAACATCCAGTTGTATGAAAAGTTGCTGGACAGAGGCAAATGTTTGATGGGGAAGACTTGAAAACAACACTGGTCAATAAGTGTATTACTTTGCAATTTTTTTAGAGTGCAAATAAAATGTACCGAAAATATGTGTGTGTAAATGTGACTTGTTGAATTATAGCAATTAAGTTTATGATCTGTTGTCACTTGAGAGTTTGTAAGTCAATAACCTGGTTACGGAATCTTTCAAGACGACATAAAACTTGTTGATACTAGGTTGTTAATTTTAACATTTAAGACTACATAAAACTTGTTGATACTAGGTTGTTCAGCCTAACTTTGAAGATCACATAAAACTTGTTGATACTAGGTTGTTTACCTTAACTTTTAAGATGACATAAAACTTGTTGATACTAGGTAGTTCAGCCTAACTTTTAAGATGACATAAAACTTGTTGATACTAGATTGTTTAGCTTAACTTTTAAAATGACATAAAACTTGTTGATACTAGGTTGTTAAGCTTAACTTTTAAGATGACATGAAACTCGTTGATTCTAGGTTGTTTAGCTTAACTTTTAAGATGACATAAAACTTGTTGATACTAGGTTGTTAAGCTTAACTTTTAAGATGAAATAAGTTAAGCTTAACTTTTAAGATGAAATAAGTTTAGCTTAACCTTTAAGATGACATAAAACTTGTTACTACTAGGTTGTTAAGCTTAACTTTTAAGATGACATAAAACTCATTGATTCTAGGTTGTTTAGCTTAACTTTTAAGATGACATAAAACTTGTTGATACTAGATTGTTTAGCTTAACTTTTAAGATGACATAAGTTTAGCTTAACCTTTAAGATGACATAAAACTTGTTGATACTAGGTTGTTAAGCTTAACTTTTAAGATGACATAAAACTTGTTGATACTAGGTTGTTTAGCTTAACTTTTAATATGACATAAGTTTAGCTTAACCTTTAAAATGACATAAAACTTGTTGATACTAGGTGGGTACAGTCTAACTTTGAAGATCACATAAAACTTGTTGATACTAGGTTGTTTAGTTTAACTTTTAAGATGACATAAAACTCTTTGATACTAGTTTGTTTAGCCTAACTTTTAAGATGACATAGAATTTGCTGATACTAGGTTGTTCAGCCTTACTTTTAAGATGACATAAAACTTGTTGATACTAGATTGTTTAGCTTAACGTTTAAGATGACATAAAACTTGTTGATACTAGGTTGTAAAGCTTAACTTTTAAGATGACATCAAACTTGTTGATACTAGGTTGTTGAGCCTAACTTTTAAGATGACATAAAACTTGTTGATTCTAGGTTGTTTACCTTAACTTTTAAGATGACATAAAACTTGTTGATACTAGGTTGTTTAGCTTAACTTTTAAGATGACATCAAACTTGTTGATACTAGGTTGTTGAGCCTAACTTTTAAGATGACATAAAACTTGTTGATTCTAGGTTGTTTACCTTAACTTTTAAGATGACATAAAACTTGTTGATACTTGGTTGTTTAGCTTAACTTTTAAGATGACATAAGTTAAGCTTAACTTTTAAGATGACATAAGTTAAGCTTAACTTTTAAGATGACATAAGTTAAGCTTAACTTTTAAGATGACATAAGTTTAGCTTAACCTTTAAGATGACATAAAACTTGTTGATACTAGGTTGTTAAGCTGAACTTTTAAGATGACATAAAACTGGTTGATTCTAGGTTGTTTAGCTTAACTTTTAAGATGACATAAAACTTGTTGATACTAGATTGTTTAGCTTAACTTTTAAGATGACATAAGTTTAGCTTAACCTTTATTGTTAAGCTTAACTTTTAAGATGACATAAAACTTGTTGATACTAAGTTGTTAAGCTTAACTTTTAAGATGACATAAAACTTGTTGATTCTAGGTTGTTTAGCTTAACTTTTAAGATGACATAAAACTCTTTGATACTAGGATGTTTAGCCTAACTTTTAATATGACATAAGTTTAGCTTAACCTTTAAGATGACATAAAACTTGTTGATACTAGGTTGTTTAGTTTAACCTTTAAGATGACATAAAACTTGTTGATACTAGGTTGTTTAGTTTAACCTTTAAGATGACATAAATCTTGTTGATACTAGGTTGTTCAGCCTAACTTTTAAGATGACATAAAATGTGTTGATACTAGGTTGTTCAGTCTAACTTTTACGATGACATAAAACTTGTTGATACTAGATTGTTAAGCTTAACTTTTAAGATGACATAAAACTTGTTGATACTAGGTTGTTAAGCTTAACTTTTAAGATGACATAAAACTTGTTGATTCTAGGTTGTTTAGCTTAACTTTTAAGATGACATAAAACTTGTTGATACTAGGTTGTTTAGCTTAACTTTTAATATGACATAAGTTTAGCTTAACCTTTAAGATGACATAAAACTTGTTGATACTAGGTGGGTACAGCCTAACTTTGAAGATCACATAAAACTTGTTGATACTAGGTTGTTTAGTTTAACTTTTAAGTTGACATAAAACTTTTTGATACTAGTTTGTTTAGCCTAACTTTTAAGATGACATAGAATTTGCTGATACTAGGTTGTTCAGCCTTACTTTTAAGATGACATAAAACTTGTTGATACTAGATTGTTTAGCTTAACGTTTAAGATGACATAAAACTTGTTGATACTAGGTTGTAAAGCTTAACTTTTAAGATGACATCAAACTTGTTGATACTAGGTTGTTGAGCCTAACTTTTAAGATGACATAAAACTTGTTGATACTAGATTGTTTAGCTTAACTTGTAAGATGACACTAAACTTATTGATACTAGGTTGTTAAATTTAACTTTTAAGATGACATAAAACTTGTTGATTCTAGGTTGTTTACCTTAACTTTTAAGATGACATAAAACTTGTTGATACTAGGTTGTTTAGCTTAACTTTTAAGATGACATAAGTTTAGCTTAACTTTTAAGATGACATAAAACATGTTGATACTAGGTTGATTAGCCTAACTTTTAATTGTACAATTACTATTACCACAGTTAAAGTAAATTATTGATTCGAATTGTTATCGTTTTAGTTGAAAAAAGTTCCAACAAAATCAGAAAAGGAACCTTTTGATAAACGACAAGGACCCATAAACCAGGAAGCGGATGGTAATTTGTCGATACAAGATGACTTTAAGAACATATCCCGTAATAATGCTGAACCTTTATTTCAAATAAGGTCACTCGCTTCATTACCACATATCAGTGACCGTTTCACTGAACAATCGAAAAAACATGAAGACAAAGACGAGGAGGAGGCTATAAAACACAAAAAGAAAAAGCGAAAGAGATTTCTTAAAGATAACCAAGTACATGCATCTAATGATGAATGGAAAGGAAATACAGTTTTGAATTCAGAGGCTAATGAAACATTTGAAAATGGCAACGTACTACAAAATCACAGCTCTAAAAAAAAGAAAAAGAAAAGGAAAAAGTCAAAATTACAGGAAAATAATAAGGGGTTTGATGACCCGACAACTACAAATGAACCAACAACAACAATCACACCAATTGAACTAACAGCAACACAACCAACAACGAAGATAATAAATCAACTGACAACAATCAAAACAGAAAAATCGACAACAACGATCAAATCAGATGAAAAACCAGTGGCTAATGCAACATTTGAAACCATCAACGATGAAGAATATGACAGCTCTAAAAAAAAGAGAAAGAAAAAGAAGAAAACAAAATTACAGGAAAATATCAAATGGTTTGATGAACAAGAGTATGATGACGTAACAAAAGACAGAATGAACAAAAAAAAGACAAAGAAGAGACAAAAAGAAAAATTGAAGGATAATACCAAATTTGCTTCAGATCAGACGAAGGAACATTATAATTTGGTTATGATATAGTGTGATATCAATAACAATTTCTTAAATGCTTCTGTTTTCAAACGTCCACTTATGAATCATTGTCAGTTGAACAAATGCTATACCTATTCTATAAACGTAAATACTGTTGTAGGTGAGAAAGAGACTTATGTGTGGGCAGATTGTTTATGACGTCTAAACACTTAATCCGTTGGATGTGTACTGATTTAAATTTTAGTCTGGGAAAAAAATGGGTTATTTGTTAGTTGTAATTGGCTTTTGCTTTTAATTTGTTTCACATTTGTCATGCTGGGGCGTTTTTTTTTTAGCTTACTAAACGGTATGAGTCTTGTTCCGTGTTGAAGATCGTGCAATGCGCATGCCCTGTACTTGCTTGCATCTTCGTCCTTTGGTCTCAGGTGGATAGTTGTCTTGTTATCAATCTACCAAATCTCCTTGGATTCATAATTTAAGATAAATGGAAAAATAACATACCGATATCTGATATATTGCTTTTTGTTTTGTAACTTTACAGTGGAAATATCTCATGCATGTTCAGGACGAAAACGACTTTAACAATAAATTGGTATCTAAACTGACTAATTAATGTCTTAACATAATGCGCCCTTTTGGATTACATGTATTATAAATATAGTTTGTATTTGGTTTTTAAAACTTTTATTTCGAGATTTAAACCGAATATGTAACATGCGCACAACATTTTTCATTATTTAACGCACAAAGATAGCCATTACGTATCAAAGCACCTTTTTATTCAAAATTCACTATAAAAAAAAAGATGGAAGATAAGAAGCGGGTATTCAAAACTCATTAGTCGAAGAAAATGTCAACGCCATAGCAAAAAACGAAATATGACGAAAAGACGAACATGACAGAGTCCACAAAACACTGCATAGAAAACTAAAGATTGAGCAACACAAACCCCACCTTAACGGGGTGCACTCATGTGCTCCGGAAGTGTAAGCAGTTCCTGTTGCCCGGTGCTACCGGTTGAGCAGGAACTGTTAATAGTTTGATGAGCAACAATCTGCAAGGAGATCTCAAACTGTTGATATCGATGTAAATGGTCAAACAGTGGATAACTGGTTTCATTGTATTGTTGTGATGCTCATCATTGATGTATACTAATGATTACATCTCTTTCAAAACAACTTGTTTTGTAAAAATTTCAATAATTTTAAATATGTTTACTTTTGTAAAAAAAAAATCAATAATTTCATAATATGTGTATTTGATTTAAGAGATGTCATGTATCTATGGTATAGTAATAATATATTAACGGTGTGTTAACGGTGTAGTATAAACAGAAGAAGAACACTATATTGTTAATGCGTACAAGATGAAACTGCAGCATATGTTTTAGATAGAACAACATTTCGATATAATGTGGAAAGAAAGTATTTTAACGCGTTAAGCTTCTTGATCTGTCACTTTAAAGTCAGTAGCAATCATTTCAATATTAAACACGTTTCCATTATATATCAAGCTTTAACTATTTCAAAGTTTACTCCTAACAGCTGCCGTTCCATCAGCATAGGATGCATATATCATAATAGATTTGTCGGTATCACATGTTGATTGCATTACCGATGGTTGATTCTGGCAAGCGTTTATCCATTTGTGAACGGCTTTATATTCTTTAGTATCAGGAATTTGGAAACCTCGATGATGTTGAAGTACGGGAAATCGCATAGCGAAAGGTGCTAGCATTATATCTGGCATTGCCAATTTATCGCCACCGAAAAAAGGATATGAATCTGATTTAAATTCCATTAAAGTTTTAAGGTTACTTAGCAATTCTGATTTGACACTCTCTTGAATGTTTTTATCTTGTTTTAGCAGCATTCTGTAATAGAGAGGCGTAATCTCGCGAGATATATAACCACTTACAATTCTCATCTTTGCCCTATCAAGTATATCCGTTGGTAGAAGTCTATTTTGATTTCCTCCATATTCATCTACAAATTCTATGCATACATCAGACTCGTATACAGATTTACCATTGGCTTCTATCACAGGTACAAGCCCTCTCGGATTAAGTTGAAGGAACTCCTTTGTTTTTTCTTTGTAAGGGTTGTATTCAATATATTCAAAATCGATACCCTTTTCCAGCAAAGCAATCCAAGCCCGCTGGGCAAAGGGACAAAACCAGGCACAATAAAGCTTCAAACGATTTGTCATTCTGAAAAAAGTAATACATTTTTATGCAATTTATTGGAATATTTATTATACATGTTACTTATTTTCGACTTATGAGTTTGAATGTCCTTTTGGTATCTTTTGCCTCTCTTTTACTACACATGTAGTATATTATATGGTTTTAGATTTTAAAAAAGACAAATTCAAGCTTAATTGAAATAATTTTCTCCTGGAAAAATTTTGTAATCCGTTTGGAATTAAGAGATAAGTTAAATTCGAAGATCATTTAGGAATTTTAGCTGGATTGACTGAAGGGACACGAGTTATATTCCATACCTAGGTATTAGTTGTCCATTTTTCGTTAACTTTTATTAATAAATATATGAACATCTTTTTTATTCTATCGATTATAAAACAAAATAAGACAATGAGACGAAACAATTGTTAGCTTTTAAAGTCTGTTGAAAGTTATTATACCCAATGCAAATCATAAACTATTACTGATAGTTCTATTAAATCATCTCAATAGAGCTACAATATTAACTTTCTATGTGAAAACAGCGATGTACAGTATGTGTCGCCACGAATAATAAAATGATGCTTGAAATTGCAGGTAGGCGTAATTCAACAAACTTGCTCAGGTTTTTTTTTTATCCTGCATGTTTCCTTGATAGATGGTTACTGCTTACAAGAAAACTATTGCATCAAGGTTTTCTAGTGGTCAAGTTGATGTTATTCCTTCTATAGATTTAGGGACGATATAATGATTTGGTTAACAGCTATGAAAGATAACCGCGGATAGTTCCCTTGTCGTCACTGAAATCCTGTTCTCTTTTCCTGGAATGTGAAATTAACAAATGGGACTCGCCGGATTTTTACTTTCATGAGCAACACGACGGGTACAACATGTAGAGCAGAAACTGCTTATCCTTCCAGATCCACAGCATCAAAACCCGGATTTAGGTATGATTTGAATTGCTCGTTTTAGTTTACCACGTAATGTTTTGTTATTTTTGTTCGTCTTTTAGTTGTGTTTACTTCTGGTCAGAGAGTGTTTTTTTATTGGACTTACGATTAACGATTGTCCCTAATATCTTCTGTCCTCTTGTTTTGTTTCAACTTTTTATGTGTTCTTTAGTGTATGTCTGTGTTTCATAACAATATATTAAAAAACTAATAACTTCTTACCTGAAATAATATTCACTTAATTCAAATCTATGGTTGTTTGTCTACTTTTGTCTGTTGTCTCTTTTGTTTGTGATTGAGTTGTACAAATCATGTACTGTTATGGTGGATAATATGTGGAACGTCGTTTGTTTATACACTTATACCGTATTTATATATAGAACGATCTAAAATTTAACCTTGTTCCTATCATTTAAATAACTGATAACACTCATACAAATATCTGGCGTGTTAATATGTATAAAATGTAGAACGCATGTTTGAACTTCATCAATAATCATAGTTCCTTGATTACACAATACAATTTTTGTCATAAAAAGTTATTTAGAAAAAAATTAAAACCGATTTTATAATAGGATAAATTTCTAAATTAAAGAAAGCAGCACACAATGACAATAAAAGAGGGACGAAAGATACCAGAGGGACAGTCAAACTCATAGATCGAAAACAAACTGACAACGCCATGGTCAAAAATAAAAAGACAAACAGACAAATAATAGTACAGATGACACAACATAGAAAACTAAAGACTAAGCAACACAAACCCCACCAAAAACTGGGGGTGATCTCAGGTGCCCCGGAAGGGTAAGCAGATCCTGCTCCACATGTGGCACCCGTCGTGTTGCTTATGTTATTACAAATCCGGTAAATAGTGTAATTCGGTAGGTCACATTCGTGAAAAGGGAAGGGTATTGTTGTTACGACATAAGGAACATATCCGATATCATCTGTTAAACTGTTATTCCGTAACGGTCAACCAACTCGTGATGGCGTCCGTAAAATTTACGAAGGGATGATTTCAACTTCACCATTTGGAACTCTTGGTTTAATAGCTTCCTTGTGAGCAGCAATCCTCTATCAAGGAAATCATAATAAGAAATACAAGCCCGGGGATATCGTATCAATTGGGAGATATATACTCCGTATGCAGGCGCTGCTGGAATTTTGCTACATAGAAATGGAAAGTTCACAATTGGGAAGCTGAAATCATCTCTTGTGTCGTAAAGTTTTGTTTTCAACCGACCCTCATTGTCAATTTCTAGATGTAAGTCAAGATATGAGGCAGACTTAACTGTATCTGTAGTATCCTTTATCTCTAGTTCGATGGGATAGATACGTTCAACATAGTCACCAAATTTTGTATTATTTAGTGAGAGAACATCATCTATGTAGCGGAACGTAAAGTTAAAGGATATTGCTAACTTCTTATCTTTCTTCCTAAGAAGTTCCTGTATGAAGTCAGCCTCATAATAATAAAGAAACAAGTCGGCAAGAAGAGGGGCACAATTGGTTCCCATTGGAATTCCGACAGTCTGTTAAAATTTAGTCTAACAACATATATTATTGTCATAATATTGGGGCGGCTTTAGAGTGTGACCTAAGATCTAAAACGCCATATCCTTACAGATTGCGATTGAATTCATTACATAAAAGCAAAGATCTTACTTACATCATATCAATCAATACCAAATTCAATGTAGAAAAAGCATGCGGCTGTGACTGATGAGATTCCAATCCAGACTTTACAAAAACTACGCCTATCATACCAATGAAAAATAATAAAAGCTTAATAAAATTTCTATACTGTATAGACAACTTTCGACTTAATCCATTCCGTCTATTTTTGTAATTATTTTGTACAAAAATGTCGTGATCGAGGGACACCCGTACTACCGAATTAAACTAAAATAAACATCGATTCACCAAAACGAAATTCATTTTGCAATCCCATTTGGTTACCAGATTATGATAGTTCGATGCATCAAAAAGAAACAGTTAATCAGCCGCAAACCAATTTATTTATTTTGACATGAATTATCATTGATATGGTCATAATTATAAATTAACTGTTTACAAAACTTTACATTTTTGAAGTACTAAGGCTTTTCTACCTCAGGAATAGATTACCTTAGCTCTATTTGGCAAAACTTTTAGGAAGTTTTAGTCCTCAATGCTCTTCAACTTCGTACTTTATTTAGTTTTTTTTACTTTTGTTGATTCTAGCGTCACTGATGAGTCTTTTGTAGACGAAACGCGCGTCTGGCGCAAATACAAAATTTCAATCCTGGTATCTATGAAGAGTTTATTTACGCAAACCTTTGTTGTGTGCTTATAGCGCTGAACTATTGAAATGCGGCGCGTACTATGGAAATATGCTATGTTTTTGTATTTGTTATGGTTGATGAGTAGAAAACCAAATCAATTTTGTTTGCTGTCTAACGAATTTTTAACTTAATTTGTATCTTTAACTGCATTCATAAAATTGAGAATGGAAATGGGGAATGTGTCAAAGAGACAACAACCCGACCATAGAGCAGACAACAGCCGAAGGCCACCAATGGTTTTTTGTTGTTGTGGAAATTGAAGGAAACGCAAAATTGCTTGATATTTCAATGTTTTGGTCACTCACTGCGTTGATCGAGCTGCTAGAAATTTATGGTCAACATTTTAAAAAGGCTATCTTTTAAGTTGAGTAGACGATTTTAGAGTATGGCATATTGTATTTTTTTCCAAAATGTGTCAACAGCACTTTAAAATTATGTCAGAAAATATTTTAAGATAAATATATTTTCTCGCTAGTACTTTTTCACAGTTTGAACTACAGCTCGGTATTTGATACTATCAATACGCATGTTTTGGTATAATAACATGTCTCAAGTGGTCAATCTCCCATGCATGGAGGTTTGCATATTCATGTAACATTTATTTGCTTCAATCTGCCTATATAAAGAAAGTATGGAAGAGCAATACACATATGAACAAAACAATCCTATATAATTAAAGAATCCTTTTAGGACTGAGCCGATGACAATGAAATCACACCCTTTTAAACATTTCATATAGAAACGTTTCCAACAATGTAGATTCATGAAAAAATATATAGAAATAACAGAAATGACACATTTCATGGTGAAAAGATATCTAAAGGTCAACATATTGTCTCTAACGATGCAAATATGTCTATATCAAGAAAAAGCTCTAAAAAAAAATCAAAAAAATTTAAAATAAATTTAAAAGAGTGAAACTCCGAAAGACTTCCATTTACACATTTTAAGGGCAGAATATTAAAATATACTACGTACGGTGACCTATAGTTGTTAATTTCTGTGTGATTTGGTCTCTTGTGGAGAGTTGTCTCATTGGCAATTATACCACATCTTATTTTTTTCTATTTAACAACCACGGACAAGGTTCCTGACTTTGGACAGGCAAACGAACCGTTTTGAATAAGTATCATTGAACACTCAAATCTCACTTTTTTTAGTCCTGGCCAATAGAATAAAAAATGTTACATATAAGTATACTAAAAATCTGTTAAGAAAATCAGTGAAATCTAAGTTGTCCGTATCATAGACAACACAACCGAGACACAACCACGTACAGATATAAGTAATGCAATTCGAAATAATATCTTTTTAAAGAATGTACAGTGTTACTGTAAGAATTCTTAAAGAAATTTATATGCAATGAATCACCATACCATAGTGTTTTCTCCAAAAAAGATTACACCCAGAACCGGCATCAGCAATGCAGGTGGAAACAAATTTCATAAAAAAGGACCGGAAGAAAGAATAAGAACAAAGCGGCCTAGTCTTCTTTAAAATAATAAATAGGTACACTGAAAACTAATATAAATTCACCAAATATACTAGACACAATGAATAGTCAGCAACAGTATGATTATAGTGTCAATGAAAATAGCACTTTATAAATGTGTTGCAATTGAATCGCTTTTCTTTATTACCTTCATTAGGAACCGTAAAAACCCCAAACATTAAAAGCAAGGACGTAAAAGTAAGTGTTTTTTTGATTTTGCCATTTGATTGGGGACTTTCCTTTTTGAATTTTCCTCGGAGTTCAGTATTTTTGTGATTTTACTTTTTGATCACGTTAACAGCTATATGAACAAAAGGTACATGAAAAGAAAAGAAAAATCCACATAACTCAACTTTGCCTGAGGGAGTTGAAGCGTAAGTCTCTCAATAATTTTTAAAATTAAGGCGAATTTGAGAAAGGTATGTTATATATCATATTTGTACCAAGAACTTATTAATTACTGAACTGACCATACCCTTGGTGAATAACAGGTCACCAGCTGTGGTAATGACCCAGTGCTAGATAATATTACACTTCTGAATAAATTTGTTTCGTCCAAACCGTTTTTCTGGATTCATCTCCGTCAGGAACGAACAAAACCAATAGTTTAAAAGCAGTGATATACCAGTACATAACACGTAAAGACCTATGATAAACAGGGACGTAAGAAGAATTATAGACAAATTTATATCAGGTCAACTTTGCCTTAGGGAGTTTGAACTTAAGTTTTCGAATAATTTTTAGATTCATCAACGGAGAATCTAAGAATTTATTACAAGCTAGATAATGTAGAAAGATGGTGTTCCGTCATAAGTTTTTTGTTTACTATTTCGTCGTTATTATTTTGGAAACTGTTTCTTTGACTTATGGTTATGATTTGTCTCTTGTTATATACCATGCTTCTTCAAGCCATGACTGTCAAATATGCATAAAACAGGGACAATATAAATATAGCAATTGTTAAGTAATTTCTAGTAGAGTTGAGTTACACGATCGTGCGATGTAGTGATATTAATAAAAAATATTTTTTGAAGTTATTTTGTAAGATTTTTTTTCTGTCTGGAACAGCATTTATACTAAAATATTTTAAGACGGATACAATTTAGCAACAACTTGACAGTTATTTTCTACAAAATACAATGTGCGTTCTGTTTTTCAGGATATGAACAGGTATACCACCAAAGAACATGAATGAAATGTTACTATTTTTTTATTGAATAAAATATAATAATTGTGTTAACATATATGAAATAACTAGCAATAAATGTATACAAAGATATATAATAAACTGAACACAATTGAGTATACGATAATGCCGTTAGGAAATTGAATAATATCACCAGGTATATTGGTTGTATAAAAGTTAGAAAATAAAAACTTGAAGAGATACATAATGGTGTAAAAAACGAGTATGTTTGATTTATTAAAAAAATATATGTATATACACACAAAGTTGTAAAATCGTTTATAAAATGCATAAATCGATTGTCCTACAAATAAAAAAAAATTAAAATGTTTTTTTTAAACTGAAAACTAGCAAATGAGAAATTTAAATGCACCAAAAGTAGCATGATAAAAATGGAAAGGCACTCTGAGGTAGCTATTCGGCTTTCCTAAACGATCAGATTCTAGAACATATTTTTCGCACAGTAGTAAATCCTCCATATGTAAACTCAATATAGCAAGAACATATAGAATGCTATATTATAGAGTTCTTAGGGGAGAAGTAACGTGAGACAATATATCTGCTTAGATACCTGATTATTTTGATTTTCGAAAAGTCGCGTAAAAAGATAATGATAAAGTGTCATTTACTTATCAAGACAAGGGGAATACATCAGCGGTTAGTAAGTAACATATAAGGTTATTTTAGTACAAACAGGGGAAAAATCAAATGTCAAATATTAAAAAGAACTGTTTTGTGTTTCAGTAGTTAACATAGTTCTGTAAGAACATAGCATTTGCAAATGTTTATTATCACATCATAAATGAACCATTGAGTTTTACTTTTCTTTTGGCTTTAAGTCGTGTTGTGTTTTGGAAGTAAAAGTTATCTTTTTATACGATAAAATAAATTGATCTAAAGTACAATATATAATATTTAATGGTTAGCAAAAAAAAAAATTAAAAATAAAATAAAATAAAAACATAGATTGTAAAATATCAGCTGCTACTCAAATGTGAACTTGTTTTGAAGATAAAAGAATGGGCCAAGTTGAACAACAAAGAAATGCCCGACAGTCATTTAGAACAACACTAATGTTTTCTTTTTTGATTTACATCTTTTATAAAGAAGACTTGCCTTTTATTAGTCACATAGACCACTGCTATGTACAGTTCTGTTTAATTAGATTTAAATTGCTGCTCAATATATAATCAGTATCTTTATAACATATATTTAGAAGATGACATGAATAGGTCAATTTTTCGATATTCATTGGCTATTTGAAAAATCGATTTTATATTTTTTTTCATGTATGTCTATATCTTATGCCAATGTTTAACTGTAAAAAAATAATATTCCGGCTATATAAGATATATTTGATATGAACATGTTCAAATTCACTAGATTACTTCACGTCACTGTTTAACTTAACAGTCAGCCGACCACCTTATTTTGTTGCCTCTTTGACCCTGAATTTCATCTGGTATTCTTTGTCGCTCATTTTCGAATGTGGAAGAAGGATTTTCCACAGCAGGCCGCCTGGTCTGATCATTTGACATGACGGGATTATCAAAATAATACACACTGATGCTTTCAGGGCGGCTGTTGTATTGGCTTCTTCTTTGGTCTTTCTTGTGAATTTTCCCTCCGTCTTGGCTCTGTTTTCCTGATGCAACGGTTTGGGATCGTCTTAAGACAACATCTTTGTTGTCATTAGATTGTTGGTGCTAAGAAAGTAATGATAATTTTTTATATTTGTTTTTATAATCAAATTAAATACTTATAAACTGGTATTTTAATGTAAGAAAGCCAATTATGTCACTGGTATATAAAGAACACTTAATGGGGTTCGTGTTGCTCAGTCTTGTGTTTTGTGTACTGTTGTTTGTCTGTTGGTCTTTTTCTTTTTTAGTCATGGCGTTGTCAGTTTATTTTCGACTTATGAGTTTGAATGTCCCTTTGGTATCTTTCGCCTATCTTTAAGAGGCAATGATTGTTCCTCTACTTCTTCGGCTTTTTAATGACTTACATGACATGTTGAATGGCATTAAATAATCAGATCTAAGTTTCCAGTTTCCATCCAGACTTGTAATTGAATTAATTTGCATTCAGAATCAATCAATTTCATTGTTACATCTAATAAATTCATACATATCTTTAAAATAATCTACCTTTCTGTTACCTCCGTCTGATTTCGATTTGTTCTGAACACTAGTTTGTTTTCCATTATCAGCTTTGACAGGTCCGTGCACATCTTTTGTGGTTTTTGAATAGTTTTCTGGTGCTATGCCGTTATCCCCTTTAAGGCTATTTTGATTGACATGTTTATTATTCTCAATACTTGTGACCAGACTTTCATCAAATTTGCTTGCTCTCAAAATGCTAGATGATTCTGTAAAAAAAGAAGTAACCGAATCCCATGTTAAAAATGCTAACAATTATATACCATATGTCTTACATAGATGTTTAATGTGCCATTATTAAAATTCTGATTTAAGAATGTTTTCCAAAAATTAAAACAAGTTTCCGAGTATTGCAAAATAGTTGAATTGCATTTAAAGTCTGCCCTAACTAAGAGTTGTCTTCTTTTATGAAATATTTTATATTTCGAAACAAAGTCGGTAATTGGAAAATATTCAATGTTATCTTTTCGAAAGTTTAACACCATGATTTGCTAGACAGTTACATGTGCGAAGTATCTGTGTCACAGATGACCCCGGATATGTTATAGCCAAAAGCCTTTTCTCCTCTCCTAGTTGTTAACCAATCAAACGAACTACCGCATTTGCATGTAATGAACACTGAATATTTAATTATCTATAAAGTATTTTGTTAATTTTGTTTGTTTCATTATCTTTTTCTTTTGAGCATGAAGTTTTCTGTTCTTTCGACGTTTGATGTTTAAATGCCCCTTGGTATATTCCTTTATTTTTCAAATAATGTTTGAAAGGCAAATAGCATATTGCTTTCTTATCGTAAACCTTACCCGACGAGTCTCTTTGTGACTCACTGGTGGAAGTAACAAAACTTTCTCTTGTAGTTTTCTGAAGACAAACAAGGACAGTATTCGATCTTTACACGCATACAATCAAGAAAATTTCTGTTATCGGCAGTTGTTCTATAGTGAAACTTCTGACTGGTCTATTTGTTCAATATGTTAATTTTTGTAAAACATCATCTTTCAATCTTAGGGAAGCCATCTAAGTAGAAAAAACTGTTCCCTTTTATCCCATGATATTTAGAGCCCAATTTCCATTGAGTTTGGTTATTCCAGGTTGTAAACAACTGGAAATGATTGCCGCTAATTATACAATATTAGTTTGTCTGTGATAAAGTTTGAAATAAAATGCAGAAATCATATAATTAGTATTTTCTGTATGAATTCATACATAATCAATGGCGACTGATAGCAATTTAAGCTCGACATATGGTAATGGCTTTAACCTGTTATAGGAAAATGTAAATATAAACTACACTTAGTTGATATCACCATCCGCAGCATAACTCTAAAATGGTAAATGTCCAACCTGACCTGTATACTATGGTTCGTGATATTGTTTAAAGACAACGAAAGGAAATAAATCTTGAAAGGTAAATGTGAAAACCATCAATATTTAACTTTCCCTGTACTTTATGGTCCATGACATAGTATATTAATTTCAAAACGTTTTGTCAAACTATACATAACTCTTCGTATCATCCCGAAACAAAAAATTGACAGACGGACGAACGGACTGGAATATACGTCACTGTATACCCCGCCTCATGCCTGGTTATAACAAAAAGAGACAACAACTCAATGACACAAATAACCAAATGATCTCCATGTTTTCTTTAGCTAATAGTGTTGTACAATTCCAGTTGAAACGAACACCGCCTAAATTATTTAAACCCAATCATCATTTATCATTCATTTACGCATGACAAACTGAATTGTAGAATAAATACTAACTTGTGAGCTTTGTTTGGAATAAATTGTCGAATTATAGGTTAGACAATACTTGGTCATGTTTTATGAAGATTTAAAGCCCAAGGCCAAGTATTGTCTGACCAATTTAGAACATATTCACACTTTCGAGTGACCTTACAAAATTATCCTTTCCCATTGTAATATTCAAACCTAAATAAGAGTTCACTTTTTATAATAAAGTGAATTTAGCACATACTTACAACTTCTCGTCCAATCAAATTGCTTATATTTACCTTCTAATTTTCATAGTACATACTTTTCCTGTGTACTAAGTAACTACGCATGAATGACCACAAGGGTAAGATTTCATTGTATCGTAATCAAGATATTTAAAACAAAAATTGCCACTGGCTATTTTGAAATAAAATGCTGTGTCCCAAATTAAATTAAATAGTTTGTAATTAGTTTTCACGTTGATTTATAAATATCCTGCTATTAAAATCTTTGGATCTAAAAAATGTTTTTGACAATTGCAAATTTTATCATTTAAATAAAGGGTAATACATATGGTTCTTTATACCTTGATTAGAGTACAACGATATCTTAAAATTATGATAATGTATCATCCATGCAGATACTTTGTACACAGAAAAGTGTGTACTATGAAACCTTGTGAAGGAAAATTAAAGCAACTTGGTGATAATTTTTTAAACTTTCTTAAGGAAGGTGATCTATTTCGTCATGAATTGATTGATTTATTGATTATTGGTTGCTTACTGTCCAGTGGCAAATATTTCATGCATGTTTAGGACGATGTCATGAATTGAAAAACTGTGATTATGTCTGAAGATAAAGTGCCACCTATATATATATAAACATATTCTGATAAATCTTTTAGTTTTTACTTTGAGATAATAAAAAAAAACACAAAACACAAAACCTATAATCTCTGATCTATTGGTAGTTGCTTTTTAATGCCTATCTGCTAGACTATATCTATGGGGACAAACTATCTATATGTTTCAAATTTATTATAGCTTTAGTTTTACTGTGAAATTAAAAAATGTTTTCAAAACATGTAAAGCTTCCACTGCAATTTAATTATTGCCGGCTTTTAGTCAATTTATTTTGTCATCTTACCATGTAAGAAGAACATGTATAGTAAAACACCGCTTTATATCAGTATACATACTTACACCAGCAGCTACCATCTTTTCATTCTGGAGTGAAGGGCCTTTTGAAATCACATATTTTACAATGATACTAGTGAGTAGATTTACAAAACTTCGTTAATGAGCTCCGTTTTACAAACACATGTGATACAAGTAGTCAGCCAAAATAAACTATCAATAGACCAATTAAAAGATTACTCGAGTTGTAAATATGTGCTAAATTGGATAGTCTATGAAAAGGTATATACTATGAAATTAAGAGCTCGGGGCAAGCCCCTCGCTCTAAATTTCATAGTATGTACCTTTCCATAGACTAACCTAGACGTATAACATAGGTAATGATCATTTCAATGGATGCAATGAAATAGCACTGACATAGTTTGTGAGGACAATAAGGATAAATTGTTCAAACATTTGAGTTTTTCTTCTACTTCAGGTAAAATTGAATACTTATATATCTTCATTTTTTTTTAAAAGTACACAATGTCATAGAAATCCGCTTTTTGAAATTTGATTTTTTTTTATAATTATAAAACTCGCTGTATAAATATCTAAATTCAGACCATTCAACATTAGATGCTTACTTTTTATTGATAAATGGACATGTATTGTGTTTTTCAAAAAAAAAAATCCTTTGCTTTATATATCAGCAGTCTGACATTGTTTTTTTGAAAGAAAAAAAAATTGACTCGAATGTCAGGTATATAAATTGAATAGATATTATTTTACCTACATCTTTACCCCAATTCATTTTTTGTTTATCATATATATGTGTACCAATACAAAATATATAAACATTTGCAAAATTAAAAAAAAAAATTTTTTTTTTATTCTTTTCTCTTTCATCTTTAATAAGTAAGCTATTTTCCCAAGGAAAATGCCTCAGGGGATTGTACACTTCGTTAGTGTAGTTCTTAAGAGTTCACTTTCATAATTCATCTACAATGAAAAGTCATCCATGTATAGCATTTTTAGCACATACTTACAACTTCTCGTCCAATCAAATTGCTTATATTTGCCTTCTAATTTTCATAGTACATACTTTTCCCGTGTACTAAGTAACTACGCACGAATGACCACAAGGGTAAGATTTCATTGCATCGTAATCAAGATATTTAAAACAAAAATTGCCACTGGCTATTTTGAAATAAAATGATGTGTTCCAAATTAAATTAAATAGTTTGTAATTAGTTTTCACGTTGATTTTTAAATATCCTGCTATTAAAATCTTTGGATCTAAAAAATGTTTTTGACAATTGCAAATTTCTTTCATTTAAATAAAGGGTAATACATATGGTTCTTTATACCTTGATTAGAGTACAACGATATCTCAAAATTATGATAATGTATCATCCATGCAATTACTTTGTACACAAAAAAGTGTGTACTATGAAACCTTGTGAAGGGAAATTAAAGCAACTTGGTGATAATTTTTTAAAATTTCTCAAGGAAGGTGATCCATTTCGTCATGAATTGATTGATTTATTGATTATTGGTTGCTTAATTTCCAGTGGCAAATATTTCATGCATGTTCAGGACGATGTCATGAATTGAAAAACTGTGATTATGTCTGAAGATAATGTGCCACCTATATATATATATATATATATAAACATATTCTGATAAATCTTTTAGTTTTTACTTTGAAATAAGAAACAAAAAGAATAAAAAACACAAAACCTAAAATCTCTGATTTATTGGCAGTTGCTTTTTAATGCCTATCTGCTAGACTATATCTATGGGGACAAACTATCTATATGTTTCAAATTTATTATAGCTTTAGTTTTACTGTGAAATTACAAAATGTTTTCAAAACATGTAAAGCTTCCACTGCAATTTAATTATTGCCTGCTTTTGGTCAATTTATTTGGTCATCTTACCATGTAAGAAGAACATGTATAGTAAAACACCGCTTTATATCAATATACATACTTACACCAACAGCTACCATCTTTTCATTCTGGAGTGAAGGGCCTTTTGAAATAACATATTTTACAATGATACTAGTGAGTAGATTTACAAAACTTCGTTAATGAGCTCCGTTTTACAAACCTGTGATACAAGTAGTCAGCCAAACTAAACTATCAATAGACCAATTTAAAGATTACTCGAGTTGTAAATATGTGCTAAATTGGATAGTCTATGAAAAGGTATATACTAACCTAGACATAATGCATGGAAAGCCATGTACTATGAAAATTAGAGGGAAAAACTGACTTTTCATTGGACGAGAAGGGGTGAGTATGTTCTAATAAATACTAACTTGTGAGATTTTTTTGAGTAAATTATAAAAAGAATACTAACTTGTGAGCTTTGTTTTCAGTAAATTGTAGAATAAATATTAACTTATGAGCTTTGTTTTGAGTGAATTGTCGAATAATTTTCTAACTTGTGAGCTCTGTTTTCAGTAAATTGTAGAAGACATACTAACTTGTGAGCTTTGTTTTGAGTAAATTGATGATTTATCAGCTTTCTTTACTCGCATCGTTTGTATTCCTTCTCGAATCTGTTGGTTTAAAACTGTATGAAATAGGAATATGAAAAATCCCTGAAATCATAAGATAAAAAAGATCTTAAAAGATTGCTTCAAATTCCAGAGTATTTATTAATTCAAGTATGTTACAACTCCCTCAGGCAAAGTTAATCTTTTAAATATCTGTTTTTTATGTCCCTTTTGGTCATATAGCTCCACATGTGTTTCGGTTCTTACACGTCCTTGGCTTTTCATTTTTTTTTTAGCTTTGACCGTTCCTGATATAAGAAAATCCAGAAAAGAACTTCGAACGCTTAACATTTATAAGGTTTTATTTTCATTTACAAGACATACAATGATGTGAACATGTTATTCAATAAAGATTCACGGAATACAGGACATGTGCTCCCAATCCACACATTACACTACACTCGACGACATTCACTAATTGTCATTTTAAAACGTCAAATAGACATCGCTGACTGTAGTTCACATCGTTTAACCGTTTCAAAAAACGTGAATTAGTATGTTTCATTATTCCGTCGAATGCATATGACGGATTCTATCGTAAATTTTGGGGTAAACCGATTTTATGTTATCGAAAAATGAATCGTTCGATTTTAACATCAATGTTTAAGGAAATTAATTACACATGCTTTCAATTTTCATTTAATTATTCATAACCTTTTTGGTTTTTCCTGGGACAAAGCATGTATTTCCCTCTAGAAACTACGACATTTATTTGAATAATTTCTACTAACAAGAAATTTGTAAATTATTTTTTATGACTTTCACATACTGTTTGATATACGTTTTGTTTTATACATTTCATATAAACGTCCGAGACGATCTATTACCTTGAAAAGCCAATAAAGTTTATAATTAAAAAAAAATTAAAAAAACCAAGACCACAAACCTTTCTTTTGTCAATAAATTGGATTTTATAATGCAAAATCTGTTGTCTTAGACATGACAATGTTGGTATCTATTTATTCGATATCCAACATTCTTTGTCCTGTTGTCTATGGATATTGTCTCATTAGCAATCATACTATTAATATTTCCTATAGTAAAAAAGATCGAAGCATTTGCACACCTGTGTTTTATTTTACACATTTATCATATATTGTATAACTAAATTGAATTTTTTTTGTTAAAAGATAATGTGTAACTCTTACATTTCTACTTCGTGCTTAATTTGGGCTTTCAACTATTTTAATTCGAGCACTAACTGAAGACGAAAATCGAATGTCGTACAAAATTATTAGCATGGTATTTCAAATGAGTTTACAAGTTAATCTGAAATATTTCTTTTGGATTTGTTATATATCAAACCGCAGACCTAATGAATTTACCTGTAAAGAGTTAAACACTGCAAACAAATATTGGAACACAACCGTATCCTCATTAACGGAGAACACACCTAGGACCCATGTGACACCAAACAATGGTAATATAACACACAAACTCCTTATTCCAGCTCTGGAATGGAAATAACATTTTATCATAGTAAAACTTAAAAGATGCAAGATACATGTATTTAAGCCCAAAGTCAATAAACGGTTGTAGAGATGATTTCATCCAGCTTAAAGATTTTCTTTATGGTTATGGAAAGAATTTCTTAAGAGCGGACACGGCAACTAATGAATGTTTGAATCTTATAGTTTAATTCTATATTACTCAAATATCAATATTTAATGAACTTGTTTCAATTGGATGTAAAATTCCTATATATATCTCAGATCCTAAGCACGAACATGTTTAGTAACCTACTTTGCTCGTTCTTTGGTTGTCTTGTCCATCATTGCATGAGTGGCGAACATTGTTCTCAACACCAAAATGAGAATAATAAGGTTTATCTATAAATGATAGAGATTATGTATTCATTAGCTATCTTATTTGAAACAAGTAAAACATTTGTAAAAGAATATTGCTATAGACCACGATTTTTTTATGAAGACAAATCTTTATAATAAAGTTAGATATATATATTAAGAAAGTTTGAATAACAGCTAATTTTTTATTGATATCGAGAAGTTGTATATTTAAACAAAAACATATTACAGAAAAACCAATACTACATTACATCGAAGTCCTACAGCTTGAAACGGAAAACAAAATATTTTGGAATGAAAATGCGAATTTAAATTGATAAACACAATGTTGTCGAATTACAATTGAATCAAAATATATACAAGAGCAAGAACTGATAATAATAAAAATTTTATATAATCAAGGATAAAAACGCATTTGTTCAAATGAATAGAAGATTATTTGATTCCATTATGTAGGTATACAGCCTTTTTTATTTTTATTAAAACTATATATTTCCAATTGATTTGGCCTCTTTCACTAACCGCTATTTTTCTTGTCGTCGCTGATTATAATTTTTTTTAAATAAACGCCAACACCACAATAACTGGAATAAAATAGTTCGACGGTTGAGATCTAAAAAACTTATTTAATCAAGATTTCAAGATGTTTGATAACGCTCAGACACATAAATGTGTAACACGAGGTCAAAGTATAATACATAAACAATTGAATGACGAAATGAGCATGCAGTACTTTTTAAACACATAGAAATACATTTGTAAATATTTTAGAATAAACAAGCAATTTTCTTAATAAAAAATGATAGTCGTTTGTAGACTTCCATATTACATATGGACAATAATCCTTCCATTTTAATGTATTGCGGATTAATAGTATACTATCTAGGTAAGTATTGGTTTCTATAATTAACAATAGAATCATGTTGACATACAAATAAAATATGAAATTCATCACCAACAAATTTATGACATAAAGTACATATTCTCTCTGGTCTAGGTATATTTTGCCAACGGCCTGTCTCGATTGGAAAACGTAAGTTCGATGTCCTTAATTTAGTTACCCACCCTCTGTTCTGTTCAGATAGTCTGATCAGATATTTTTCTAATCCAAAGTCCTTTTTAAATGTCCCATAAAATTGTCCCCGAGATGAATTTTCTATATCGCCAAACCATGAGGTAATAAACTGATCACTCAATATTCGATCGAGATAATTTTTATCACAAAAGCCAATTTGATTCATGAAAATATATCCCAGACCAGTGTTGTTAAATATTGATTCTACAGAATCAATCCATTTGAAAACATAATGACCATGATTCTTCAATGATAACATCAGCCTGTACAAAGCAGTACTGAGTTTACTGCTATTGTTTACAACTTTACACCAATACGAAATCATTCTACATTTAACTCGAATTTGCAAAGGAAATCTTCCCAATTCTCCATACACCATAAAATTGGGTGTAGTATTTCGAACTTTTAAAATTCTTTTGCAATATTTCAAATGCATCTGTTCAGTAATTTTCAAATTCTCAAAACCCCAAACTTCAGAATCATATAAAAGAATTGGTTCTATCATGGAATCAAATAATTTCAGTTGCAAATCTATAGGAATGTTTTCGTTTCTAACAATTCTATGTATAAAATGCATCCATTTTTGTGCTTGATCAATAAGTTTCTTTTTGGTATCTAAAAAAGTACCGTTATATTTAAAGATAACACCTAAATAAGAAATTTTTTTAACAATCTCAAGTTCTTTGTCTTGTAATAAAAATTTAAATTTCTTTTTACTTTTCCTCTTTCTAAAAATCATAACCTTTGTTTTATTTAAATTTACTTCTAATTTCCACTTTTCACAATATAACTGAAAAATGTTTAGTGATCGCTGCATACCTTCTTCTGTTTCAGATAAAATTACAGTATCATCTGCATATAATATAACAAATAATTCAAAAAATATGTGCAATTCACTTTGAAACTTCTCTTTTACAGTTTCTAGTGGAATCCCATCTAGACTCTTAAAGTAGTCTTCTAAGTCATTAAGAAAAATTGAAAACCAAAAAGGCGATAAATTCTCCCCCTGTCTTACACCTGCTAAACAGGGGAAAAAATCTGACTGACATCCATTATATTTTATCCTGTCATATTCATGCGCAAGTTTAAAGTCCGGAACTCGTCCGTGGTTGTGTTATGTCATCTTTGGGTGTTTTTCTAAAACTTTAATGTAAAGAATTTGGTGTTGTTAGCAGACTATTTATTGTTTATTTTTAATTCATTTAACATTTTTATTGACCAAGGACGTATCAGAGCTTGCCATATTGTAAAGGCATCGGTCTATTGTTCAAGACTGTATGTTGCTCTCTACATTTTGTTTGCTATTTTTGTATCACATCCAGTTTTTGGTAGGGTTCGTGTTGCTCAGTCTTTTGTATTCTATGTTGTGTTTTGTGTACAGTTGTTTATCTGTTGATCTGTTTTTTCCCTTTTAACCATGGCGTTGTCAATTTATTTTCGACTTATGAGTTTGAATGTTCCTTTGGTATCACGCCACTCTTTGTCGTTGGGTTGATGTCTCATTGACGTATATCCCAAATCTCCATTATTCATATTTTAGGCAGAATCGAATGTTTACCAAATTCAAATTCTAATACTTTTCAAAACAAGAATGTGTCCATAGTACAAGGATGCCCCACTCGCACTATCATTTTCTATGTTCAGTGGACCGTGTAATTGGGGCCAAAACTCTAATTTGGCATTAAGATTATAAAGATCACAAGGAACATGTGTACTAAGTTTCAAGTTGATTGGACTTCAACTTCATCAAAAACTACCTTGACCAAAAACTTTAACCTGAAGCTGGACAGACGGACGGACGGACGGACGGACGAACGAACAGACGAACGGACGCACAGACTGAAAAACATAATGCCCATAAATGGGACATAAAAAGACTTCTTATATATTTATTTGTTTATTGTAAGAATAGACATTTTATGTTTCGTACCAAAACAACAGTTAAGACAGGTCCCACAAATGCCCATATCAAGTTGGACTCAACAGAAAGCCAGCAACTGAAAAAAATTAAAACATCCATTTTAATTTTGAATGAGTCCATGCGGTTATTCAAATATTTAAACTAACAATTTGCTGATATTGTTTTTTTTTAGTACAAATTAATTTGAAATACATTTTATAAAAGTATATGAAACGCAAACAATAAGAATGAGCAATCATACCACATCTTCTTTTTTATAAATACTGCACTGAATGAGAGCTCTAGAAGCATCCTTTATATGTAAACATATGGTAACAATGTCAGTACGCATAACATGTGTTTCTGGAACAATTTTAATTAGGTATGCTTGAGATAAAAGATTTGGCAGGACAATATTAAGAAAAATTATTAAAAATAGTTTCAAAAGTTTAAAAATAATCTTTCAGTTATGTGCAAACCCGTTTCAGATGGGTGAAAATAATCAAAAGAAATGATTTTCAAAATAACTTGAGGGAATGTAGTATTTTTTATAATTTGCATTTTTTTTTAATTTGAATTCCTTTGGATGACATTTGTTGTATTTGTTGTTCCTGTACGTGGCAGGTGCGCTCCACCCCAATCGTATTATAAGATCGGTGGTTCCCTCCGGGCATTACGGCTTCAGCAATCAATAAACACTGAAATTGCCCAATAGTGCTGAAAGTGGCGTTAAACACCAATCAAGCATTCAATCAATTAATTGTATTTGTTGCAGGGGCGGATCCAGCCATTTTTAAAAGGGGGGGGGGGGGTCCCAACCCAGGATAAAGGGAGGGGGGTTCCAACTATATGTCCCCATTCAAATGCATTGATCGTCAAGAAAAAAGGGGGTTCCAACCCCTAGAACACCCCCCCTTTTGGAACCGCCACTGTGTTGTTAATCAGATAGAAATAAATTTAAAAAATATATAAAGAAAATTATAAATACTATTGAGAATTTCCATATCCGTCTAGTTTGGTTGCACCCATTGATATTCCGACTATGACAGCTGGAGAAACTACAAATAAATGATTGAAATGAGAAAATACAGAAAGTAAAAAATGATTAAATGATTAAATATATGGTTTTCTTTTGATTTCAGAATAAAAAGTCATTTCATCCCCATGAGAATAAATTTTACAGATACTTTACAAGATGACCACATATATTTTTTTTTCATTGTCGAAGCCTTGTCATCTTTCTTCGATTGTGACATCACCGAATATCACTTTTCACTGAAAATCTACTAACTACGAATAATACGACGGATGCCATATCAGGAGCAGGATCTGCAGACTCTACCAGGCCAACTTAGACCAACCCGTGTTTTTGGTTCGGCTAATTTGTCTTTAGTTTTCCGTGTAGAATTTTAGACTGTTGTTTGTTTTTCTGAAATGTATTTTACGTTTAGTGCAAGGGTGTTGTTAGTTTCTTTGATTGTCCCTTGGGTATCCTCCGTCAGATAGCAGAGCATCAGTTGAAAAATGAAAAAATAATTATATTCATAAACATTGTATATACTTTAATGTTTTCCCTTTTATGTGTATTTTCGATTGTTTTGGTGAGGTTCGTGTTTGTTTTTGTGCTCGGTATATAAACGTTATTTTTGTTATAACATATATCACATAACGTTCAAAAAGCATTACTGTACCCCAGCATGTTGGTATCAGCCATTTTGTTCTTGAAGATGTTGCAAAAACAAAAAGGACGGAAATCGCAATTTCAATTCCTTCTGCTAACATAAAGGCGAAGTCTACCAAGAAGATATAATGCAGCAGTACCGCAATAGTTGTGCAGACTTTCTAAAATTAATTAATGTATTAAAAATTAAGATACTTTGACCTATAATGGTGTACTTTTATAAATTTTGACTTGGATGGAGAGTTGTCTCATTGGCACTCATACCACATCTTCTTATATCTATAGACCGTTGGTTTTTCTGTTTGAATTGTTTTACACTAGTCATTTTGGGGCCCTTTATAGCTTGCTGTTCGGTGTGAGCCAAGGCTCCGTGTTGAAGGCCGTACTTTGACCTATCATAACTGTTTACTTTTTACACATTGTGACTTGGATGGAGAGTTGTCTTATAGGTACTCATACTACATCTCCTTATTTCTATTTCTTTAGGTTTTGTAAAGCACAAATTATTTTCAAAATATGAAATTTAATAGAATAATTGAATCAAGTTCAAACAAAAATTAATACAAAATAGAATTGATCCGGCATATTACATGTATCTTGTGTGTATTTCTTTACTAGTTCTTACCTGAAACCAAATGACTGTTGCTGATTAGGCGAATGTTTTACTTGAATACACAGTTATATGGTACGTACATAAATCCCTCTCTCTTCCCCTCTGACCAGAATACAACCAGCAAGTTTGTTTGAAACATAATTCTTCTTATTCACATGTACCCTTCTCCTAAATAAGTTACATACCTTATTGCCAGTCCGTGTTACTCCCGATAAAAATAAGATGTAGGAGATTGCCAAGGCAACACAAAAATTAACCAGTAAGATTGCTTTATCCCTTTTTATTTTTCTTCCGCGCGTATCACATGTTAGTTGTCTACAAAAATAGACAATAACACAAAAATCATTCATACAGATACTTAATCAAATTCTAAATGTTCATTACATAATATTAAATCTTTATTCTGATATGATATGTTGGCATATTTTAATCATATTCTGAATACGTCTTTGGAATCGAATAATACAGGATACGTGCAAACCAGAAGTTGGTCTCATTGCCGTATTTAATCTCGTTTCGCTAAGTGATAATATATTTATATTAATTTAATTTGTTCCTAAGTTTTAATGTTGTATACTTTAATAAATGTGATATTTTAAGTTTAACAAGGGTTTACTACCTGAAAATTTACCTAGGACGGATCCAGCCATTTATAAAAGGGGAAGGGGGGGGGGGGGTCCAACTATATGTCCCCATTCAAATGCATTGATCGTCAAAAAAAGGGGGGTTCCAACCAAACCCCTCCTCCTGGATCCGCCACTGTTTACTATCAATGCGATCAACTAAGATATAATTTTAGGGTAGGAATTCATGATTTATTATGTTGGTGCGGTCTCCTTTATAAAGGATTCTATGTTTCGGATACACTACAGCAGTATGGACAGAAATGAAGTACAATGTCTACAGTACACGGTTAAAATTTTTGTGTTTATATATTCATACTGTATTTATGTTGATATAATATGTGTTCATTAAAATATTTTGTTTTAGATGTGATGATTAAAGAGATTGTTAATTTTTCTTCAGAAAGTCTTAATTTTTTGAAGATGTTATGTATTCATTCACATGGTAAGAAAACACGTTAATATAAAGATGTATTAAAAACGAAACAACTTAAGGATGTATTCTTCTGACGTTTCAGTCTCGTTGAATTCACGTTCTGGAACTATTTCCAAAACATGTGATACAAGTGGAAAATATCAATGAATTCAAAAAATATTATAATCAAACTTAACTCTGTGAAATATAATGTGTATTTACAATAAATAGTTTTTCAATATAAAATTTTCAAATTTTATAACCAATATAGTCAGTCTCATTAGCCAAAATGTTGAGAAATTGGGTGAGGGGTACAAGAAATGATTTTACCAGATTCATGTACATCCCATATCAATTTTTTCTTTTCAAATTTCTTAGATTTGCATTTTTTCAATCATTTATAACAACGAAGTTGAAATAATATGCTTTTTGTTCTTAAAAAAAGAGAAAAAATCCCAAATTTACAAAATTGACAACATAGTTAATTTGATACGAAAAAGCAACAAAACTTTATAAGACTTTCTTATATTAAAAAGTATAAAAAAAAGTTTAATTTTGAAACTGTGATTTTTTTCATGATAATAGTCCAAAAATGGGTGAAAATTTATGAAAATTTGGAAAATCATCAAAATTGGATACTTTCAAATGGCTGTAGCAAAAAAAGAAGTGCACCACCATATGATTTTTTCTTCACCAATTATGATTTACAGTCATATAAACCCAAAAATCAGGTTATGAAAAAAAGTTTAATTCTAGAAATGTTTGGCTCCTCAGAGGTGTACATCCTTAAAACGGCAGATCAATTTATGAAATTAAAATGTTAACTCAGCAAAACGTTGTGTTGAATTGTTATAAATTTGTTTTGTTGATATCTTCGATATATTAATTACCTCCATAACATTGCATGAATAATGACTGTAACAACAAGAAAAACGATTGAAATACCACAACCAGCAGCAGATATTTTACTTAACACCAAGCTGTGTGATGAAGACTGCAAATAAAAATAAAATTACATGTACTTTTAATTTCTATGATAAATAAATTTTGTTTTGAAGAATATGAATTTGAAGAAAGATTGAATATGAATAAAAAGAATTATATGTGGGATAACCATCAATTGGACAGCAGCCCAATCAATGGCACAAAACTCCATAATCTTCTGTATATTTCTATTAACCAAAGTCTAAAGTCATTCTGCATTTTTTTTTTATAAATTTCTATATCTTTGGTACACTTTATACGTGTGATGTTTATATTCTAATATTATCAAAAGGTGGCTTCAATATGAAAATATAGCTATGTTTTTATTCACAAGATTCTGGAAGGTTCACATTATCAGTATTATCAACTCATGGTGAAAGATTTGAATTATTAAAGATTATTTTGTGTTTCCGATATCCAGTCTCAAGAAAGTTAGAGTAATGTTTGAATAATTTTTCCCATCAAAATAAAGGCTCTAAAGAGCTTGTGTCGCTCAACTGGGTCTATGTTCAAAGTTCAATTATAGACAACCGTATGGCTTTCAACAATGAGAAAAACCCATACCGTATAGTCGGCTATAAAAGGCCCCGACATGAAAAATATGAAGCAATTCAATTGAGAAAACTAACGGCCTAGTTTATAACAAAACAATTTACGAAAAACAAATATGACAGACATGAAACAACGACAACCACTAAACTACATGCTCCTGACTTGGTTCCAATTGATTAAGTACTTTCAGAGGGCAAATATGTTTTAAAAAGTAAACGGACGACGGACGACTGGCAACGGACGCCAAGGGATGAGAAAGGCTCCCTTTATCCTTTGAATCAGGTGAACTAAAAAATCCAATGTAGTAATCAGTATGTTAATAATGAAATATTTCTTACAGAAACTTATTGATATCGGAATATCATTAGATTATATTGCAGCATTCAGTCAATACTCACTGCTCTTCCTGGACTCATTAGTAGTGCAAAATTAGTAGTGTGGTCATACTGGCATACTGTTACTCCTTCTGATGTCGTTACTAATTTTGAACCAGAAAAAGACCATGCACCGTTAGGGGTGTTTCTGTAATAAGATTAAATCTTAAAAAATATAATTCAAAACTATTATTCCATTGTTCGTATATAATAGAAAAACAAAGGCTATGGGGGTACCATTCATGACACAAAATCAGTACATGCACAGAAAAAAAACCACACCAAAAGCAAAGGAACAGCATTATCAAAGCACGATAGTTAGATACTCTTTAATGAATTTTGTATATTTAAACCCAAGTAAAAGTATTCGTATTTGTTATTTTTTCCAATGTCTTACTGATGGGTTACGCAAGGAGCATTAACATACTCCTGGACGAAATAAAAGTTACATAGACATTAGTGTAAATAGTGAACATGTGAAGAAATATATTACTATGTTCAATCAAAACGTCTGATGTTAAAAGTTTGACAAATTTAGCGAGACTATGAATTGGAAACAGGAAATGTGGCAAAAATTGCCCATGAATGAAAAAAATAAAAGCATTTTTCAACGGCATTGTGCTAGAAATTGAAGGTTTTGGACGATATCAGTTTTGTTCTCCTGCTTCATCAGAAGTATCAGATGAAGGAACATTGATGTTTCCTTAAAGCCACTTGTTCATTGTTTGATTAAATCATACCTTCATTATGCTTTCTTTCCTATAACTGGTTGTTTTACTTTATTTTTGTTATGTGTAATTCTATTCTTAAAGAGAAGGATTTTTGTAACACAGATTAATCAGCTGCAAAAAATACACACGTATCTTTACTGTTCAATGCACTCGCAGTGTATCAATTAACATTTGAAAATTTGTTATTTTTGAAACTATTGTGATCTAATTTAATGTATCATGGACTTACAAAGCATCAAAATCCCAAAATGCACAGACAGGATTTGAGTAATTGACCTGTAATTTAAAAATAAACAGACAATTTGAGAAAGCATTTTGATCATCAAGAAAAAATTTGTGTAGCAGTTTTAAGTGTCTTTGGTGGTAATATTTCCCGTTTACTGTCTTTCCTTATTATGAGATAATAAAATGATCAAAAATAAAAAAGAACACCAAAAGGGATAACTACCAGTTTTCTAAACTTTAAATGAAAAGATAAATAAAGAGGCAATTGCAAAACATGTCAAGTTCGGACCAATATTAAAGATTAAAGTTTAGGCTTTCTTTTAAAATAATATAAGTAATATAATACTTCAAATTTAACAAAAATAAAAGATGAATACGTTTAAACGTTATACACGTGTACATCGTTTATCATATCGAAATTTTCAGTACTGCTATTGATTTATTGTTTTCCGTACTCCAATGCACTGACAGCTTTCCAAAATGCAGTAATAAAAAAAAGTAAACAAATATGGAAGGAAGAAAGTATTAACCGATTCTAAAAGAGAAAAAAAACTGTTAAGAAAGAGTTACATTCAGATATGGGAACGCATGAAAAATGATAAAATAACCCACATATACTTCGCTCTACCATTTACGTTTTATACAAGTGCTCCATGGTTCTTTGTTGGTTGTTTATCAAGGTCACGATCAACAAAAGCCGAAAGTTAATTAACAGCCAAAGTTTTTATTCAACAGAACCAAATGAAATATTTTTTTTTGTCGATTATACGTTATGGCTTAGTAATAAAAGTAAAATACGTGCACAAAGGACTTTATTGATTTTCCCCTTCCACATTTATGTGCATGTATTGGTCAAATAATTTCCTTAAGATTATAAACTCGTTTTATATGACTTTTGAAATCAAATAACTTCCTGTACATTCCTTCCATTTCGACACCAGCATTTAATCTAACTTGAATCAGCCTCTGGAATATCAGTGTTATATAAATTACAATGCTTAAATTATACGGGGTAGTACATGTTAAATGGTACAGCGAGACTTTTACTTTAAGGATATATATACACAAAGATTTAACCTGATTTAGATATCGTTTGGTGGTTTATGTCGTTTGGAAGTCGTCTCATTATCGTATACATTACTTTTTTTCGTGCTAATTATGAATATATCTGTAATTTGAGTATTATGGTCAGCTCACATTTGCCGTTTTTAAATCAGAGTATATCCCTCTAAAACAGGATGAACATACTAGATATAACATGGCTTCTAATGTAGACATACCTGTACATGTTCAAATTTTATAACCAGTGGACGTTGTAAACTTGTTGGCGTAGGTTCTATCGAAAAATCTATTACTACTGAGTTTACATCATAACTTCCATTAGTAGCTGTAACCGATCTGTAAACAATAAACAAACAAGTATTGTATTCAACATAAATATAATGAATAGAGTGACAAAGTATTATTAAATTTGAAGCATATAGGCAACACAATTATAGTTTGAATCTTAAAACGCAAGCACAAAAATTAGTGATTTTGATTGATACCATTCAAATGAAGTACTCAGAACATGTTAACCTATAGCTAGAATACACACCTATATTGTACCATTCCTATCAAAATTAACCAATAATAAAACAACGATTTTTATTTCTGAAACAATCAATCTACATGAGAGATAAATTTGCACGTGCGACGTTTGTGTGGTTGCTGTTAATTGTTTTGTTTGTGTATTGTCCTCTAGTTTTCGTTTTTCTAATCCCAATTTTAACATCGGCATTTGGGTGATGTTCATGTTTCTCATTGCTTGTTTTATGTGTAATTTATTGTGTAACATTGTTTGTCTTTGTGTAAAAGTGTCATCTGTCCTTCGAATTTTGATCGCCTCATCGGTATCTTCTTTTCCCACAGCAAATGGTTTGGTATCTTAAGCTTACCAAAACTAAGACAAAAACCTACCCTTCTGACAAATAATATTCATGAAATAAATTCGAAATATTTCTGTAATATGTTGTACTATATCCGACTGGTTGCTGTCCTGTCATGATAAAAAAATGTATGCAATGTTAGCCAATACATATGAAATGTAAAGGTGATTATCACGATCATTGTAAACATATTGTACATCAAATTTCATACAAATTTACCCTATAGTACAAACCAAAAACTGTCACCTATTGGTCAAAACCGACCACTTTTTTCACATACACATTAAAGTCATGGCATCAATTAAAGAATAATTTCATATTGTAAAACATGTAAAATGTATGTGACATCTAGATGTCATTTGTTCTTTGTTTGTACTTGGATTTTCCATGAAGTACTGTTATTAATTGAACGAATAATTAAGCAATTTTAGAGTAATGTGGAATGTAACCGAAACAGACTGATCACCGAATTAATACTTACATGAGAAACACGACGTGTGCAAGATGTGGAGCAGGATCTGCTTACCCTTAATTAAACACAATCAGATATATCAAAACATTATCCTTATGTATAAGAACTTTGTGTAATGTTAAAATGATTAGAAGAAAACAATATATCACTGGATCACCCAAACCGAATCTGTGAAAAAGGAAAGATGTCAAGGGTGAAATAAAAAAAAACATAGCCGAAGAAAGACTGAGAACACCAGTGACTAGGGAAAAAAGACGAACAAACAATACTCCACAAAATACCAAATTAAAAATCAATGATTGCGTAATACAAACCCTTCCAAAATCCGGGAATGAACTATCATGTAGTAAGTAGTATTCTGTTCTTCAAGAAACTCGCGCAGTGGTAATTATAGCAAGTACAAATGTGGTGGTAAGTCGCAATCAGTTACGTCCCAAACGAGGAAAAGAGAATGGATTTTAATACGACTATTTGAACTTATCTATGGCCATAACAGTTAACCTTATCACAGTAGAGTCAGTAAAATCGTCAAAGAAGTAACCAAGTTCGCCATTAAGATCCTTTAATAGGTTATATGTAGTAAAAAGAAATCATGATAGAACATGTAAGAATCAAAAACGGAGGAGGTATAAAAGCAATATGCATTAAAAGAACATTCCACTTATGAAACTATAAAGCTATGAAACCAAGTGTTCCAAGCAGAGAAGTTGAAGTCATCCCTTCAAAAATGTTACAGACGCCATCACAAGTTGGTTGATTGTTATAGAATATCTGTTCCACAGATGACGACGGATAAGTTTCCAATTGCCTTAACCACAATCCCTTTTTTTTCTCTTGAATATGGAATGTAACCGAAAAAGACTTATCACCGAATTCGTACTTACATGAGAAACAATACGTGTGTCACTCACATGTGGAGCAGGACCTACTTACCCTTACAAAGCACCTGAGATCACCCCGGTTTTTGATGGGATTCGTGTTGCTCAGTTTTTTTTTCAGTTTTTGTTTTTTTCTGTTGTTTTTTGTAGACGGTTGTTCAGGGTAGGTGTCTACTGCTATGCATGCACTACCGATCAAACAACTAGTAATGTACGCGCATATTTTTAGATGGGATATTTTCAGTTGCTGCTTTTTATAATCCTGAACTGTAAAAAGTGTGGTTTATCTAAAATACGCCTCTATAAGCAGAGCATTCGGTTTTATGTGGCGTCAACTGATATAGATTATTGGTATAGGCTTGGACTAAGAATATGTTATGATTAAAAATCAAAATATTGAAATGAGGAAATCCAACCTCTTAATTATATTTTCGAACATTCACATCACTTCAATTTTTAGAAATCAAACAACACCAAGGTAGGTTTTAAGTAGACATTTTCGTCTAATAGCTGAATGAATAAACACCTTAGGTACATTAAAAAAATGTTTATAAAATTGAGAATGGAAATGGAGAATGTGTCAAAGAGACAACAACCCGACCATAGAGCAGACAACAGCCAATATAACATTTATGCAGATTTTTGTATTTTACTTTCATAAGGTTTTCCAAACAAGTCAGTTTTGAGAAGTCTGCTTGCTAAAATGTAAGTCGAACAGGAAGCAGCCATAGCTTTTGGAAAAAGACCGAACAAGTAAGCTTTGAGTAGAGAGTTGAAAACTGTCTGCTTGCTAAATTGTCAGTCGAGCAGGAAACAGAAAAACATGCAACTTTTAAGAGAGGAAAAATTACCTTCGAAGTTATCTTTGCTTAACGTTACTTGATTTGCCGATTCTGTTATCCAATCAGGTAACACTTGAGTTTTCTTGGGAAATGTTATATCTTCATATAAAACCTTCCCGACTTGAACAACTGAAATGCAACAGACAAGTAAAATTTATATTCTCCTCTCCATTGATAGATTTCGATTTACATTGACAAGATAACTTATTTGGCCAATAATGAGAACAAGTGACTCGGGGAACATTTTTACTCAGACGTTTGATGCATCTTCCCTTAATTTGAATTATGTTTGTGTGTCAGTACGTTCTCGTTGTTGTTTTTGGTTATTTGAAAGATTACATCACAAGAATTTTCTTCATGTTAAATTTTTGTTTTGATGAGCGCTACAAATCTATTAATGTGTGAAAGTAATACAAAAGATGAAAAAAAAAAATGAAAAAAAAAAGGTTTCATTTTTTTAAGACCGTATGTTGACCTTGAATTGATGCTTCATAGAAGTGTACCAGACCTCGCCTTATATTTAGGTGACCTGACTGACTGTTCTACTCTCTGAAAAGAAAGATGATAAGACATTTCCTTGTGAGTTATTTTGATTTCGTTGAGATTTAAATCTTTGTTGAGATATGCAGAATTATTCAATTACTTGCAAAACAAAGATCTTATATTCATATCCATATATGTCGTTAGTTAATTGTCTATTTGACAATTGCTTTATTCTAATACCAACCTAACTGGTCTTTCTGTACAGTCCTTTGAAACACACTGTCATTAACATTCGTATACGCTTTTGTGTACACTGTGACGGCTTTTGCAATGGCTGTTACACCCGTGAAATTCTATACCAAATATACATTATTCATTCTTTAAATTAAAAAAAATATTTGAAATATTTAATAATCATGTCAAATAACAGCTCACATTTCTGTGAATGTTTTCTACCGAATTGAATTATTTTAGCTCACCTTAAGATACTGTAATATTTTATATGTTATTGAAGTTAGATAATGAGGCTTATCATTTATCGGTTTTATGCATGCTTACCCTATCAATGCAACTGGTGAAAAAACTCATAATAACGACAGACGCGCATTTTATTCACCCACCTACAACTCATAAGTGGTGCCGGAAGCAAAACAGTTTGGCTATACTTTTTTTTTACCAATTTTGGATTATAGCTCTTCATCTTTTCAATAATAATTTGGATTTTCAAATATTTTGGCCTCGGGCATCACTGAAGAGACGTTTATTGTCGAAATGCGCATCTGTTGCAGAAAAATTGGTACTGTTAATTTATTGAAGACCAATTTGATAAAGTAGATAAGGAGCAAAGGAAACCAAAAATTCCAAAATACCTGTGCAAACATAGCTGAGGGGTAGAAAAAGCTTTAATGCTTTGTACGATTTAAAAGTGTTATTTATTTACAGTCAATTTACAGAAAAATATGTATTATAAAAATTAGAAGATGTGGAACCAGTTCACATCTTTAACTCCAACTCAAGAACGTTCTTTTGTTTGCGTTCACGCGATTTCGATGGTTATAGAAGCATAGCAGGAGACGTTTACCCTGAGGACGCACCGGTTTCGATTCGATTAGAGTTAATGGTTCTGTTTTTACCTTGATTTGTATGTTGGAATAGATTTGTGAGATTTGAGTATCGGTCATTTACTGTTGACTCTAATTTACTTTCATAGACATCAGTACTATGATAGGTTATTGATATTTACAACGAAAATAAATTTTGTGACACGCAAAGAAAAAAAACATTTTCATCTAGAACTAAACGCTACTGCATATGATATTAAATAACTGAAGCTGATTCTTTGTCACTTGTACTTACTAATTGTTTCAACTGCTTCCAGCTTGGTATATTCTTTTCTACCAAAAGGTTATCACAGGATGACACAAAAATCTTGAAAAGTCATATATGTAACAAGTACTATCTTTAAGAAAGATATCTGACGCATTCTGATGTGAGCATAGAGTTTAAAACAAACCATAAATCTTTATCAGTTTTTTTTTTATCATACTTAAAAAAAATTGCACACAATTTGACGATAAAGAATTAAATTATATACTGCATGGTACTTAACTAAATGCATATATATATCTAGAGGTTTTTTTCACAGATAAAGAAGTACCTATTGCTGTGAAATAGACATAAACATGAGATATAAGTAGGTTACGATCTGTAATGAATAACAAACTTGAAATAGTTTAGAGCCATGAATTAAAAAATGTCAATTATAACTATATATCAAGAACAACTCTAACAAGTTGCAACCTATTTCGGTGTGTATATCGGGGACGGACGGACGCCCAAGGTTGATGATCTATATAATACAGCTTTTGCCAAGTAATTAAATTTGCGATACATGTATCTTGACATTCTTTATTTCAACTGGTACATAATATATAATAGTCCCAGATTTCAAGTGTATTATTTTGTACTCTCTGAGATTATGATTACGCCTTGGAAGTTTTAGTCGATAAGATATATTTATAGCTCTCGAGCTATTAATTATAATAGATCTTAATAGCCTAATTGACCTGGTAGATCTAACGAACCTATCAGTGATATTTACCTACTCATGTATTAAAGGCTAAGCATACAAAATCCAAACAATTTGACAGTGGTGATAATGGCACCTTCTTTACCTGAAATTATTTTTATTTATATGGATAATTTTTAAGTTTGGTTTTATGTTCGTAATGTTTTCCTTTTATTGTAGCGTATATCTTTTTTGTTGGTTTTTGTTCAATTCCGTTATTTCGTCCAATCAGATTAAAGATTTGTGACATCATGCATGCCGTTACCATAGTGAAGCGTCCTTTATAAATGGGTCACAAACCGAAATTAATAATGACTGCGTCAGAATAAGAATCTATCAAAGGAATGTGATTTCAATCTGTCAATGTTGAGATAGCAAAAAAAGTATTAAATAAAGTTTGAAAAACGAATCAAACATACAATATGCGTTCATTGTTTCAATTGCTGAAGGTGTTTGCGTGTGTTTGTTGAGGAAATTTCACATGAGCTTTTTGTGTGTGTTTTTCTCAGGGTTTTTTCTCTTTGTTATTCATGTAAATAATATTTATATACCTCCAACTGGTCAATAGAAATACTTTCTGTTTTTTCTTTTGCATGACTAGCAATGTTATCGAGTATTGAAGAAGAAATATCCAATTCCCCTGATGTCAAGTCTCCGGGTATATCTGGTTCTGTTATTTTGTTTAAATCAACAAGAATGTTGTTCACATCTTTTACTTCAATACCATTTTTCAGGAAATCCGTCTACAAATAAAAAAGTGTAATTAAAAGAATTTAAAAGAGGATAAGGAACAAGTATCGAATTCCAAAAACGCTAACCGGTTAACCAGACATTTTTTTCAATTCTAATAGATTTGAACAAAGGCAACTTGCGATCAGCTCGGGGCAAGATCTAAAGTAAACATAATAAGCATACATGTATTTTGAACAGTTGTAAGCTGATATCATTTTCAGTACGATTTACTTCAATATTTCATTTTTGATTTAACATTACGTAGACCATCATGTTAATTTGCCACATCCATTGTCCAACGTTTTGTCATACTTTGAACGAATGCCGGCTCAAAAATGGTGAAATGCAAATCATGTGAATGGAATTAATGTATATTTGGTGGTACGAGTAACGCGCTTAATCATCTCAAATTGAAACACTCCACATTATTTTCTGAGACACCAGAGAAAATGAAACAATCAACGGTTTCAGACATTGTCAATTCAACGAGATCAAGAAGATTTTCATCTTCTCAATCTGAAGTTATTACAAACTTCATAGTAGATACGGTAGAATTCACCAGGAATGCTCAAAGCCTAGCCTTATAACGCCCAAGAATAAACTTTATTGTATCATAAAAACGTACATGTGTAGGGTACTATAGATAAGGCTTTTAAACATCAACTTTACTACCGGTTAACCGGTTAATCGGTCGAAAGATTATCCGAGTAACCGATTAGGCAAAACTGTTGGATTTGACAACAATACCTTAAAGGAACAGAAGAGTTGTAAATCACTACAGCATGATATAGATCATAGCCCTCAAAAATGAAAAAAAAATCTGAAAACATTTGGAGATGTCAATCTTGAGAATTATCGACCACTTAATACCTAATATGACAGATAGTTTCCTAGAAGTAGACTCTAAATCATACAATATCGTTCAATCAAATATCTGTTCAGATACAGTACAAACAATACAGCACTTTAATCATTAATAAAATTTAATTAGATGATCTGATTCATATAAAATCTTATGTAAATGGTATTTAGAGATTAACACTGCATTAATTCATTTTGTAAAAGAGAGACGAAAGATACCAAAGGAATATTCAAACTCATAAGTCATAAACAAACTGACAATGCTATGGCAAAAAACGAAAATCGACGAAAAGACAAACAGTACACAAAACACAACAAAGAAAACTAAAGACTGAGCAACACGAACCCTACCAAAAAACCGGGGGTGTCTCAGGTGCTCCGGAAGGGTAAGCAGATCATGCTCCACATGTGGCACCCGTCGTGTTGCTCATGTACGTATAAACCTGGTGATAAGTCTAATTTGGTAGGTCACATTCGAGGAAAAGAGGACATGATTGTTGGTTACAACAGTTGGAACTTTTCAACTGTTTCGGTTCCTATGCATCTTTGGCTTTCAAATATTCGGCTTTGAGAGTTCCTGGTGAAGGTAAATCCAGAAATGCGCTTCGGAAGCATGAAATTTAAAACGTGTTGTTTTCATTTTTTTTTGGAAAATATCCGTTGTCATATGTACTAGTACTCAATAACGGCCAACCAACATGTAACGGCTTCCGTATAATTTTCGAAGGGATGATTTCAACTTCACCACTTGGAACTCTTGGTTCAACAGCTTCCTTGTAAGTAGCAACCCTCTATCAAGCAAATCATGATAGGAAATGCAAGCTCTGGCATACTGAATCACATGGGAGATATATAGTCCATATGCAGATGATACTGGAGTATTTCTTCATAGAAATGAACAGTTCACAATTGGAAAGCTGAAATCATCTCTTTAGTCGTAAAGTTTTGTTCCCAACCGACCTTCATTGTCAATTTCTAGATGTAAGTCAAAGTATAAGGCAGACTTGACTGTATCTATTGTATCCTTTATTTCAAGTTCGATGGGATAGATAAGTTCAATATAGTCACCAAACTTTGAATTATTTAGTGAAAAGACATCATCTACTGTAAATACAGAAATTATTGGGAGGTTTTTTTTTAATTTCGAATAATACGACGGGGTAAACATCGCAATAATAAGAACTCGCATTCTGATATATGACAGATATATCTGTATGCAGCTTTTCCACAAATCGCAATAATAAATCTCGCAATTTTGTTAACTCTGCAAAAATCTGAAAAATCGATGAACACAATAATTTCTGAATTTTTAGAGTATATAGCGGAACGTGAAGTTAAAGGATAATGATAGCTTCTTTTCATTCTTCCTAAGAAGCTCCTGCATGAATTCACCCTCATATGAATAAGGAAACAAGTCGGAAAGAAGAGGAGCAAAGTTGGTTTCACGGGAAAGTCGATTCATGTTGAAAAACACGTCCTCCAAACGTAACAAATATGGTGCCAATCAAGCATCTTGATAATATCAGATTCAGAAAATTGTTTGTTTGCATCAAATGAATGTTTACAAAAGTACGATTTTTCCCTCCCTAAGACAAGATACTTGTATTTGGTCATTCTCTTTAATGAAGCAAAGTAGGACAAATTCTTTCAATTTGTGTTTAAGTTTGGAATGGGGAATACTTGTGTGAAGGGTGGAAAAGTTAAATGTTTTCATACTATTGCAATAGGAAAGAGACTTAGATTGTATGTACTCTAACGAATTTTCAGATATTCACATCTGAATCGCGACGCCCCTAGAGTAGATAGTTTCACAATAACTTTGAAGCCCGGTTTTAATTGCTGATATAATTGACGTTGATAATTTAGAAAGAGGTTTCGTGGAGCAAATTGAAGACCCATCTATGTAACGTTGTTTGTAGGGACACGTATGTAATATAGGTATACAATACAGTGAAGGAAGATCCAGTTCAAATTCCAAAGGAACATAGAGCAGACATATGATTATTCAGGATTTCCCCCTTGGTAAGTGTCGTTGACTCATATGTTGAGTTTCCAAGTTATCCAAGTCAATACCTAATTCCTTTATCAAGCAGTTTATGTAATATGTGATTTACACACAAAAAACGATGCTGTTATCTGCGGGGACAACACTTATTTGTCATGGAGGTAGGACAGGTGCTTAGCAAAATTTGGGTCTCTGAAGATCGATGTAGCATGTGTATTTAAAGACCCATTCTAATTTGTATCAACGACCTCACAGCTTTAACCCATTTGGAAAGAGTATCTACGTCTTCTTTTTCGCGTTTAGCCCATTGCCTGCAATAGTCATCGACTGTAACATGTGAATGTAACGAAGTTGAAAAAACCTCGAGCTTGGAATCTTGCATACTACCTACAAACAAACAAACAAGAATGTACACGGAAACATGTTTGAAGGCAAAAGCAATTATAAAAATAATGTTGATTACAACCACCATATAGATAAGGCTAAATGTAAATGTATACCTCTACGTTCAAAGTTAAGAGACCCTCTGAGATACATGTACTGTAATTTGGTTCTTCCCATTCACCATTACTGTTACACAATCGAGACACTGTACCTTAAAATATAAGACGTTGTCACCTTTCTTATCGAAGATAATATATGTGTCAACTTGTTTTTTTTTTCTTTCGTTCTAATTTTCAAGCAATATGACAAAAACAATGATAAAATAATTGTAATCAACAGTTAGAAGCTTTCATTTGGGTATTTAATATACATGTTCTTATACATCCATTTATGATGGTTAAACTGTTTCTATGCGAATAAATTTGTAACGTAACAAACTATTAATTTCGTCCAAACTTTTCTCGCGTCGTCTGTTATTTCACTGATTCAAGGCCTAACAGTCAATGGTTGAATTTAAAAATAAAAGAAAATCAGTCGGAAGAAATGTTTTATTTTGTGTTACCATTAAATCAATTTAATTTCTTTCAGCAAAATAAAATCGAAACCTTCAAAATAAAACCAGAAAGAAAACATAGATTTCTATTTGACATGGACTGCGGCGTTCAATCAATTTGACAAGAAGGAATATGTATTTATTTCCACCGATCTGAGGTGACATCTACGGCTAAAGTATGTGAAGAAGTACACAATAAAATAATATATATTATATAAATCTTATTGAAACTTAAAAAAAGCAAAAAAATAAAAACACAAAGAAAGAAAAAAAAATATAAAAAACTTATCAAAACCAACTTGATCATTGTCACCGATTGCTAAATCTCAGTCAATAAGAAATAGATGTAATATGAATACAAAATATACCCTTTAAGATATAGTTGGTAATACATCTTTAAATCAGAAGTTTTCTAGTGCGTAGCAAATTATAAGGAGAAAGTATTTATGCATTGGTCAAGATGCAATATTTTCAATTCATCGGAGTGCTCTACTTTTATGTATATTTGTAAAGACGATCAGAAAAATATGTCAGCAATGATTGTATTTTTACTTTATTAAGAAATTTACATGAAATATTTGATACTATATCAACCAGATTTCAACGAGATTGAAATCAATAGTAATTGCATAAATTTCATACGGAGGGAGACAATATGTTTCGACAGGGATAGCATTTTCTGCTATGTATTTATCGACCTTTTCAATATTTCCAAAGTTGATTCTAGTGTTTCACTGCAAGGTACATGAAAAATGCCAAATTTGCACTAACGGTCATGTGGAATCGATGATAGGTGTACGTTGAGAAACTGTGACAATTAAAGATATGATTTCTTATGCCAATCAGACATCTAGTGATATTACAATATGGAGAAATAACAAATGCATTGATATTGATTATTTTAATTTCATCAGATGATATTTTAAGAACTAGTATTCTAATATTTCCTCTTATTTAAGTCATATTTATCAATGTTTCGTGTCTTTTGTTTTTTTTTAATGTAAATGAATTGAGATTAAAGTTGTGAGATTATTGTAGTATTCGTAAATTGTAGAGCTCACAAAACACTACAAATAAAACAAAACATTTATTTACAAATGATATTATAGTTACCTGCACGGTCACCAGGGCATGAATTGATAACTAATGTATTTTCAACAGTATATACCCAGAGGCTTTCAAATTGGTCGACATCTACTGGGCAATACTGGTAGACAACTAAAAGCAAATAATAAAAACTGTTTTCACCAATGTACTTTAATTGACATTGTTTCGAATATGTTGACATGAGTTATCATTGATATGGTCATGATTATAAAATTAATGTTGATAAAACTTTGAATTTCTCGAATAACTAAGGATTTTCTTTCCCGGGAATAGATTACTTAGCTGAATTTGGCAAAACCTTTCGGAATTTTTGGTCCTCAATGCTCTTCAACTTCGTACTTTATTTGGCCTTTTTAACTTTTTTGATTCGAGTGTCACTGATGAGTGTTTTGAAGACGAAACGGGCGTCTGGCGTACAACATTTTAATACTGGTTTCTACGAGTTTATTACCAGCCACTGAACGCTGATTAAATTTATATAGCGTCCATACATCGTCATACCACTACCTACATACACATAAAAACGAGCCATTTAGTTTTAGTCATTGTTTTTTGGATTTTTTTCAAAAGTTATTACTGTATACCTTATTTAGAAGTTGTCTCAAATATATCACAGTTACTTTTAATTAAAGAACTTTCCATAAACATACATTTTGTTTGATACCATACACATGGTTGTAACAACAATATAGTATAAAAAGTCAACACTTACTGTGGGGTTTGATAACGCTGATGTGAGAGATGAGACGATTTCCTTCCCCGTAATTGTTTATTCCAGAACATTCATATTGAACATTTTTTTGGATTCCACTAATAACCAGTTTAGAATGTCTATTGTCTAAACGTATAACTACTTCACCTAATGTAGAAAAGCAGTGTTTTATAAATCCTTCTTGAGTAAATTGTAAAAGTCATACTGAAGCATTTCTTCTTATTCTAAAGCATACAATTTTACAATTTTATAGGTGAACACAAGCCAATCATCCCAAAACGTGTCAAACAGGATAAGAAACTTTTTCGAAGAAAGTACAACCAAACTTATGTCATATTGTTCATGAAAAGTAGGACCGATTGAAAGAACTAGTCTTACTTTGTTTCATTAAAAGAATGGTCACGACTGTGCGGTATGGGTTTTTCTCATTGTTGAAGGCCGTACGGTGACCTATAGTTGTTAATTTCTATGTCATTTGGTCTCTTGTGGAGAGTTATCTCATTGACATATTATCATACCACATATTCTTATTTTTATATAGACACAATTTCTTTTAGGAAGTGATAAAAAGTGTTTGATAAAACACTTCTTTAATCAAAAAATATTATAAAGTGGACTAAATCAAATTACCGAGATATTAATGTTTTAATTGACAGTATTTTTTTTATTTTGATCTTTTAGTCGTTTCCAAGTATTGAAATTCCGGAATACATGGCCTTATAAGAAAGATATACTGAAGACAACGCTAGTTAGTGACCGTAGTTTTAATATAATAGATCCATTCAGAATATACAAATCATGATAATAAAAACGTGTGAAAAAGCCGTGGAAATCGCATGAACTCTAAACGAAATGAGACCGGTGCATCTCCTGCTATTAAATGTTAAGAGAATCAACACTTGATCAAAATGCGACAACAAGGAATCCACTTAAACGTGTCTATTGTAAGTTGCTACATATATAATGATTTAATTTGTGTTAATTTCTTACCTTTGTTCGGATTAAACGTGTCACCATTCTTGTACCATAGGATAGACGTAAGAACAGAATAAGATTGAACTACAGTGCAGTATATGTTCACAGTATCGCCAAGTGTTACTGTTGATGTACGTGGTGAAATACTAACGATCGGTTTGCCAATGATATTTAAACTCAGGGTCTTTTCAGAGATAATAAAGCCATCACTCACTCCACACGTTAATATTCCTATTTAAGTACATTTAATAAAATTGATAAGGCAGTATTGATGTTTTTACAACAATGATTCATTTAGCCCCTGTCCTTATTTTTTCTTGACAATGCCTAAATCAATAAGATAAGATCAAGGTCGCTTCAACATATTACAGCTGACCTTAAACAGTTGTTGATTGTCCTGTTCACGACAATTTAGCTATGGTTCGTGAATTTCTCCCAATCTTTATAGTACCTAAAAATTTGATTTGTGACGAGCGTACCTGAATGTGTGTTTTTTTTACAGAAGTCACTTAAAAAAAATGGTAAAACAGAATAATTTTATAGGCATTTAGATTTTTCATACTGAGAACAAAGTATTTTCTTTTCTTATCTGTAATGAGGCAGTCGATCCGTTGGACACGGTTTCATTCCGATGTTCACAATAAACTAAACATGACTATGTGTCGTTCAAAAAAACTACAAACGTAAATATGGTTTACAGTAGAGCATTTTGGATTATACATTTTATAATCCTTTCGTCATTATTGTGGTGGACGTAGTGTTCACATTTTGAGGTGGGTTTATCGTGCTTATTATTTTACTACTTTGGTGTACTACGCTACTTTAACGGTTGGTCTTCCATTCGTATTTTAAGCATCATATAACTTACTCATTTTGCAAACAATAAAACTATCCAACATGCGAAAGTACACTAGACAACACACATTTTTTGTAAAGTTAACGTGTACTATATACCTGAATCACTTGTTTGTAGACTTAAAACAATCAAACGGAACTGCATTCTCTCATTGTTTAGATTACTTGGTATTGTTTCTGTTTTCCATCTTGATATATTTGTTGGATTTATTACCGAATTATTCAGTTTCCAGGTAGCAAAAACAGTGCCTTCTGCATACATAACATACGCTTCACAAATAACCGTTACACTTCTTCCATTAATCATCTCACCTTCAGTAGTCAGCTCAGTGATAGTGATGTTTGCGTCTTTAAAAGAATATAAAAACAATTTGACAATTGATGTTTATTCATTCGGGATCTTCATCAGATATGTCAAAATTAAAATGACTTAATCGGTAATCACACCAACAATAACTTAAGCCGTATTAAATTCATGAAAGTTGATGTCTTGATTGATATTTGGGTATTCTATAGTTAACCATTGTATCATACTTTGTCTTATTTATTTCTATTCCGTTATATTTGGAATTTCCCTATTCTATTTCTATCTTTAGACTTGTGGTACAAGTTTGGCTAGTATGTAAATCAGAAGTGGTCTGATGTTACTGATGTTTTCTGCACGAATATTTCGAGGGCGGTAGTACGGGTGGGGTTTTATAGGCATATATAAGTCCTGATTACGTTTGATTATTATCGATGTGCTCCAGTAACTTTGATAGACGAAGTTAACGTTAAGCTCTGCATAATATGTCCGAGGAAGGCTCCGACCATGATGAACGCCGTGCTACTACTCAACATGCTGAAAATAGTAACGAAACAGAGTTAAGTACGGACGGGGCTATTTCGCTTTTCACTTCAGCTTTAAACAATTCTTTAGAGAAGCAAAAACATTTCTTGATTAATCATTTCGAAGCTCGTTTAGGAAAAAGTGTTAAAGCAACCGGTGTCGACCAACCAGAATTTGTATTCCAAAGTGAGGGAATTAAAGTGCAACATTCGTTTAATACCGAGCGTCTGGAGAGGCTTGCTGCCGTTGAAAGTTGTATAAAGCTTGGAAACGCTTCCGAAGTTAGTGAAATTATTACCCAGGAAAAGGAAATCATCCGTAAGCGTAACAAAATTCTAAAGATAGCCGACAAGCATGGATGGGACACGGTTAAAGAGTACTTGGATAGTCCGTTGGCCGACAATAAAGAAGACGCTAGTGATTTGCGTGCTGCTATTTCCAGGGCTTCTCGTAAAAGAAGTTCCAAGCCGTACAGTAAACCAGAATCTTCCAATAGTGGTTCCGGAAAAGGGGAATTCAATTCCAGGAGTTTTTTTTTCGTGGCTTTGGCCAAGTCAGTGATACCGAGTTCTCCAAAGCAGGCAAGTCAGAAAGTTACAAGTGTTTCTATTGTAACTAGCCCGGGCACTTTGCAAGGAACTGCCCCGAAAAAAGGATTCCTACAGCGACAGTTGGTGCACCAAAGTTCCAGGAACAGAACACAGGAAAGACCCAGTAACAAAACAGATACAGACATAGATGAAGTTGAGTATTGTTTTCAATTTGTTAACAAGTATGAGAAAAAATCTTGTCAAAATCTTATAAATGTGAAAGGAAATTTAAGAAAACATGCATTGTTTTGGAAAAATGTACTTAACGCTAATGATTTTATAATGAATGTTATTAATTTTGGTTATAGAATTCCTTTTCTGAGTGAACCACCGACTATTTTTCTAAGTAATAATAGATCCGCGTTAAAACACTCAGAATTTGTGGAAAATTCTATTGAAGAACTTTTAACTAAAGAATGTATAAAAGAAGTAAATCGACCATTTGTCGTTAATCCACTTACTGTGTCGGTAAATAGTACGGGTAAAGAAAGATTAGTCTTAGATTTGAGACATGTTAATAAATTTGTCGAGAAACAAAAAGCACCAGTTTGTTTAGTTAGCAAGTGTTTAAATCACATGCGGTTATGTAAAGCTAAAGGCACTTTAGTTGTACCTAAATGGCCATCAGCGTTATTTTGGCCTATCTTAGTGAATAGGTTTTCAGACAGATTTAAATCTTTCGTTATAGACTTTAGAGAGTACGTAAAACCTATGAACTTTTTTACAAAAGGTTCACAAGAAAAGAGTATATTTGCACAGAGACCTTTTAACAGTAATGTATATGTTTTGTTGTTGGATTTCTCGAATTATTGAGATTTATGCATTGAATGTTGTATACAGACTGTAGTTGATTTAGTTTTCTGCGATGGTTATTTGCCGCAGTTATCAGATATGAGACTATATTCGTAAGAATGTTAAATTTAACATTGTGATGTTTTAACTGCAACAATTAGATATGTCATTGTTAACATTGTTGATTAATTGTTTATGAATACAGTGAGGGTTAATGCCACTGTATATATATAAGTATATGACATTTTTAGATACTGTGAGGATGAATGCCACAGTAAGTGTGCGAGGAAAATGCCGCATTTATTTGTTTGCGAGGAAAATGCCGCACTCATTTGTTTGCGAGGGAAATGCCGCATTCATTTGTTTGCGAGGGAAATGCCGCATTCATTTGTTTGCGAGGGAAATGCCGCACTGGGTTGTTTGCGAGGGAAATGCCGCATTCATTTATAGTAGTAATGTTAATTATATTTACTTTGGTATTCATTATTATATTTATTTTACAGATCAATGGAAACAATTTGAGTGTTATGCCAATGATTCGGGATTTGCCAGTATCATACGAGATTTACCCTCTTTTGTCGAATCGTTTAGATCAAATTCTACAATTAAGAAATACAAGTGCTATTTTAAAAAGTTTGAAAAATGGTGTGTTTCATGTTCACTTGAGTGTTTACCAGCGACAACTACTACGATTTCTATGTATATAGGTGGATTCATTCAACAGGGATCCAGTGTTGCGATTTTAGATGCAAGTTTTTATTCAATAAAATGGTTTCATGACTTTAATTTCAAACATAATCCTTGTTCAGACAAATTCCTTGGTCTTATTTATGAAGGAGGAAGGAGATTGCTAAGTAAACCTATAAACAAAAAAGAACCTATTACGCCAGATATATTAAGGAATATTGTTTTGAAGTTCGGAGATCATAATAATCTCAAAAAATTGCGTGTAGTAGTATTATTTCTGTTAGGATTTTCTGGATTTTTGAGGTATAGTGAATTGGCTAACATTAAGATGAATAATATTGAGTTTCAAGTCAGTCATGTTAAAATTCGCATTGATAAAAGCAAAACTGATTTATACAGAAGGGGTAATTCTGTTGTTATAGCTGCAACAGGTACAGATTTATGTCCAGTTTTTTGGTTAAATAAGTATATCAATTTAGCTGAATTGAGCAAAAATTCTGATAGCTATATTTTCAGAGCACTGTCTTTTATGAAATCGAAAGATGTTTATAAATTATGTAATATAAATAGTCCATTGTCCTATACCAGAGCGAGAGAAATTTTGTTAGAGAGTTTATCAGATATTGGTTTAGATAAGCTTAAGTTTGGGCTTCATAGTTTGAGAAGTGGTGGCGCTTCTACGGGGGCTAATAGAGGAGTCTCTGATAGGTTACTTAAAGTCCACGGTAGATGGGCTTCTGATAAAGCCAAAGATGGATATATTAAAGACAATTTAAAATCTCAAATGGCTGTTTCCTTGAATCTTGGCATATAGTTCTCAAATTATTTATTCCTTTGTTTTATCGAAGTTACTGCGAGCAAACAAACCTAAATTATGACTTGTCTCTTATTTAGCCATGTATTTAGAATAGAAATGTTTTAAATTCGGACGAATTCATGAGGGAGAATTTAAATTTATTTCTATTCCGTTATATTTGGAATTTCCCTATTCTATTTCTATCTTTAGACTTGTGGTACAAGTTTGGCTAGTATGTAAATCAGAAGTGGTCTGATGTTACTGTTGTTTTCTGCACGAATATTTCGAGGGCGGTAGTACGGGTGGGGTTTTATAGGCATATATAAGTCCTGATTACGTTTGATTATTATCGATGTGCTCCAGTAACTTTGGTAGACGAAGTTAACGTTAAGCTCTGCATAATATATTACAGTTATGTTTGTATTGATATGTATTTAGAGGAAATTGTGAATGTATATAGATGGAATTGTGGTATATTTTTGTAATTTGTAAAATGTTTACAAGATATTAAATGTTGTTTCGCTGAGAAAATAAGGAAGTTACTGCGAGCAAACAAACATAAATTATGACTTGTCTCTTATTTAGCCATGTATTTAGAATAGAAATGTTTTAAATTCGGACGAATTCATGAGGGAGAATTTAAAATATCATATCACAATTGTTAGATCATTATAAAAGCATTAATTAAGAGCTCAAAACAGGTTGCGAACTTACAAAAAATGTTTTCTTTTCTTTGATGTGTAATTCGATAATTTACTTTTACAGAAACTTGATCTTTTATCGAAGTTTAAAATGAAAATTCATATTTATACAGTGTTAACAAATCTCAACTATCATAATAACACGTTTTAAGTTTGCTGAGTCCGAAGCGCTTTTCTTAGTTAATATATATCAGGGACGCTCATATCCGCAAATTTGAAAGTCAGAGATGTATAGATAGTTGAATGTCTGAGAACCATTATGACCAAACGGGACCTACATAGAATAGCCAAATCCACCTAAAGTCAACTTCGCTTAGGAATTGGAACCTTGATTTCTTATAAAAAGGAATGTCTAAACTCATCAACGTATGGATAATGTAAGAAAGGAATGATATAAATCATGCCAGTGCCGAAGCACTGACTACTGATCTGATGGTACACTCGGAGACTGACAGTCCACCATTAGCGGTTAAGACCCATTGTTAGAAAAGGAATTCAGACTTTGTTGCGTCCGACTTTCTTTTTTGGATTAACATTTATCAGGAACACTCTAACACAAAATAATTAAAACAAAAAATGTATAAATACTTGAATAACGGGGGAGTTATTTGACCAAAAGGGAGATAAAAAGAATAGCCAAATCCGCATGAAGTTAACTCTGCCTTATTGGGTTTTAACCTTACTTTCTTAACAACTTCTAAATTGATCGGTCGGAAAATTAAGAAAGGAATATTGTAGATAAGGTCATTGCCCAGGCACTGACTATAGAGTTGGATACGCTCGGGGTCTAACTGTCCAACATCAGCAGTTTCGATCCAACACAAAAGTCATATATAAAATAAGAATGACAGCAAACTGAATTCATTGATCAAACACATATAACTAGGAGAGTTTATGAATAGAATGAAAATGTTAGCCAAATAAGGCTTTTCACATAAAATGTGAAATTATCTCATGTCTTAAGTGTGAGAAAAGGCTTACTTACTTCCTGTGACATTTAAAGGTGTTGGTAGGCTGCTTCCGATACCAATAGTATTACTTGCATAGCACGTGTAATGTCCTTCATCATTATTGTTAACATCGGAGATTGTTAGAGATGGATTTAGAATTGATGACCCATAAAACCTGTTACCAATTACAACTGTTGTTATAGTGTCATTTATTTCTTTAACCCAGAATACATCTTGAAGTGCAATATTTGATAGCGTTGTGCATTCCAGTGTTATCTCATCTCCTAGATTTACAGTATATAAGGATTTCGATATGTGAACAGCAGGAATCTCTGCAAAATTCATAATTACGGTAAATTAAATGTTGCACAAAAATTGAATTTCATAATGTTTTGCCATATTATATCGTTTAATCATTTGAACATATAAAAAGTATTTTCTGAGTAAAACAATTAACCAGTACTAAATGTACTCATTAATTTTAGATAAGGAAAGAATTGAGTAGGTAAGCGATTCATTCACCGCCTCAACTTCAGTGGAGCAATATGCAACCATAAATTCATTATGATCTGGTTGTAGTGGGTTCTGACAATTCCTATTGTCACTTCAACTTTGTACATGTAGCGTGATATGGTATATACTATAATAGTTATCTTACTTCTAAATGATGGCAGGCTTTTGCCGAAGGTAGACGTGAGAAAGGAAATGTTCAAAACCGTGTTAAGGGCATACGATACAGTAGCAGCGCATTAGTTACGCATCAAAATTTAAAGTGTTGTTTTCCCATTCTTTCACAACTAAATTTCTCGGAAAATTCACTAACGACATCATATTTGTATCCTGAGTTTAAAAGTTGTTGCTAAGGAAAACGAACAATTTGTATATTCAAGCATCAGCAAATACAGACCATTAACTTTTTTTTATCATCAATACGTTCCACCCTAATGGTTGACTTGGGTTTACAAAATGTTGCTTCCTGAACTTCTCCAGGTCCAACTGTTATACTCTTGGTAAAGTGCGGCGTCTGTTTTGGTGTGCGGGATGTATACATTTTACAGTTGGCTTGTTACAGAGCAAAATTTCAGCAACTTTCTACCATATCCATATTTCCAATAGCAATCAAAATTTTCTACTTTTTATCTAAGTTGGCCTACCTTGCAGAGCATACTTATTGTATTGATTGTAATATTTTTCGTACTGCATTAAATAATTCCAATTGGACATTAATCAAGCAATAATGAGTCAATAAGTTAAAATCTGTTATGAGAGCTTTTTGTATAGCGTTTTGATTTTTACAGGAATAACTGCACGACGCCGTTGCACCAAAATACGATTCAAATTAATTAAGCACAGACGGGGAAACCATTGCAACAACTCTTCGTATGGTTCGTAGGTGACATGCTGCAAGGCAAAATTTCTATCCCTAACCAGCATTCCCCTCATTTCTAGTGTCAGTTGAAATTTCCCGCTTTTCATCCCAGTCGGTCTTCTTTGCTGAATTTACTAACTTATATTGAATTAATTGTTATTTTGATCTCGTTCTAAATCTACATACATTGATTAACAATGTATGTAAAGCTGGCAATAATCAATCAATCATTCAATAAGTTCCGATCTGTTATAACGTTCTAAATTCGGTAGGAATAAACACACGACGCTGTTGCATTAAAAACGCTGCAGATTAAGTAAGAGCTAAACGAGGACGGGATCTCTTTTTTTTTAAATTTGAAATATGCATATGCAGCAATATAAACACAATATCAAATAAAACGTCTGTATTCACATGATATATTTACATTTTGCATAACTTATTTGCAAGTTTCTGTATAATGCACATGGACAAGGTTAAAAGAAAACACAATCAATCATTATGTATTTAAAAAAACCCAACATATCTTTAAAATAATTATCAGTAAGTTATAACGTTGTTTACTGAAAAAATTATTCTACAAAGCAGATCTCTGCATATAAGTTTCCTGTACTCAATATGTAAACGACGGATTTTTTAATACTGTGGATTTATTCATTTTCGTAGGTACCAATTTTCGTGGATGAAAGAACAATTGTATTTTCATGGATAATTTATTTTGTGTTTAAACAAAAGTCACAAACCTATAGAAAATTTGTACCTCGTTAAAGAATAAAAATTTTCGTACACCTGAATCCACGAATTATAATAAAAAAACTCATTTATAGGTACCAGGCTCACAATTGTGTATGCCAAAAAAGTTGAAAAGGCCTCATAAAGTACAAAGTTGAAGAACATAATATTTCGAAAGGTTTTGCTTTTACAAATAAGATAATATATTTCATTTCACAGTAAACTTTGATCATTAAGTTGTGTGTTTTTTTAAATCAGATAACTATTGTCTTAAGATCCATCAAGATCTTCAACATTAAACAACTACGATTTCTGATATTACCTAAAAAATAAGCAAACCTACCCTGATTTTATTCTTTTGCAGATTGTGTGCTGTTTCAAGAATTTACACGTAGTATCAAAAATTTGAAGAAAAAAAAAAGAAAAAAAAAAGAAAAAAAAAACGGAAAATATTTTTTGTATTCATTTGTAGTTGCAAAATAAAATTGTCTTTAGCTTTCTATTACCAATAATTTTATGATTGTGAAATAAGTAACGAATTCGACTTACAGTTTACAGTTATGTGGAAAAAAGATTGAATTACCTTGTTCTCAATAAGTTTCTATTAAAGAATTTTAATATTAAGTAAATAATTACAAATACTATGAACCAATGTCGTGCCTTATATTTTTCCATAATCGAATTCAAAGAATAGTTTTTTTTTTTCATTTCCAATTAAGTTTTGATAAACACTTAGATTAAATATACCTTGACGCAAATAGAAAAAAATTTATCACAACTCGTTACATCACAAATGTTAACCTATTTTGTTTTAATTTTTTGTAATTGTAACAATAAACTTTTATTATTCCTACTATCTATACCTGGAATCATGAGTGACGCAGAAGTATCACTGACTGTTGTTCCAATTAAACTCCTTGCTCTGCAGCTGTATTGTCCTGCATCAGATGACTCAAGGTACATTATAGTTAGTGATGGATTACTGGTAGTGGAACCACGATATTTGAGAGGAGGAGATGTTGAGAGAATAACAGGTTCAATCCTTTTTCCTTCGTGATTGATAAATATCCACTGCACTTCCTGCATAGGACTATTCGGAGATTGTATTCTACAGGTGATGGTTATTTCCTGTCCTGCTAATTGGATGTAAGATGTTTCTGGCACATTAACAACCGGTTTTGCACCTGTGAATGATTAAAAGTTATTTAAGGTTTTATAATTTAGCGTTAACGCTTTGTGTTGTACTGTTACGGTTTTTTTTATCTAAAGAAACTATACAAATGTATTTACATGCTTAGATAGCATTTGATAACACAGAGATGCAAAAATATCGTACCATAACTTTACAATTTGATTTCTAGTGTATATTTTAAAATAAATGCGTATTAATCTTAAAATGTAACAAATATACTGCAGGCATTTACAAAATCAAAAGCCAAAGGACATACAAAAACCTATGGAGTGCAAACTGTCGGATTTGCATGAAGTCCAACCTGAGAGAGAAACTACGGAAAGAGCAACTGGAAAGAATAGAGATTAAAAACGATATATAATGTTTTTATCAGAACTGCATCATACAAAATAATCCTGAAAATTTAGCTCATCGTCTTTTTTTGGATTTTAGACAAAATCAAATTGATCTATATTCCCTATCGGAAAGGGAATGCTTGATTGAATTCCTTTCTCGGTGGTTTTTTTTTCACTTTGGTTTTAATCATTAATTAAAAATACATTTTAACGCGAATTCTATAAGTATAACCTTATATTGACTACATACTATGTTTTAATGTTTAACTGCTCTATTTTCCTATTTTCGCAGATGGTCTTTGTTTTAGGGCAACTGTATGAGAGAATATTTTACTTTATTGGGCCTTTTTAACTTTTTGGATTCGAGCGTCACCGATGAGTCTTTTGTATACGAAACTTGCGGCTTGCGTACAAATTGTTTATCCTGGTATCTATTATGATAAATATAAGAAGATGTGGTATGATTGCCAATGAGACAACTCTCCACAAGAGACCAAATGACACAACAATTTTTTGTCATCCGATTTTCATCAAGCAGAAGCAGAAGTGGAAAATATTGCTTAATGATTCCAAAACACTTCACGAATGACAAAATTACAACAAAAAAAAACTGGAAAAGTTGTGTTTGTCATTAACCAGAAATAGGAAAAGAAAGCAGAAATTGCAAACAAATACTGCGAGAGGGTCCGGAAATTCTGTAGAAATTACAAAAAATAGGACTTTAAAATTAAAACAGTGCTGTTCTTTAATAAAATACTGTTTTATGTTATTTATCACATTAATGTTTGCAGATTTTAAGCTAAAACTAAACACAGGTAACAAGGGTAGAACTGAGATCTCAAATAGGATAGTTTAACTCCGCCATATTTGCATGTGCCTGTCCAAAAATAGGATCATCGTATGTCGTATTTAAATGTTTTGATTTTTTTTTAATATAGTTTCTAAATGGGAGACCTTTATTGTTCTGTTTGATTTATTAACAATCTTTATACACTCGGCACGATTTAGAACTTGACAAACTGTATGGATACTTATCTGTTGTTTAAGACTATAAATTGCCCTCTGGATGTCTTTATGTTATTTTGTCGTTCGGTTGCTGATTCATTTACTTACACCTCAAATATCCTTTTATTTATGTTTATTTAATTAAGCTTTAAAATATAATCTGTGATTTTATTTTCATACATACGAACTACATCAACTTTGAAAGTGCTATTGTGATCAAGTCATTAATATACTCATTTACACATTTTAACAAGTGCAATATCAGTAATAAACCTTCAATTAAATTTTCAAAACATTATGGTTTTCATGCATAAAGACATAGACATTTTAAGATGTTATTGTTTACATCTGTCATTTTTATTAAAATCCACGTATCATTATATTAAAGGGAATTTTGTTCAATGATTTTATAAATTAAAGATTCACTAAAATAAGTCCCAAAGCAATACTAATTGCCATGGTCGTTTCTGAACTGGATTTATTTATTAAAATAAACCAGCTGTTACCAAAGGCAATATCTAAAATTACTGTCGATACTTACCAACAGGAAGTAGAGCTATGATGTCAGAATTTATGGTAACAATTTCATTGCTTGCCAAACACATATATAAACCCAAGTCATTTTGTTCCACTGATGTAATTGTCAGAGATGGATTATTAATGTTGCCTCCAGAATATCTTGAATTATCTTCTACCCTCATAGGACTATTATTAAAATGCCAATCTATCGATGAAGGAGTACCGGAGGTAATTATACACTGCAGAGTGACTCTACTAGACAGTGTTGGTGAATATTTAGTAAAAGGTGTACGTAAAGCTAACACTGATGGATCTGAAATAAACAACATAGTAACATAAATAATCTTCACTTAATTCAAACATTGGAGGTTTCGTTTTTGCTTCAATATGAGTTTTGGCGTGCTGACTTATTTTTAATGATTATTCTACAGGTCATATAAAAATGCATTAAAATCTTCCCCATGCAAGTATTATATATTTTAAAGAGACAATACAATTTCGTATTCCGTTTGTCGGAACCATAATATTTTGCTGGATATCCCATAAGTCGTTTTTCAATACATTTTCAGTTTGCGTCATGTAACCCTATAGCTAGATCATAACTTAATGTAGTATGTTTTTGACGTTTTTTTATTCTCTAGCTTTTTGCATGTTTTTGTTGAAATTGAAAGTTAATAGTTTATATAGATGTCCTACGATTGGTTTTGAAAAAGAACAACATCATAATCCCATAGTTCAACAAATTTCTTCTTATTGTCTCGTGAACATTTGAATTGATTTTCAGGGACCTGATTCACGAGAAGTTTACATAAAATGTTCAGGAACTGCGAATGCTCTTAGAACGCTACTTTGTGTCTTTTATTTATGCGTTTTTTTTTTAATTTATGCTTCGGATTTTTCAACTCTTTACACTACACGTTCCGTCTAAATGGCATTTAATTCATAAATGAGGCTTGTTGGGTCTTCAGGTTTACTCAGTCTAACGAATATTGTCACGTCTCGATCATTTTCGTCAAGCTCAATTAGAAGGCAAGCTTTCTCAATGTCTGTCGTTGCTGCATATTGGTGTAATCTAAATCTTGCTTGTCGGATAGTTCTCGGCTGTTACAATCATATACAATACGAATTGGGGTGGTTGGTGAGTCCTTCCTGACAGCATGGTGAGAAATGCAGTGTAACTTCTCACCTGAATTTTCATCTTGAACGTTCTCCAAAAATCCTCTTTTTCCTGGTCAGAAAAGATGTCTCCATAAACTGTCATCCTTTCTGGTTCGCTTATCATGTTAAGTTGACGGATTTTTGTTTAAGTAATTACTTTCCAAGAAAATTTTGAAATATAGTGGTCGTCCTTTATTGTGATCCTGTCTGATTCATGCGTTTCGAAAAAAATCGATGCTTGATTTCACCGATTCGTCAGAAACTTTTCCTAAAGATTCGATTTTCACTTTTCAAATCGACCTCTTCTTTTTTGTGTTGTATCAGAACGCCGAACATGAAAGCTAAGGTTGAGAGTTCTTTGATATTATTAATACATATTTGTAGTTACTGGCCTGTTATCTACACAAACTGGTGTGATGACTGTTTTAACAATACGTCTGTCCTTGGTTCAACGCTCGATGTCGATGAGTAGAATACTAAGGCATCGATTGTCGCTCTCTATTGTGTTTACGATGGCATTTTGCGGTACGGGTTTCATTGTACCTGTTCTCTTTCTTGATTTGTATTACGGTTGCAGAGTCTAGTGTGATGCTTGCTATCACATTCCCTACATCTAAATCATAAGCGGCATTCCGAAACTGTGATTTCCAAATCAAATGTAGCATACTTTTTCTGTTTAATTATAGTAAAGCGTCTCTTTAGTCTACAAAATACACTCCAGTGAGGAAATACATGTTTTGGGTAAGTCTTATTTATTACAGACTGGGTTCTTGCAGTGGTTTTGGGTATAGCTGTTGTGTACAATGACGCAGTGGAGTAAAACAGTCTGATTTATTTATTTAAATTTCTAGTGTCCTTTACGTACATCTCTTTACCGATCACTTCTCTCAATGATCTAACATTCGAAAATGAGTTTTGCGTGTTCTCTAGTCATCAGTTTTTTTTTCATTTCTTTGGGAAACTTTCAAATATGATTAGAAACAAAAGTGATCTGAATGTGTTTTGTGATTGTCCGAGCGACTCTAATCCCCGTATGCACGACCCAATTTTATTGTAATTGATAGGTTCATAGGTTCAAGTAAATTCTGCATGTACACTTTTATAATTGGTTGTGTTGTCTGCCAATAACGCTCCTTCAGTAATATGATTGCGCGGTCATAGCTGGCGCTTGATAGAGATTAACCGCGGAATATGAATTATGTGGCTTCATGCATGGGGTTTCGAAGATTAATGGTAGCTGAACTTTTTTCAAAGAGGGATTGTAATTAACATTTGTCCAAAACGACTCCCAAAAATGTCTGTCATGTTAATATGCATGTCTCCCGTAAAGTTAGGTAGATAAAATTTTGGTAAACTATGATAAAAGTTTGTGGTTGCTGAGTTTGCGTTCATATTAAAGGAGACATATTCGACTGAAACTACTTTATCAGGATGTTTTGAAATGAATTGTGTAATACTATTAGACTGAACATTTGATGTTTATGCTGTGGGAACATAAGGTTATTAATTCGCCGTTGACTTAAAAGTGTTAGTTTTGTTTCCAAAAACTATGTTCTTGTTTCAGCAAGGTGACTTCCATATGAATATTATAATCATCGGCGTCAAGAATGTCCTATTCAACGCATCAATTTCTGTGTATCCAGTATTTGACTGTCCATTGATGTAGAATTCCTCTTCTTGTGTACTAATATTATTTTGTTTAATTTTGTCGTCGGTTGATTAATGAATACGCCACTTCTGTTCCCCCTCGTTTGGTTCTATATTTCTCTATAGTCACGGCCCAAATACCATGAAGGTTGTGGCTAGTACTTCGCTTTATTTGAAAAGACGTGTGTTTCATTCAAATTGTATTGATGAAAAGCCTAATTGCGCAGAATGAAACGTTACGTGTATGTAACATGTGTAATATTATAATTAATGACGTTAGTTAAATAGTTCATGAATAGCGGCAAATCCTTGGCAACCAGTTTTAAAATCTTTAACTTAATCAGGCTATGATAGATAACATGAGCTCCTTCACTCGAGACATTGACTTAACATTTTCTTTTTGGTATTGATGACGGTCGCTATAAATTGACAAAATCACAAACTTTGATATAGTGAACCATTCCGATAAAAAAGAAACAAAAAACGACAAAATGTAAATGGATGATGAATGGAATGACTCGGCTAATCTAGGTCAAGTAGATCAACGTTTTCCATGAGATAACTTTGTATGTCCTTATAAGCTGTTATGTTGTTGTCATTTACCCCGATATATCAGTTTTGGAACACATTCATAGCTTATGTTATATGTACTTGTATGTTTATAGATTATAAAATACATTTTAAACGTCTTCACTCCTTTTACTTTGTTCGAGGTGTTTCTGTTTGGATGGACTGTCATCTCCTTTTGTTGCTCTTTTCTGTACGTCAATTCAAATTTGTAAGTTTGTTTTCGACTTATGAATATGAACATCCCTTTGGAACCTTTCGCCTAATTTTTGTCAAGTTTTCAATTTAAACAATTAGAAAAATGATCAATACTGAACTGGAAATACATGCTTATGTCATATTTAACATCAGTCGTCGATCTAAGTTTAATATAGATCCGGTATAGATTTACTTGTTTTCGAAAGTCCTACGGTTCACCTACACCTACGTCAATCGAACTGATGGATAGTTGTGTCTTTGGAAATTACTGCACATCTCCTCGTTTTCATACTGTTCAGATATCTGATTAGCGTTAAGTCGCGTAGCAGGTCATAGACGACGCGTCGTTTAGTAAGATAATATTTGTAAGATAAAAAATAAACGGTTAGGAAGGTTTTTTTTACTGAGTATTTTTAGTCGTAGTAAAAAACTGATAAAGTAAACAATATTTACGAATTGCAGCATTTACGAATAAGAAGAATATATCAATACGTATCGAAAATATTAGCTACAATGCAAACATGAAGCTTTACTATGACCATTTTCATTCTCAATTTTATTTTAAATGAGATATTTGAATAAGCATAGATAGATGCAATGCATAAAAGCCAATTAAGAACAATAGCAGTGAGCTCCCGTTGCATAAATTTATGTTATTTTATAAGAAGTGTTACCTTTGTTATGTTTATAAGTAGCATATAGCATCTATGTATTATTCTAATTATCAAAATTTAGGTGGCTGCTTAATTTAAATCAATATTTTAATAACATATGCGTAGAAAATCAACTTAACTATCAAATTCGACAATTTCCATTTTAAAATATATCAGAAATACATATTTTTTAAGGATATGTCTAGATAAATGTGTTAAAATAAAATGATTTCACATCTTTCTTTCTGTAGTTATAGTACATGTGATATGGTTGTCTCGTTCGATGTAAGTTTAGACTATAGCTTTACTTACCTTTTGTTGTCAACATAATGTTAGGAGTACTAACAGTAGTATTTCCAACTGTTGCGTGACAGGTATAATATCCTAAATCGTTTTTTCCTACAGAAATAATGGTAAGTGATGGAATATTATCATTTCCACCAAAATACCCTTGATTTCCTGCTATTACAATAGGATTTTCGTTTTTAAACCATGTCACTACTGTTGCTGTTTCACTAGTTACCACACATTCCAGCGTCACATTAGTATACAATGTCGGTGAATAGTAGGTAACAGGAGCACTGACTGCTAATAGACCTGAAAAGATAATGTTAACACTTACCAAATAGTAATTCAGAAAACAAAGATAAATAAAGGCAACAGTAGTATACCGCTGTTCGAAACTCATAAATCGATAGAGATAAAAACAAATCCGGGTTACAAACTAAAACTGAGGGAAACGCGTCAAATATAAGAGGAGAACAACGACACAACAATAACACAACATTAAAATATAACACACACACAGAAACGAACTATAATATAACAATGGCCATTTTCCTGACTTGGTACAGGACATTTTAAGAAAAAAATGGTGGGTTGAACCTGGTTTTGTGGCATGCCAAACCTCCCGCTTTTATGGCAACGTCAAACACAACACCAAAACGACAACATCACATGACAGGACCACAATACAAATAAATGGGAGAACATATAGGACAAAGAAACACACGAATAAATTGTACAATAAAATTGTACAATAAAATTAGATGTTTATATATATGATTAGAATCTATCACTTCGAGCCGGTTCATACGACATTTCTCATGTACGAGAGGGTTGAATTAAAGCTGAAATAGGAAAGCGGTCTTTTTGTATATTTCAAAATTTAACTGTTGTGATTTGACAATTATAATATTCATGGAACAAAGTGCAATGCAATTGGGGACATAAAAAAACATATCGGAATATCGTCATGATTTACGGGGATATGACACTTTTCCTTTCGATTATTCTTTCTTATCATAACTGTAACATCATTGAAATGGGAGATCTGCTATACAAAACCTCATCTATTTTTTATGGCCATGTAAGTTATTGCCATAACTTGGCGTCCATCGTCATCACCTGCCTTCGCCGTTAACTTTTTCATAGATCATATTCTCTAAACTACTGAACCAATTTTAACAATAAAGGAGTGAATGATCTTTGAAGTGTCTAGTACAAAGTTATTTATTTTTACGGTCAGTCAACAAAAATGACCACCATAACTTAAAGTAGAACATAGGGGTTGAATGAATAGTTTTGTATCTTGAAAACCATAATACTGTGGATTTATTATTATGAGTGTGATATCAATTTACGTGGATTTTGTAGGTATAGTTAAACCACGAATTCAAAATATAAACGAAGTACAATTTATTATTATAGGTTTTTGTAGGCTTTTGTCAAAAGAACGAAATAAAAAATATCCACGAAACCACCTATTTTCCTAATTCCACGAAAATTGGTATCCACGAAATTATATGAATCCACAGTAGATAGAAAAATTCCGGCACGGGTAAAAATGCTCAGAATGATATACCTACTTCCTATTTTGACTAAAATTAGCGGATGAATACTTAAGGAGTTATTGCCTTTAATTTTTTTCAAATAAAAAGAATTGAACAATTCGACCAATTGAAATTAACAAAATATGCACACATTTCTGTCTTAAGAAACAGTAAAATTTATAATGTAAATTCATTCCATCCATTCAGAAATTTGGACAAATTAGCCAACAGACACCATAAGGTTACTTTTCTTCTCCATGACCAATCAATACAAGATGACTTATAATCGCTACATATATATTTAGTTAGTGGCTGCCTCTTTTCGTACCAAGGTACCCTAATAATGTAAATATATATAAAAGCTGGGTTTAATAAAGACTAACATTACATTTCCTCATTTTATATTAGTTTATAAAAAAGTAGAAGTTACAATTCAGTGAACCGGAATTAATTCATTTCCACCTGACCTACTTTACGTATATCGTGACGTTAGTATACGAAAGTGCCATTTATGAAAAAGCCTCTTTGTTAACGATTTGAATGTACCCACGAAACATACGACTATATTACATATCAAACTTATTATCTGTACTTTCTGTTTTGCCCTGTTGGCAAAAATTCGTACGGTGTGATTTCCATTAAATCAAGATCAATGATCAGGAATGAACATTCCAAAGTTTTTTAAGAATTTAACAACATTCCCTTATATGGTTCTTCTTTTGTATTTTTTTCTAAACAGCGTATGAGTCTTATAAAACAGAATACAATAGTTCTTTTAAATTTCAAAGAGGTTAAATGCGCAATATATAGAAAGAAAATTGCATTCTAAAATAATCCTCCAAAATTGATAAAATTCCTCTAAGCGCTCAATATTTTTAGAGTGAATAATATTTAGATGCCCCAAACCAAATAAAGCTAATTAATCGTGTATAGATCAAGAAAAAGTGATTCATCAATTTAAAGTTTAATTAGTTTATACTAGTTCGGTGACGGAATATGAAAAAGTCGACTATTCAATTACACTTCATATTACACGGCTAAAAATATGCACAGTCTTAGAAAAATGATTTTACTTGAATTCAAAAAGTCGTATGGTGCAGATTTTTTACTTTTATCGTTTAGCTAGCACATTTGACTAAAAATGCAGATCATGAGTGGCATTCAGTTTGACGTTTTTCAAAGGCTTCACTCAATTATATTTCTATTTTTATTTTATTCAAACATCACACACAATGCTTTATTCATGTATCGAAAAAGCTAACCATAAAAGCCGTTTGATGACAAATTATGAAGGTACAAAGTACTGTAAACGGGGATATTTTGTGTTTCACCTGATTCCAACATCATACAATAAAGCTCTAATGTATAAATTGTATCGTAACTACTATAAATTAATAAAACTACACTTTCTCTCTTTATATACATAAGTTTTTAAGGAATAAGATTCTTTTAATTGATTTTTTTTTTATTTTAAAAAAAAAGTTGCGTCCGGCCCCTGATTGGGCAGATAAAAAAGCTAATACGAATGATGCATACATCAACATAACATAACGGCGTTTGCAGTCCTAATTGTAATTGGAAATACAGAACCTTCTCAAAGACTTAAAGAAATCCATTTTGCCTAGTTCTTTAATTTGAAGTTAAGATATATCAAGATTTCCTGTCACTCTATAACCCACATTTCAGTGCTTACATTTCATATATCCCAATAAGCTTGTGATAAAAGATGCTACCGAATCTAGAATGGCTGCTTCATATCTTGACATTTTCTTTGATATTGACACAGATTAAGGACTTCAAACAAAATTCTATGACAAACGTCACATGATGATTTTAAATTTCCATTGTCAATGTACCGTTTCTCAATAGTAGCATACCCTCTGCTCCGTCGTATCGATTTACGTATCTCAATTGATATATTAAGCTCGTGTACGTTGACACAGTACGACTTCATTAACAGGAGCCTGCTTCTGAAACAAAACTGCTTAAAAACAGGCGGTAGATACCAAAGGGATATTAAAACTTAATAGTCGAAGACAATCTCACAACGCCATTGCAAAAGGCGAAGAAGGACGTCAAGAAAAATAAATTCTACAAAACCCTACATAGAAAACTAAAGACTTATCAACACGAACCTAACTAAAAACTGGTGGTTATCGCATGTGTCACGGAACAGATAGCAGATTCTGCTCCACGTGTGGCATCTGTGTGTTTTGCTTATTTAAATACGAATTCGGTTAAATTCGTAATATAAGTAAAGAATTATGAGGAATAACCGGCGACTGAAATGGACACAAATCATATTTGTTTTCGTAAATTATTTTGTTATAAATAAGGCCGTTATTTTTTTCAATTGAATTGATTCATATTTTTCATGTTATTGTTGAAGGCCGTACGGTTGTTTGTAATTGCTTGCATCCACTCCATATGAATTTTGTTAGATAGTTGTTTTATTGGCAATCATACCACATCTTCTTATTTTATATAAAGTAAGTTTTAAAGTCACCATCACGAATTGTGTTACATTTAAGCTTCACCGTGTTTAAACTCACCAGCAACATCTTTTTGCATTTTAAGATATTTAAATACGGAATAGAAACTTAATTTACTATTTATGTTCAATTCCTGTTTATGATATTTTGACCAAATGTGATTCGCATGGTGTGTGGTGCATGCATAACAAAAGACGCGTATGTTGTTGACGCATCCCAACTCAACTCTTTTTGAAGTGCAAGGGATTTCCTCAGTTTTTGTTTTAAAACACACGGATAAAAAAGTGTGAATCTATCTATATTTTTCATATGCTTGCATATACTGAAAAAAGCTAATCTAATTAAAATATAGACCTCTGACCTCTTTATACTCATATGTATACGAGCACGCGAGTTAATTCAGATTTGAATTTTAATCAGATTGCATTTAAGCAAGACAAGGGATTACGAATCAGTTTATACAGACCATACTGTAAGGCAGAACAATCACGACAATTTTCGATAAAACTACAATCATATAAACATGGCAAGCGTAAACGGATTTTTTCTTGACTTTTTTTTAGGAATATTTAGAGTTGCAAGCAGGACAAACTTTGCTTTTCTGAACAGGATTCATTTGTTATTTGTCTTAGAAGCGCCCCAATGTTATTGTTGTTTCATATTCCCATAAATGTGTATTGATATGCCAAAAGAGTATTCTGCAATTTAAAAATGTTTCGAAATGTCCAATGATGCTGGACAAAAACACTATACATTTTGTACACAAACATTCGATCAGCACTATATTCCAGTGCAGAACAAGTCAAATGTCCGAAGCTTAAAGTTCATAATCGCAATATTATTAGGATTTGTGGTTTTAAGAATTTTGTCATGACCGTTAACCACTATAGTAAAACTTTAGACCAATGTTGATATTCGTGTTTTATTTAGCGTAAGGATGTATTCTTCTGACGTTACAGTCTCGTTGAAAACTCGTTCTGGAATTATTTCCAAAACATGTGATACAAGTGGAAAATATCAATGAATTTAAAAAATGTTTAAATCAAACTTAACTTTGTGAAAAAATTGCGTTTTTACAATGATTAGTTTTTGAGTAATCAATTTTTCAAATTTTATTACCAATCAAGTCAGTCTTTTTAGCCAACATTTTGAGAAAATGGTTGAGGGGTACAAGAAATGATTTTACTAGAAACATGAACATCCCATATCACTTTTTTTCTTTTCAAATTTCTTAGCTATGTATTTTTTCAATC